CTCTCTCTACTCTCTGGTTTCTACATTCCATTTCTGTAACGGCTCACTCCTCTTTTTCTCTCGGCCGGAGTTCCATCTTTTCTGATGGAGTTATCATTCAGCAGAAGAAGAAGGTTCTCTCTGCGATTTCAAACAGCGGTTTCTTTGTTTCAGGCAAGGCTACCTCGCTTTCTCTTTAACCTCGACTCGAGATTTTGTTCACAGAGCCGGCGAGTTGCGAATCTGTTACGATGTCGTATTGGCAACATTACTCTTACTTATATTAGTCTGTGGCAAACTGGAAGTTCCGTTGAGTCAAATTATTCTCTTCGTCTTCCTTTAGCGGAAGTTCGTTTTGTAGCATACAGATACCAAAAAATAAATGGCTAGAGTCTCTGCTTTACAATTGTGCAATAACTAGAAATTATTTGTGTCTCTGCTTTGCAATTATCCGCTGACTTATGTAATTTTTTTTTAATATATCATAAAATTATTTATTTACTTAACACATTTTAATTTTCGCTACACATCAATATGCTGTTTTTTTTTTTTTTTTTACGTTGAATATTAATGCGGAAATTTAGTGTTCGGTGAGGATATGTATGTTCTTCGTATATTTATCCCCATTCCTTTCTCTTTAATATACAGAATTAGATTCCTGTTCACGTAGGGAGAATATATTTCGTTTTCTGTCTGAGTTTCTTTCACAAAATTTTGATCTCGTATTTCACGTTTATTGAATTCATAATTCTGAATTTGTATTATCCGTACAGCTTTGATGACTACAGCGGCGTCGTTCGGAGGTTATACCTGCCTGTTCTTTTGATGAATTTTAGAAAAAAAAAAACTTAGCTTATTTCAGTGTACTTAATGTAGCAGGCTTTCGTTGTTGAATTTTGTCATATTTTGGTATTTATAAGTTATGTCTTAATTGCAAGTTATGCCTGTTCTTGTTATGGTGTGGGCTATGTGTGATGCCATATGTGGACTTTGGCCTCTTTCTATGAAGTGATGGAATGCAAAGGTGGTGGGCTTCACTTGATGCAAAGTTATGTTTGCAGGTTTTGTGTATGATATCGATAGCCAATGCAGAAAGGTCTGATAAACGGATTCTTTTAACTTCCAACATCACAACAACAGGGTAAGTTATACTTACAAGATTTTGTGCTGAGCTGAACGCACACCAATTCAATTTTTATACATAGGTTTCTATGATTATTTTCTTAATTTATGTGTGTAAAGAATCATTGGTATAAAACAATTTCTGTTATTCACATGAGCTGTCCTCTGCATGGAATTATTGTTCTCACTTCTCAGCCTTTCTTACTTTAGGTTTATCCTCACAAGGAAACCTGTTCCATTATGCAGAATTATTGTTGTTCTCAGGCTTACTGACATTAGCTTTATCTGCATAAGGAAACCTGTTCCATTATCTTTTACTTGTTTGCACACAATGATAGCATTCTCTGGTTATTGTGGTATATTTGCCATACCAATTTGTTGATGGCGCACCCTTGTGCGAGTATCAAATGGTAGTGCTTTAAATTGTTTCTTGGTTCGGAAATACATTCTGTATGCTTTGATTGACATTTGTGTGCTGAGAGGGAGACCAAATGTTGAGTGTCATCATTCCAGAGAACCGATTCTTGCCACGTACGTTAACAGCTGATGTGAAATTTGTTTCATGCATGTTGATGCCATTGATTTGCAAACAGCTATCTAACTCCTCATTTCTCGTGTCACAACGTGTCAAAGAAAATGGCTGGGAGTCTAAGTCTTTTCCAACATCTGTGCAATTTTTGACGTAACTTATCTTCTAATATACTTGTACTCCGAGCTTGACTCCATTTCTTTGTGCTGGGTGCACAGACATTCCGCAGATTACTGTGCAATGTATGATATTTGTGGAGCACGTAGTGATGGAAAAGTTCTGAACTGCCCTTTTGGTTCTCCGTCAGTAAAGGTACTTAATTATTCCTCTAATATTGTTGTTAATTGACGGACGGGACATTCTGTCTTGCTTTCAAATCTTGAAATCAATTTTTGGACTCAACTTTTAGGCTTTTCTCTTTCTATTTTCCCTATGTATTTTTTGGTGGATTAACGCTATTATGTGTATGTTATATATGTACATAATATCTATATTTATGTATGTAGACATAAATTTTTCAGTGTTCTGTTCATTTTTCAATCGGGTATTATATCGTGATTGTTATACTGGTTACTATATTGGTTTTGGGTTGTGCTAGTTTAAGACCGGTTGGACATTTAATCTGTATCGAGGATTTTGATTCTCTGGTACATGTTTCTTTCTGTGATTCACAGCCAGATGGTCTACTTTCATCAAAGATCCAAAGTTTGTGTCCAACTATTACTGGCAATGTTTGTTGTACAGAGGCTCAGTTTGACACTTTGCGGACGCAAGTCCAGCAAGTAAGATATTTCATTAAACTCTATATTGATATGTGTTTTGTGATTATTGATCTTTTTTTTCATTGTTTGTCTGTTGTATGTGCTGTTTTTTAAGTGTATCAGACTTAACTGAATTCAGCCTCATGTTTTTTTTTTGTGTGGCTAGTTCTTTATATGCTTTTAACTTTCCAGCAGAATCTACTATCTTATATGTTGAATATATATTCTTCTTTGCAGGCAATTCCTTTTCTAGTTGGCTGTCCAGCATGCTTGAGAAATTTTTTGAATCTCTTCTGTGAGCTATCATGTTCTCCCAATCAGAGCCTGTTCATCAATGTGTCTTCTGTTTCCAAGGTCAGGAATGCCTATATATTATCCCTGATGCCATTTTAAATATACGTTCTAAGAGCCCTTGGTTTCCTGACTCTCACTGACAGCTCTTTTCAGTCTCGTAGTTGCTATGTGTACCATCAAAAAACAATCTAGTTATCATCAATGATTATGGAAAGTGATTTAAGGTTTTCCGAGAATTAGAAAAAAGATATAACTCTGTTTTTTTAACTAGTTTGAAGTTGAAACTAATTTGGTAATAGTGTGCAAGGCTGCAATCAACTATTTTTTGTGGTATGTGACTTCATTTGGATTGTAAAAGCTCCTTCCTTGGCAACATCAGGTATCTAGTGTTCTACTGGGATTAAACATTATGCTTGAGCATTCCTCCTAGCATTTCATTTTATTTCAGATGCAAAACTTGAAATTGCTATGGCCAAAAATGTCGTCTTTTATCAGCAAGTTCCAGTTTTCATGAGATAGGCAGTCAAGTAATTTTTGTTTTGAGACTTATATGCCCTGGTGGATGCTCGTTCACTGTGAATGTATGAATGGAAGAAAATTGTATTAGGAATCTTATGATTTCTTCTATTGTGTACTCACCTTTCAGGTTAAGAACAATTTCACGGTTGATGGAATTGACTTTTATATAGCTGACACTTTTGGTGAGGGGTTATATGAATCCTGCAAGGATGTCAAGTTTGGTACTATGAATACTCGAGCCATAGAATTTATAGGTGCTGGTGCTAAAAGTTTTAGAGGTAAATTCTCTCTCTCTCTCAAACACATACACATGCGCCCTTGTATGATCTTGCTGTAGGGAATAGGGTAAAAGCACAAATTGATGGAGGTAAAGATCATAATAGAAACACCAAAACAAGACACTTATTAGAATAGCAAAAAATCTTTGAGGAGTGTACACAACCATCCTTGTTCATTAAGTGAGTATGATGCTTCATACGACCAATAGAAATACCAGTATATTCAGAAGGATATAAACAGTGAATTGACTCAGGTGATTGAAATTGGAAGTGGATGCTGAACAATGATCATGACTTGAATTCATAAATTGTTGCAAATTTATAACATTTAGCATCATATCACAATACACACCACAAATAACTGTTGTATATACCGATATTTTACCCCTGACATTTACAGTGTCTCTCCAACAATTATTAGCCATAAACAAAAGCATTTTGGGGGCATAATAAATTCTATAGATGGAATCCCCTAGTTTTCAGCTGCTCTAGAGTTCCTTCTCTATTTTGATCTTTGTGATCCCACTTTCTCACGTAGAAGTATAGAGCGGGGGTAAGACACTTTTATTGGGTTCATGGAAATACAAAGTAATTTGGGACAATATACTAATGACAGTTGAAAAAAAATTCAGCCTCCATAAATTTCGTAATTGAGATGTCATTAATTTTTTTTCCTCTTCTTGGGAGTATGTCTGTCAGTCACCTGAGCTGTCCACATAAAGATAATGACATCTGTCGCTACAGAAAAATGAACTTTGTTCATGTATTGTTGACTGTTTTTGATTTGCTAATGATTTTAGTAACCTTTTGACATGTCTTGTAATGCTTACAGATACACTTATTATTTTTTGCAGAGTGGTATGCTTTTATTGGTAGACGAGCTGGACTTGGTGTGCCAGGTTCACCATATGCAATTAATTTTATGTCAAGTGCTGATGAGTCATCTGGAATGAAACTTATGAACGACACTATTTATTCATGTGGTGACACCTCGCTGGGCTGTTCTTGTGGTGATTGCCCTTCATCTCCAGTCTGTTCTAATTCAGCTCCTCCTTTGCCTCGCAAAAAGGGTTCCTGTATAGTGAGGATCGGATCTCTTAAGGTGAGACTTGAGAGAGGAGTATAGAGTGGCACTAATTGTAACTGGTTGATGGAGTTATTTGTTTGTATGGGTGTGGACATTTGTGGCTGTCAACATGCATTTTTGTTTTGCATCTTCACAACTTGGAGGCATCATGTCTTTACATGATGTTTTTTATGTACCATTTGCTGATCTGATATCACCTTTGCTGACTGCAGGCAAGATGTATTGAATTTGCTCTAGCAATTCTGTATATCATACTGGTTTCTGTGTTTCTTGGATGGAGTTACCTTCATCGGAAGGAAGAGCAGAGCCCAGCTTCTAGAACAAAAACCTTGTTGAATGTNACTGGTTTCTGTGTTTCTTGGATGGAGTTACCTTCATCGGAAGGAAGAACAGAGCCCAGCTTCTAGAACAAAACCCTTGTTGAATGTCACCGATGGTGGTGTAATTCACCATGTTAATAGGCAAAAAGATGAGAATGTTCCCATGCAGGTGCATTTTTCCTTTCTTTTTCAATTTTCTGTGTGTGTTTGGTTAGTGTTGCTTTGATCCGTGTTTTTATACTTGTGCCTTTCCTTGGCAATTGAGTTTATGTGACTTAAAACATGGAGCTTCGGAAGTTAGCGTATTGCACAAACATTTTTTGTTACCGTTCTTCCCCTTGAGTAACATTTTTTGTTACCGTTCTTCCCCTTGAGTTTTTCTTGTTTCAGTGGGAGGGCTGCTATAGACAATTTATTTTGAGAGACCAGTGTGCTGTTTCTTTGTTGTTTAATTGTAGGTTGGACAAGTTGTCCTCCTTAGAGACTTGGTTAAGAGAGATATACAGAAAAAACAGTTAACTTTTGGTCATTCTGTGTGACTTCACCGCATTCCAAATCTGATGTCAGCCTTATGTTCTTTGACAGTTAGCCGTCAAAGAATTTTTTTACATTTTTAGCTTCAAATGCGAGAATGTTCTCCATATATTGACATACAATTCTTTCTTTTCTTTGTTTTTTGAAGAGACTTACTTTTTGTTCATCTCCTGTAAGCTAATTCCATCTTACTTCTGTGTTCTTTATGTCTTTATTTTTTCCCCTGACAAGACCCCCATAACAGGTTATTCTTTTCCTGGATTTTTTATTGTCAGATGCTCGAGGATGTTCCGCAGATTACAAATGGGGTTCAACTTTCGATTGTACAAGGATACATGGCAAAATTTTACAGGTCACTACCTTTGCCATTAATTCTGACCTTATCTTATGAACAATAACTTTTGATACTGTGGGTCAAATCTTCAGGAGGTATGGGACATGGGTTGCTAGAAATCCAATCCTTGTGTTGTGCTCATCAGTAGCTGTTGTTCTTCTACTATGTTTGGGATTAATCCATTTCAAAGTAGAGACACGTCCTGAGAAGGTACGCTATGGCATCTTAGCCATTTTTTTCAATATTATATTAATGGAATTGGTTTAGAATTTCCTCGTTGGTTTTTTCCCCATTAATGTCTTTTGTGATTGCTCTCCCTTGGGGTTATGTATGCCCTTTTGGGTTTCTTTTTTTTTTTTTTTGGTACATACCTTTTTGGGTTTCTGTGCATGCTTATAAGAGTTAAGTTTGACTTTGACCATTTGTTCTGCTCAAGTCAATTTTACTCCAGGGAAAGTATGAAAAAGTTGCTTTGTTGTTTGACTGGACAAAAATCTGTCATTTAATTTATGCAATCATATTCAATCTTATCCACTGTTAATTAGGGTATTAGTTATTTTCTTTCAATGCAAAGTTCTGTAATGTAATTTGTACCTATTTCTTCAGCTATGGGTAGGACATGGGAGTGAAGCTGCGGAGCAAAAACAATTTTTTGACAGTCATCTAGCTCCTTTTTACAGAATTGAGCAGGTTTTGCATTACTGTACCTTTTCATGATCATATCTCTCCTTATCCATGGGCAAAACACTTACTGTACATCCTTTCCAATAAATTTTATTTGTCATACTTGTGAGCAGCTCTATGCTTACATCACATGTCTGTTTTTCCAACATGTATCTCTGAGAGAAAGTTCTAATTTAGGAGAGAGATGATCTCTTATGGTTGAATTAGACTTTTTAGTATGCGTTTCCATTCAAGTTTGCTTAATTTTTAAGAGATCTTAAAATAAATTCACAATGGGGAATTCACTCATTACACAATATATCTTGACAAAATTGGGTAGGAGTCTCCTTCACTTCGATCCAGTTAGACTTGCAGAAAAAAATTTCCTTCCTACATGCTCATCTAACTACCACTAGACTGGATTTAGGATGGCCATATCATCTAAACTAAATTCTTAAATATTGTTTCAATTTGTGGTACCACCTCGTAGTCGAAAATATTTTTAAATTAGCTACAGAAGATCCTTGTTGATTACTATATATTAGTCAAATGTTTGCAATTACTCAGCGAGGACAACTAGTGGGATACTTATATTACAATATATGTATTAGACCTGGCAGCAGTATTAATCAGCATCCTACATTTATCGAACTTTAATATAGTCAGATTTCAACCTTTTAAATCCTAGTGCACAACAAGTTTATTAAGTATGTATTTACGTCATTATAGCTGGATGATATGGATATTTGAGACTTGAGAGGATAGTCTACGCTGTTGTTTCCAGATTCTGATTGATAACGAGGATGTTGATTCTACGACTAAGGTTTCAACTAGACTGTATGGTCAAACATGGATGTGGTGTATACACTCAGAATCCCATTTAATATTTATTTGATCTGCACTGATTATCAAATTCCCTATTGATCCCCTTCCAACTTTAGGATCGACCAAAATGAATTTTCAAAATTTTTATTCCCTTACTTTTTTTTTTTTTTTTGTTTCTGATTTGGCCATCATGCTGTGACTTTGAAAAAACTATTAACACCTCCCATTTTTTGTAGCTTATTTTAGCAACAATCCCTGATGCAAGGCATGGAAAATCACCTAGTATTGTTACAGAAGATAATATCAAGCTACTATTTGAAGTACAAAAGAAGGTATTCAATTTGATGTTTTCTCTTCATATAAACTAGATGGGCAACTTTGATTTTAGTCTGAGATTATTTGTGGACTATTGACAATCTTCCCACTGTTCCTAAACTACATTGTTGGTTTTCTTCTTCTTTTTTTTTTTTCTGGGAAAACTAAATTTTCATTTTCATAGGTAGATGGAATTCGAGCAAATTATTCTGGGTCAATGGTATCTCTGACTGACATATGCATGAAACCACTAGGCCAGGATTGTGCCACTCAAAGTGTTATTCAGGTATCAGTTTTAAATGAATTTCTTTAGATTGTTAGTGCATGGTCTTCTTTTTCTGTTTTGTAAACAAGTTATAAAAAGTTGAAAACTCCTATGTCTGTATTCTACCAGAAGCTTGTATGAATGTTGAAAAAAGTGATGTCTGTAGCTATTCTCCCTGTCTCTACAGAGCTTTACAGTATGGTGACGTGTAAGAATTCCTGTGAAATTTTGGCTAAGACTTCAATAGAATGATTACTGAATGAAATTGGAACCAATTTTTGAGAGTTATTCATTGCATCTTCATGGCAGTTAACAAAATGTCCATGCCTCCTTGTTTTCTGTTTATGCAGTTGATTTTAATTGATCCACATGTAGATTTTGCTCAAAGTGAGCAACCTATGTGTCCCATGTGAGTTTAATTGCTACAAAGAACCATTGGGATTTCACTCTAGGGTTCATTTTTTGGAGATTTTAACTGAGCAGGTCACTCATGTGACATGTAGACTAGTTTCTTTACTTATAACACATGATTTACATGCTGCTTTGAATTGGAAGATGAAGGGAAACGAAGGTGTTGAAAAGTTTGTAAGAATGGATACGAAATGTTAGGATTTGACTGGAAACATCCTTGTTGACCAAAAGAACAGATTGAAGTTCTTGTCACTAAAACAATTAGTGGGGATACAACACATTGATGATATATCTTACATCTTAATGTCTATAACTCATTGTTTCTTTCTATATTATTTGTTCTAATCCCTAACCAGTTCAGAAGCTCCATCAGTCTTTTGATATTGGTGGTAGATTACCGGTTTTTGTTCCTTTCCATTTTGTTGAAACTTGCCTGATTTTTTTCTGTTCTGACCCTGAAAGGTTTGAAATGCTTTAAAATCCCCAGCACCAGCAAGAAACGCGTGCACTTGATATACAAAAGATCTACATCAGTTAATGTCTGTGTTTTTCTCATTTTTAACATGTGTTCAACACTGCTTGTTTTTGTTGTTGTATCCTTACATCTACGGCCAATTTTGGCACTTGGTATATATTTTTTTTTTATTGTTTTGCTTTGAGTGTAATTCAGTTTATTTTTTGGTGATAGTATTTCAAAATGGATCCAGAAAATTATGATGGCTATGGCGGTGTTGAACATGTTGAGTACTGTTTTCAGGTACATTCTGGTGATCTCCACCTTTATGTTGCAAGCTTAAAAACCTTTTTTCTCTTCCTTTTGCCTTTTCTGCTTGGAAAAGGGGTGTGTGGAGGTGGTGTGACATGGTTTCAATTTTTGTAAGCCATTGTGGCACATTTTGTCAACATATTTTATGTTCTTTGAGGGCCTTCTCTTTCAGGGTAATTCTGCAGAAGGCAATAAATGAATTAAGCTGCAACTTGACTTTTATAAATGTAGGGGTGGATCCAGTATATTCTGGTACATCTTCACCTAGCCATTGAATGTATGGTGGATGTGAATATGATAGTCTAAATTTAGATTAGAGAATGGGTAGTTAAAATTGGAATTAGTGATGTTTCGTTAACATAGCATCAATGGTTCCTGCATCCATCTATCCAAGAAAAATGAGAGTGTACCCAAGACTCTGAGGCATTTCACTTCAACATTTTTTTATAATGACATCCAATTGAAACAATAAACCTTGATTGGTAAATAGTTCTTCAAATTGTTCTGCTTATGGTTGAAATCTATTGATCTATTATCTGGATAGCAAATTTAGTTAGTAATGAAGATAAATAGGAGATGAACTATATCAACAAGGACCTTTGTTCAGATAAAGTGTTTTGGAAGGCACAACCTATAGTAGGTCAAGGGAACATCTGATGTCGAAGAAGCGTAATCGGTGGAGAAAAAATTGTTTATGTACCTAAAATATGAAATATTAAGTGTTTAATTTTCTCATTAGGATTGGCTGACGGAAGACCAAAATTAACTTTAAATGAAATACTAAAGAAAGATCCATGTACATGTTGATAAGATAAGCAACTCACCTATGTGTTTGATTAGTTGGGGTCTCATTAGTTAAAACATGAGATGGGTATGCCCATTTCCTTCAAGATGCATGCATGCATTTACATATCTTAATTTATTCTAGCAACCAATAATAAAAGAGTTAAAAAAAAATTAAATCCTGGGAAACAATTTGCTGATTGTCAACCAGATAATCAAGTTGGCTCTTCCAAAAAGTATATATTGTTAGAAATATAAAGTAATTAGTTGCAAACTGCCAGTTATTAGATGTTCTACTCCATATAGCTTTTCTGTTGGCAATACGTGGGAATGCAAAGACATGGTTTTCCATTTGTTCATTTTCAATTTCTTAATACAGAAATTTTGAAAGAAATATACAAAAGTGGCCTTGTGTTTGTACTTTGTGATTGTATCTTTCAGAAAACTGGATGCCTATTGAGTATTGACATTTGTACTCTGGATGTTTTATCAAGCATTACAGCTCAGCAGACACATGTAGGAGTGCATTTAAAGCCCCACTTGATCCGAGCACTGTGCTGGGAGGTTTCTCTGGAAATAACTATTCTGAGGTTATTGTTTTGATCCCTTGATGGTTGTGAATATAATTAAGGTTAATAGTAACCCTATAATGATTTTTTGAAGACAGGCATCTGCATTTGTTGTAACGTATCCTGTAAATAATGCGATTACTGAAAAAAGCAATGAAACTAAGAAGGCAGTAGCCTGGGAGAAGGCCTTCATTCAGTTAGTCAAGGTTTGCATTTTGTATTCGTGGTTTTTTGAAATTTTATGCGACTGGGCTGTTTGTGATTGTTGTCTTTTTATGCTAAGGTACTGGTCATGTTTCCTTATACCATTTGCTTGTACAGCTTTGTACTTTTATCAGAAAATCTGAACCATTCTTCATGACAGGACGAGCTCATGCCAATGGTGCAATCCAAAAATCTAACGCTTTCCTTTTCATCAGAAAGCTCTATTGAGGAGGAATTGAAAAGAGAAAGTACTGCAGATGCTATAACTATCTTGGTGAGGCCATGAAACAAACCCTCTTTGTCTCTGAAACTCTCCCCTTCTTGTAGGATTGACTTTTGCTCATTCCGCTAAAACGGGCTGTCATATTGTCTTGTTTATGTTATGCATTCCATGGTCAGGATTTTTTTGAGCATGTTTCTCTCATTCAATATATTAATACAATCTGATCTTATTAAATGGCTATTACCTGTTTATTTTCTTTTCCCGTCTCGTTTTGTTTCAGGTTAGCTATCTTGTAATGTTTGCTTACATTTCTTTGACTTTGGGCGATACACCTCATTTCACCTCATTCTATATTTCATCGAAGGTATGTTTCCATTCAATATGCAGGAGATTGTTCCATTCAATATGTTTCCATTCTCTCTTTATCCTGGCTCCCACAATATAGAACCTAGAATGACCGAAAATCTCACTTTACCTCAATGCCCACTAGTCAATTGTTTCACAGGAAGTTGAACCCTGTCAAATATTCATATTTGCTGCGTTCTTTTTAAGATGAGGATTCCTTTTAACATCATCTCCTACACTGGATCACCGTTTTTTTTTGGTGCTGATCTAATTTTGTATATTAACGTTGCATCTTCTCTTTGGAGCATCTTATTTGTGTTTAGACATTCTAGCTTTCCAACTCAAATGTTGACCTTATAATCTGTATCTTGCGTAAATCAGATTACTGGTTCTGTTCCAGGTATTGCTTGGTCTTTCAGGGGTTATGCTTGTCATGCTCTCTGTTCTCGGATCAGTTGGTTTTTTCAGTGCAATTGGAGTAAAGTCTACGCTCATCATTATGGAAGTTATTCCTTTTCTTGTATTGGCTGTAAGTTCCATTTTTCTATATGATTTGAACTTGGATGTGATGCTGAGATTGATAAATACACGATATCCACTGTATAAAGTATATTCTAGGTCTTACTACTTTAATTGTATTATCATCAGCACACATCTATATCAGACTATGCAGGTGACCACATGTTTTAATGTTTGTGGCTTATGTGTTTGTTTTGAAACAAGTATGCATGGGTGACCACTTGACTGTTGTTGACCTAAAAACCTTGATGATTATCTATCCTTAACCTGAGAATTGTACAACTTCTTGCTTATAATGATTGGTCATGGTTTCTGAATGAACATCAGGTGTAACTATTTCATGCCGAAGCCTAACATTAGTGCTGTCTTACTAAATACTAATGACACTGAATGCAAGTTAAAAGTAATAATAGTTCTTATGACATAAACAGGCAGCTGGTGACTAAGCAAACATGCTCTAAATCATGCCTGAAAGAAGAATGCACTCTGGCACCATGCAAACTCCCACGCATTGATAAAGGCAATAATTCAAAATTAGGGTCTAAGTTGCTGCACAGATTTTTGTTTCCTGAATCTCCCTGGTGGAAGTTAATGTTGACTGAGGACCTCAGACAACATTGTTTTCTAATGTTGGTTACTAAAGGTTAAAATTTTGGAGACACACGCTCCTGCCCATATCATCCAAAGGTCCAGGGGAAGGGAGGAGTTTATAAATCCTTTTGTTGTTAACACCTGCCGGAGCAACTGCCGAGTAAAACACCTTTACTAAGCTGTCGATCCTTGACATTTCACAAATTGAGATTACGTCTACAAATTAATGTATGTTCTCCAGCTCATCACTGTCTTCTTTAAGGAGGAAACAAGTTTGGTGTTTTAATTTGGAGAAAATACTGAATAATTTTATTCCTATAACCAAATTGAAACCCCAAGCCACATTTGTTTCCTTTTTGAAGTCCTTCTTCTTCAAGAAGGAAACAAGTTCTCCAAGTCTTAAGGGTTCACTTGACATATTTTTCTGTCTCCTCTGAAGTATTTCACTTTATGCGGCAAGCAAGCACACTTATCTTGATGAATTATCCTATGCTGATATTAAGGGAAGTTAAAATAACTTATATCTGGTTGGTGTTGCCGTTTGGTGGTTATCATTATCTACAAGTTCCTGTATATATTAATGGTCTATTTTACACCTAAAGAAACCAATGGATTTTTTGTGGTTTGCTGACGGAATTACTGTGAAAGAGATCAACAGTTTTATTGAACTTGATGTATGTTTTGTGAAGTTGTGGCGTGTTCATATGTTTTGCAAATGCATGAAATATATTGCCCATTCAAATGTTTACTGATCTAGTGTGTTTTTTGTGGAAATATTAGTAATTTGAGCTGCCTTTTCAGGTAACTCCGTTCCCGGCTTCCTCGTAGCATCAAGTGTACTGACCTTTATTGTCAATTGTGTCAGGTTGGGGTGGATAATATGTGCATTCTGGTACATGCTGTCAAGCGACAGCCATTGGAGTTGCCTTTAGAGGGACGAATAAGCAATGCACTTGTAGAAGTTGGACCATCTATAACACTAGCTAGCCTATCTGAGGTTTTAGCATTTGCAGTTGGAAGTTTTATTCCTATGCCAGCATGCCGAGTATTTTCCATGTTTGCAGGTTGGAAATTTTTTTTTCTATATAAATTCAGTAAGCTCAAGGTAGTTTAGGAAAGGTGTAGTGCTTGCAATCTCGTTGAAATGGTTGTCATTATATTCATTAGCCTTTTTTGGTGGGGCTTCTCGTTAACTTTCATGTGCACATTATTTTGCAGCTTTGGCTGTTCTCTTGGACTTCCTTTTGCAAGTTACTGCTTTTGTTGCCTTGATTGTTTTCGATTTTCTGAGAGCTGAGGATAATAGGGTTGATTGTTTTCCTTGTATAAAAATTTCTGGTTCGTATGCTGACCCGGACCAAGGTATGACTAAGAATGTGCACATGGCAAGAAATTTATTCTGTCATTTCACGGAATCTGAACACAAAGGCTGAATGAAAAGAAAAAAAATAATGTTTTGCAGGCAATGGTCAGAGAAAACCTGGATTACTGGCTCGATACATGAAGGTGATAATATTTCCTTGCAGTTGTGGTTTGTTATGGTAGCAATTATCCTATGACATGTGCCTCACTGCTGAGTATCATTTTATTTTAATTCAAGATATCAGTAGGTATACTCATTCGAGCAATTTGTTTGTCAGCTTTTGCACCTAAAGCTGTAAGCTTAGTAGTGTTTTCTAAAATTATGCAAATGATTTAGACTTTGAAAGTGGTTGCTCTTTTAGTAATATATCAATATGTACATGATGTGAGCTTCTCTAAGTAAGTCAAAAGTGTTGACTAATTTGTGGTGCTGGCTAGCTCACCCAATCAATTTTGGTGGGGATTATACCAAAAGTTGTATTCTAACCTTAAACCCACGTCAACTGCTTGACTGTCTATATGTGCAATTTTATTATGATTGTTTTATCCAGTCAAAATGTGCACTTATTATGATTTTATTGTGTCAATTTTCATTTTTCCTATGCTTGTGTAAGGCTTTTGCAGCTTGCCATTGACATTTTCCATAGTTTCATCTTATTGTAAAGAGAGCCTGTATCCCATATTGAATGATTAGGATCACTCAAGTTTCTTTATATGCTTAAGGGACCTCTACACTCATTGCCAATTGGTTTTGAGATAGATGCTCTAACATGATATCAAAGCTAAGTCTTAGGTGGTCAAAAGGTCAAGTCTCTTACCCATTTGAATTTTGCAGTATGCATGTTTGTTTGTTTGGTGGTCTCACATGAGAACTTGGGTCCCGCATGAGGTAGGTTGTAAAAAGAGCTTATATCTCACATTGAATGATTAGGGCTACTCAAGGTTGGTTTATATGTTTAAGGGGTCTCTCCACTCATTGTACATTGGTTTTGAGTTTGATGCTCTTAACATTTACGACCTTGTTGATTCAAGTTATATATATTATGAAATCCACAAATTGAATTACAGAGTGGTTAGATTAGATGGTTTGCTGGATTTTAAATCACTTTTTAACATGTCTGTGACCAACTTTTTGGGTTTTGTGTGACATATTTTTGATGGCGGATCATTTGAAATGTCCATAGTTGAACCCATGGCCTTTTAATTAGTTAAACTTGGTTCAAAGGGGCAGGCAAACTCGTGTTTAAACTTTTAAGCTTGTTATATGCTTTGCTATAAACTTTTAATTGGTTAATTTTGCATGCTTTGTTCTTTCTCACCTTCCTTTTCCAGAATAATTGGGTGGCATTTCTTTTTGCAGGAGGTTCATGCACCCATTCTGGGTCTTTGGGGAGTTAAAATAGTGGTCATTTCTGTATTTGCTGCTTTTGTGTTAGCTAGCATCGTAAGTTGCTCTAATATTGTTTCTGCATTTATATTATCTAAGTGTGTTTCTGTCATTTTGAATTTTTTCTTCTTGATCCTCAAAAGGCGCTTTGCACAAGAATTGAACCCGGTTTGGAACAACAAATTGTTCTTCCCCGAGACTCGTATCTTCAGGTTTAACTTGCTGCTGTTTTTATGAATCTAATGTGGCATTCTCACGAGTTGCATTAATATTGACCTTTTTATTTCCTGCAGGGTTATTTTAATAATGTTTCAGAGTATCTCAGAATTGGCCCACCGCTATATTTTGTAGTGAAAAACTATAATTATAGGTATCATGATGTTATTTTATTACCCTACTGTCTTCAATATTGCATATGTTAGGAAAAAAGCTAGAGTTCTTTATACATGAATTGATGTGTGCATATGTGTATAAATGATTACATTACTTTCTTGCGGTAATGCGGATAGAATGTGTCTATTGTGGATAAGTATTGTACAATAACAGCCGGTGTTGAAGTTCACAAAATTATTGACTATGTAAACTACTGCTTCTGGTTTATGATAGAGTGCTGACTAAGTAGTTTAAAACCAGAAATTTTATTGTGGATGTGTGAGTAAAGAGAACTTGTATCACCAAGGTTGGTTTATACTTTATGTGGTTGAGGGGTCTCTCTACTTCTACTCATTATTAATTAGTTTTGTGTTATGGTATCAAAGTTGGATCTTGGGTTGGGTTGTCGGTGAGTCATGTTTCTCAGTCATTTGAATTTCTCAGTATGTTTGTATAACTGTTGCAGTCTAGTGTATTAGTCCACATGTGAGCCCAAGTCGCATGTGAGGGAGGGTGTGAAGAGACCTTATATCCCACATGCTAGATTAGGGCCACCTAGGAGTTGATTTTCACCTGCGAATGAGAACAGCCTCAAAATTTAGCATCTATCGTTTTAGTTTTTCCATGTGTATAGCAACAAATATTTCGACATGGATATGAAATTCCCAATTTATCTATCAATATGTCAAAATATCTTGTCTGATAGCCTTACACCAAACAAGCCTGCTTATTATACAAGCTTTGAGTTCCAACGTGGCGATCTTACATAAGTTGTATATTATTGGCGGACACTTCTTCTCCTATACACACATCTTAGTTGCATATTTTATTTTGAAACAGTAAAACTTCAAATTCATTTACAGATTCCAATATTAACATAGCTTTTCTTAATAATTTATCCCACAGTCACATCTATTGCATTTTCTCTAAATACATTCCAATTTCATCATTCTCATTTCTCACTAATATCTTTATACATGTTTGATAAGTTTCATCGCAATGTTAGCTTGCTATACCTATGAGATGTTGTCATATGACATTCACTACTGAAGCATGTTGTATTGGCTAGTTTTTTATGCTTGTCTACCTGTTGGTCTAATGGCAGCTATATTCTAACTTTCCATTTGACTAAAGTATGTCAAACAAAAAATGGCCATTAAAGGGAAAATGCCATACATACGTTTTAATGAGTGAAGTTAAAATGAATGACTATTTGTCAATTGAATTTTTTTATTGTTAATTGTCCACCACATTTAAAAAGCACCAACTATTAACTCATTTTCGTCACTTGACATTTTTTCAACTTTATAGAAGTGTTCTTCATGCTGATGTCATTTTATCTACTCAGTTCGGAATCAAGACAAACAAACCAGTTGTGCTCCATCAGCCAATGTGATTCAAACTCTCTATTAAATGAGGTAACATTATTATGGTTAGGTTAGATAGAATTAAAGCCTTAGTTTGGAGAGATCCTTTGAGTAATATAAGTTCCCCATCATTTGTGCATGATTGTTGGATTTTGAGTTTGCATCACAATATTTATTTTTCTTAAAATTCTGCAATGTATTATTATATACATATTTATATGGTCTGTTTCTTGGCACAATTGTAAAAGGTGGAATACATAGTGGGAGACACAGATTTAACCACCTTGTTCAAAGAGCAATGATATATCACCAGCCTTTTATTAAGAACCACCTTGTTCAATGAGCAAGGACGTCACCAGTCTTTTATTAAACTGTTGTGTTATAAATTTCATGGCATGATCATGTAGTTGGCTCCAAATAGCAATGACGAGGTAGATTGAGTTGAGGTGGTTAACGAGATGATATTATTCTCCTTAAAATTCTTATGGTAACCTATATAGAATGATAAAAATATTCATGTGGGCACTCCTCTTCTTAAAGAACAACTGGATATGTGTTGTGATTAGAATTTTCGATGGAAAGTAAAATCATTGAGAAGCATCGCAAAGCAGTCCCTATGATGGATGCCTAAAATGATGAATATAAGGAGATTGTGATAGTCTCAACAATAAGTGGAATGATTACCTGTTCAATGGAATCATTACTGTTGGAAATTGTGGGTGGCTTATATTCACTAGGCCCAAAAGACAATGGGTCAATGGGTGTGCTTAGAGGAGTGAAGTGTACCAGGATTGGGTGTATCAAATTATACTTGGACTAGGTTTCGTAATTACAACAGGATTACGGTTATTAACTGGTGCATATGTATATGATATAACCCTATGCGATTCTGATACATAATAAAAAACGGTCGCTACTGTGGACATAGATAGAATTTCAGCCAAAACATGTAAATTTCATGTTCTTGTTCTTGATCATTTTTGTTCTTGATTGTTCACCGCACTGCAAATTCACAACAATTATCCTCATATCTTGCTGAAACCGTGGGTAAAATGCTTTTTATATGTCAGGATCTTTTGCTTAATGTAAGACCATTAAAAGTCTTATCTTCCAGGTTTTCTTCTCATTAGATATTTTTGACTCTTATATATGCATGATTGTGGTATAAAGTCAACATCTCTTAACCCTATTTTATTTTCTTTCATCTTACTCTACCTGTGATTGCTCCGTTATTTAATTTGTTATTAATTTTAAAGGTTTGTTCTATGCAGATAGCAAGAGCATCTTCAATACCAGAGTCAAGTTACATTGCTAAACCTGCTGCTTCATGGCTTGATGATTTTCTTGTTTGGATATCTCCTGAAGCTTTTGGTTGCTGTAGGAAATTCACAAATGAAAGTTATTGCCCCCCTAATGATCAGGTAATTCAGATTGCCATCCTTCTGACGCATTCCTCTGGGATAAGAAATTTCCTCCCTCTGTTTCATGGGGTCATCTCTTAGTAAAATTATGTTTAATTTTTCTGCTAGCTAGTCCATTCGATTGGTTTGTATGTCTTGTGAGTTACATGACCACCCCAAGATATGAATAAATACATCTGTATCATGGTTGTTACCAGAATCACTAATTGTCTTGTACACAAAACCATTATATGTATCGTGATTCATGTGAAGGATTGTGAAAGTTTTCTTTTGCATGAAAAAAAATGTTTGAGTGTTGTAATTGGAAGAAATTTCAGAAGTCAAGACATTTAGTAATGATTTTAATCTATGACCTTAAGTTCCCTTATGAAACTAGTGGGATTTAATCCCATTATATGCAGTATCATGCTTAGCAAAGTTCAACAAGCATAAAACTTTATCCAACGGATTTTCATATTTTCCTTTGGTCTTTATTCAACTTTCAATTTCTCATTTGATTTCAATCATAGTCTTTTTTCCATCTTTTACTGATACTGTCTAGTGTTTCGTTTCAGCCTCCTTGTTGTTCACCAGATGGTGGTTCTTGTGGTCTAGGTGGTGTATGCAAAGATTGTACCACGGTAATTGACTCATACTTTCTTCCTGGTTTTCATTGATGTGTACTGTGTATGTCAATTATGGAGCCAAGGATGCCCATTGAGTTATCCTCCACCCCTCGTTGGGGGTCCCAGGAAATAACACTCACGCAGTCACACTGGTGGATAGTTGTTTTAAATCAGTAGGATTTTATGGCTAATTTTTGGACTTGGTCAGTGTTTCCTACACTCAGATTTGCAAAATGATCGTCCATCCACAGCACAATTTAGGGAGAAACTTCCATGGTTCCTCGCTGCTTTACCTTCTGCTGGTTGTGCAAAAGGTGGCCAGGGGGCTTACACTAGCAGTGTGGAACTCAAAGGTTAGTGTTTATGCATACTTGTTTTACCATTCCATTTAGAAATTTTATACCTTTTTCCAGTATCACATGCACAGTTGATTATCTTCTGAAATTGTTTAATGATCCCAAAACTTTCAGCTTGCTTTTTGATTTGGTTGTTATTGCTTACATTCTATGATCAGGCTATGAGGATGGTATTATTCCAGCATCAGCGTTCCGCACTTATCATACACCCCTTAACAAGCAAGTATGACTTCTATTTATAAGTACAGATAAAAGTTTCTTGTTATTCTGCTGTGGTGTGCTCACTTTTGATCACATAAATCTTATTCCAGATTGACTATGTCAACTCAATGAGGGCTGCAAGGGAATTCAGTTCAAGAATTTCTGATTCTTTAAAGGTAATCTCCGAGATATATTAGAGAACTTCAGGTCTGTCAGTATTTTTTTTCTGGCTATTTAGTATCATAAAAACGATGCATAAAAGAAAAAATAATCAAGGTAATATGCCATCAGCCCAGCATTGGTCCCACCATTGCAAGGTTATGGGAGGGGATTACTGTATTGATTTCTAATTTGGCAACTCGTGGATAGTGCGTGTTTAGGATATTACTTTTCTATGTATTTTGTTTTTCTGATTTTGCATGTTATATAGGGTTGGATCTTGTCCACCTTTACTCAGGATAATGTGAAACTTCATTTTAATCATTAATAAATCATTTTTCTTATCAATTTTTTTTTTTAATTGAGTTCCCTACATTTATTTCTAATAACGGGTTTACTGGGATTTATAATGCAGTAGATAATGACTCTAGGAATGTTTACTTTAGATTTGCACTCAACACATAAAATTGGGGCCATATTTACTAAAGATGGTAATGGGTAGGAGTAAGTTGAATTGGCTTTATTCAAGTTGAAAGAGGGGATGAATATGGGCTGACGTCGTGAGAAAAGAGATGATTATATAATGGAGAATGTGGTCATAGATGTTTAAGTATCAAAAAATAATGTCGAGTTAACTCCAAGAAGTTTGGAGGCTTCATTAAGTTGAGCCAAAATCCTTCTTCCTCATCTTTGAAAAAAGGCCATTATTCAATGTCTGTCACGTCAACATAAGGTGCTAGGAAGGATGAAATTGCCAAGTGGTTACATCAAGTTCTCTAATATATGAAAGTAAAATTAGCATATATTTGGGACGGCATCATTTATTTGAAGTTTGAAGAAATCAACATCAAATTCAGGGGGTTGCTAGCCATTTGCTAAAAATCACTTTCAGGAAATCCACCCCAAAAAACGGGAATTGAGAAAACCATCAAACTACACTAAGCAGCCTACCTCTTAACTACATGCCGTATTCCACTGTCACAAGTGCCAAATTGCAAGGCTGATAACAGTGATTTCCTTCTACTGCTTTGTTTTGGAATACATCTAAACATAAAAGTCACTGTATGACTATGTACTAGACTATTATCCTTTAATTGGCTGAAAGGCACATGTTCCTGTTGTCCAACACTAGTTTAAGTCCAACAATTTGCTTCCTTATCTTAAAGAATGTTATCAATAGTTTTGCCTATGATAACTGAAAATATCTTGGGTTTTCGTGTAAAACTTCTGTGATGTTAGCAATTTAATTGCAGAAATCTGTGTAAATGTCATGTTTCTTTGGTAATGTGATACTCCTTCTCTTATGCAGATCGAGATCTTCCCATATTCCGTATTTTATATGTTTTTTGAGCAATATCTTGATATATGGAGGACAGCATTAATCAACCTTGCTATTGCTGTTGGTCAGTAGTTCCCCCAACTCCTTAACACTCAATTGTTGATACATGATGGTGCATATACTTCTACTTCAATTTAATCAGCATTGCCAAAAAAAAAAATACTTATGATATGTTGTATGAAAAGGTTGCCTCTTAGTTATTTGCCAAAAAGGCATTTTTGAAAATAAAAAATAAAAAAATCCTTGTGCTGTGTTGGTTAAGTAACTTGAAAACTTCACCGCAAAGAGAGGTGCCTTTCTTGTTTTTGGGGGTCATTCTGGACAAGAAATTTATGTTTTCATAATTTTCACTAATAATGGCTCATTTGTTCTCAAAGAATACTTTTCACATTTCCCCATGCATGTTAATATATGGCCCATGATTAAAACAAAGTGGTGGTCATGTAGTATCTGACATTGTTTTTTAAACCATTTTATGGTTTACCTATTGTATATCATTAGTGTGGGTAAATGAAAACTTCTGAAAATCAAGAAACATCCAGTGGGTCAAAATCAAATAAAGCCCTGGGCTTACCTTTTCAGTTGCTTCCATCTGTGCCTAGGTGCGTGGCTCCTTATAACTTGAGAGATGCAGGAAAGACACAAACATAGAACTTTTTCCCACAAATATTGTATTTGTTAATGACGTTTGTCTGAGCTTCAATTCGTCAGTTGTGCATCCATTGGGCTCATAGTTCTGTTCATGTTGAAAACCACTGACTCTATCTATGTAATGATTGTACAGGTGCAGTATTTGTTGTTTGCTTAGTTATCACGTGTAGGTCAGTATTTTTCTCCCCTGGTAATTACAGCCCTGCATATTGTGTTTTGCTTCCTAATAAAGTCTTTTCATATCTTAATTTAAACCTGTTAATTTTATTTGTTGGTCTTTTCAAGTTTAGTTTATGGAGTTCAGCTATCATTCTTCTTGTATTGGTGATGATAGTCGTGGATCTCATGGTAATTTTCTTCCTTGACAATTGTTTGTGGACCCTCGTGTAGTAGAACATGTTGATGTCAATTTGCTTACTGCTTCCACTTACAAGATAATACCTGCAGGGTGTCATGGCAATTCTGAATATCCAACTGAATGCAGTATCTGTCGTTAACCTTGTGATGGCTGTGGGTATTGCTGTTGAGTTCTGCGTCCATATAACACATGCTTTCGTGGTCAGTGCTCTACTCCCCCTTTTTGCTTTTTTTGATAACCTATCTTCTCTGCGTCTTCAAGAAGGCCATTCAAAGGCTTGATGATGAATTGGTGAAATTGTTATTTCTTTTTTGTTATGTATTAGTTTTTGGGTCAATCTGTAAAAGTTTGTTTGTCTAGCTCCTAAACACTTGATGTTCAAGTTCTACTTGCTTCCTAAGCATGTTATTCGTGATACATTTGTGAGGAGGGAAACCCTTAATTAGGCCTGTCAATGGAGCGGATTTTTGTCCGAATCCAAGTCCCTTATCCGGATATGGATTAATATTTTAATTTGTTTACCTGAATATGATCCAATGTGTATATATATATACATACATGCATGCATACATACATACTTAGTTAGATTATTAATGAGATTGATATGAAATTAAACATAAATTATTGAATAGAATGATTGGTTAATTAAATTAGGTTGAATTGACTTAAATTTGGTAAAATTATTAATTTTTTATGAAAATTTGTTGGGATTCAAATCCTTAGATCTGATCAGCTAATCGGATTGGATATCTGATTATTAACGGATGCGGATATGGATTAAGATTTTGAAATCTGTCAAGGTAAAAGGATCGGATTTGGAACTCGGATTTTTTATCGGATTTGGATCTAGACAGATCAAGATCCGATCCATTGACTACCCTACCCTTAATCATTTGTAGTTTGGTCTACATACAGATGCAATATCCTTGACTATATATCAGTGTGCATTCAACAAATTGAACCTGGCATTTATTCTTATTTCAGGAAAATTATATTAGAAATAATCCAATTCGCTTATCAATTAAAACAATCCAGCATACAAAGGAGGAATGCAAATAATGATTTCGGCTCCTCAATATGTTCCTTGCATTGCGTTTCGTTGTTACATTCTCTCCTGTTTTTGTGTAGGTAAGTAGTGGAGATAGAAACCAACGCACAAAGGAAGCTCTAGGTACTTTGGGGGCATCTGTTTTCAGGTATTCCCCTCTCCCCTGTTGAACAAGATATTCTGCACCTCTCAGTTACTCTGCTTGGTAGATTCTTATAGCTACGTTGTGACATTTTCAAATCATTGTTATAGACTAAGAAGTATAGACACTTCCAAGATGGTGCCATTTATGTCGGATAGGTTTTTCCAACATGCATTTGTCTATGCTGTTACTTTAAAAAAAGGAAAAAAAGGACATATTCAACTCGAATTGGACACTCAGGTGATTTGTAATTAACAAATCCAAATTTTGGGATCACTGTCTCATAGTATTAAGAAAGTATAATGTGAACTGTAATCAATTAAAGGTCCGTATAAACATTCTAGTAGGTGTTTAACTATATTTCAAAGTGAGAACAAGAGGTGAAGAATTTACTGAAGATGGTAATGATGAGAGGGATCATTATAGTAATGCAACTATTCTCTGTCCAATAGATAAAAGGGATAGTTAACTACTAGCTTTTACTCTATCAAAAAGCAATAATATCCATATACGGTATGGCTTTATGTGTGCAATTGAGCGAAATAATTTTGATGTGTATAAAAATATACATTCATTTGTTGACACATGCTCCCCCCATACCCATGTCTTACTTTTCTCGGATTTGCCATGTTAACATGTCCATATATAATGACATCTCCTTTTTCCGAGTTTGTATCTGTGCGTCTTAGGTCATAGGCATAAGGTGCCAGCCTTTTCTTGATTAGATAGGAAATAGGATGATGCAAGTGTGTTAAGTGGTATGACTTCACAAGGCTATTGGGGTTTAGTCCAATTGAGGAAACAATGTTAATGCCTACCCCCCCCCCCCATTCCCTTTTTTTTTTTTTTTTATCTGTACATCAAATATATTTTATTCTGTTTGATACTGTGCAGAATGGGGATAATGGTGTCATGCACTGAAATGATCACACATCCCCTGAATTTGGCATTATGGCCATAAATTTTATGCCTGACCTTAACCCCCACCCTTCTTTTTTTCTTAAAATACTATTCATGTCGTATCTTTTGTTATATTGTACCCACTGAAATAGGCTTGTTTGTTGTAACAGTTTCTTACCTTGTAGATGAAACTCTTAATAAGGGATAGGACCCGGCTGTAGAAATATGTTTGTTTTTATCAACATTCCTGTCACACTTATCCTGTCATACATGAAAAGGTTCAAGTGACAAAGTCATACGTTTTTTCTCTTTTGCAGTGGAATCACACTTACAAAACTAGTTGGGGTGATCGTTCTTTGCTTCTCAAGGACAGAAGTTTTTGTGGTCTCTGATCTCGCACATCAAATTTTTTGAACCTACACTCAGCCTTGTTATGATCTCTAAATCCTGACTCATTATTTGCAGGTTTATTATTTCCAAATGTACCTGGCATTGGTCCTCCTCGGTTTCTTGCATGGGCTGGTATTTCTGCCTGTAAGTGCTTTGCTTATTTTTGGTTCACTCGTACGTGATTCTACATGTGAAGTCAAAAAGTAGATGGGCAACCAAATGAATATACTTTTTAACATTAAAAAAATCATAATTTTCATGATATGACATGATTTCTACAAGTTCTATTTAGATTTGTTTCGATCATTTCAAGATTGCTCATCATGAGTTTATCATTTGACCAAAGAAACTACAACAGCAGCAGCAGAAACAGAAGATCTCTTTAGGCAAATCAACGTGTCCTTATTTGATCCCCTGATCTCCTGGATAGAGTGAGCTGTGTAACCTTGACTCTTGTGGTTGCAGGTCCTACTTAGTATGTTTGGCCCACCTTCAAGATGTGTGCTCGTCGAGAAACAAGAGGATAGGCCATCTGTTTCATTATAACTGATCTGAGTGCATCTTAAGGGCTCGTTTTTGCAGGTGTATTATTATTTTTATTTTTTTTTGGTTCAGGTGCGTCAATTTCATGTTTAAGCATCATTTGAATAGCATTTCATGTGTAAAGTATATTATAATGCTCTTTTAAGGAGGTAAATGTCAATTATAGTTACACACTGAAATATAAAAAAATCACTAGCAACTTGGTATAGCATGCGATCGTTTATAGGAACAGACCATCAATCGAAACGTCTTAACATATTACATTTTCATTGTTTAACAACCAGTTTACAATTGGCATCTTTTTCCAAAAGTTGAATATATAAAGATGATGCAAGACAAATTGTATGAAGTTATTCCAGAGTGAGGTATCCTCCATACATATAGCCATTGTTTTTCTTCTAATATGTAGCCTTAATTTATTAAGATTAGGACACCATCAGGTACGAGATATACAAGTTTATTTCGTACATAATGTAGCATGGTAATTAATCGGCTATGATTGCCTAAAAATAACGGAACAACTGACACCCTTTCTACGTTACACTTGCCACATGCTCATCTACTCAAACCATCCAATGGGCTGACCTTCAAATGCTGGGCCTCACATTAAGACGGGATGCTAGCTTCTTACCAAGAGAATTATCGGCCTGCAGTGTTTACCGCCAATATCGAATTAGTTAACAGTTTATTCAATAAATATAATTCCAGACACAATTGGAAGGCAATGGAATCAGACCTGACTCCAATACGTGATCCAAATACTGCGGATCTCATGGGTGACACGGGAATCAGATAAAGCCTCAACCCATCGGCGGATGAATCGCTCTTGTCTGGAGAAATAAAGAACACCAACAAAGGGAAATTCCATGTTAACTATGAAGACTTTTCATTATTTTGGAAGCATGACGGACCACAAATACCTGTCGGGTGCCCAGGATCGGTATCTCTCTCCTGGCTGTTTGAAGTTGTTCTCCTTTGCAATAATGCACTGCATTAACCACCAAATTACCATGAATTGAGGTTATCACATGTTCATAAGTCACGCTATGTCACACTCACATGTTCGAGTGGAAAACCATACCGATCAGTCAACTGAAACACCAGTAGATATACACAAACAAAAATAAAAATCGCCTGGAAATCAAAATGGCCACTTTAGGTTATGGATTTTGTAATCATGTATCGGTTAAGGAATGTACCATGCGCATTTAATGACATAATTGACCAAATTAGAAGATGTAGATGCTTCAACTCCAAACAAAGACTCCTTTCCTTGATCAGCTGACACCACCAACTCACTGCTACCGACAGCACTAACACCACCACAATAACAGCGCCAAACACTCTCCCCACAGGTCTTACATAATCCACAAATTCCATTGCCTCCAACAACTCTCGCCACCTTACAACGAGACATCCTTCACTGCTCCTGTTCCTCTATTACCACAACCACTGCATCCTTCGGATCTGCATTGAGATCCTCCCCATTTTCATTTTTCTCTGTTTCTGTCTAAAGCGGATCCGGTGATTTTGATGCCATAGGACTGGAACACCCAGAGATGGAAGAACGGTACAAAGGAGGGGATCCAAACCCACCTTTATTTATCCCCACTGCTATTCCCATCATCATCAACACAACACGTTTTGGAAGCTTAGCATTTGTAGTGAAATGATCTCAAAATGGTTCTTATTTTAAGTTTTTAACAGCGTGTCAACAAAAATTAAATAATAAAAGAAGCATGAGTGGAAAAGGGGGGAAGGGTAATGAATTTACACATTTGCTTAAGCCCAACATTTGAAAATCCAAAAATCATAATCGAAGTTAAACTTTATAAATGGGAAGCTAACGATCTAAACTTACCCTATCACGCTTTCCTGTCAAGATATTTGGAGGAATTGGGTGCCTTTCAGAATGACTAACAGGATCAAACCTTGAGGGGAAGTAATTGACCTGAAAAAGTTTAGTAGCATCTAATCAACACATCCTGATGGATTAGAAAGCAGAAGAGTATAATATCACATGAACATCTTAAATCACTACTATATATTGGGTAATCAAATCTAAAGCCTCAAGGCATGATTTTATATATCTAAGACAACTATTTCAGAAGCAAAAATAAAATATCAATCACCTAATTGTTCCTAGATAACAGGAAAAAGAAGAGGAGCACAGTACCTCCTCATCCCTGTGCATAAAATTCATGAAACCTTCATGGTGATTGTTGTGATGAGCACACTTAGGAGCATTAGCTGGGAGCTGCAGATAGTTGGGCCCAAGACGGTGCCTCTGAGTATCAGCATAGGAGAATATCCGAGTTTGGAGCAGCTTATCATCTGAATAGTAAATACCAGGAACTATTATAGCAGGGCAAAATGCAAGCTGTTCATTCTCAGCAAAAAAGTTGTCAATGTTCTTATTCAAGACCAAGCGGCCAACTGGCTGCAGTGGCAAGATGTCCTCAGGCCAGGTCTTGGTCACATCAAGTGGATCAAAGTCGAATCTGTCTTCATGATCCGGGTCGATTATCTGGATGAAAAGTTTCCACTCGGGATAGTTTCCAGCTGCAATTGAATCATAGAGATCCTTGGTGGCATGGCTGTGGTTAGACCCTCCAACCCTGATGGCTTCTTCCTCCAAAAGGCATTTTACTCCGCAAGTAGGCTTCCAATGAAACTTCACGTAGTGTACTTTCCCTGCCTTGTTGATTAGAGTATAGGTATTGACACCAGAGCCTTCCATGTGCCTGTAATCTTGTGGAACACCCAAGTCATCGAAGAGGAAGGTGAACATATGCAAACTTTCCGGATGGTGGGAGAAGAAGTCAACGATTCTCCAGTTCTCCTGGATGTGGGACTTAGGGTTGGGTTTGAGAGCATGGACCATGTCTGGGAATTTCATTCCATCGCGGACAAAAAAGACGGGGAAATTGTTTCCCACCAGATCAAAGTTACCCTGAGTCATGAGAAAAGCCCACAATATGAACCCTAATCCAAAACATATCGCAATAACAAAAAGAGGGCCATAATTCCTTAAAGCTTCAAATCCTTCAACTTCACATAGTAAATCAAAACCAAGTAAGGGCATGTACAAAAGTTTATGGGTTTCTAGAACTGAATATGAACAGATCATAGAAGGTGCAAAAGCAAGGTCATGCAAACGCAGGTGAACTAAATAACCCTCACCTCTCTGGTGTAAAATTTCACCGCAAAACCTCGTGGGTCCCTGAGGGTTTCAGGGCTTCCACGCTCATGGATAACAGTGGAGAAACGAACAATAACAGGTGTCTGGACTCCAGGGGCTCGAAGAAAATCAGCACATGTAAGATGAGAAATATCATGGGTCACCTCAAAGAAACCCTTGGCACTGGCACCTCTTGCATGAACAACACGTTCCGGTATCCGCTCCCTATCAAAATTTGCAAGTTTCTCCACCAAATGATAATCCTCAAGGAGAATTGGACCTGGCAAATGGAAGAGGGCTTGAGATCACTGACAACAAATTTTCAAACCATAATCCATTTAGACAAAAGGTCCACTGGCATAACTTTTGGGTAAACAGAGTCTCTAAACAATAGGGTATTGGCTGATTACAACTGTCCAACATTAGTTTAGATGTTGCTATCGTGTTTCTTAAGAAGTATCTATAATATATGCAATTAGTGAATGCCATACACTGAAGAAATTTACTGATATATGTTATATTATACCTTCTAAATTTACGCCTAAAAAGGTTATACCAATTGAAATTACAAATTAGAAAGAAAGCACCCATGTCCAGACTCTAATGAAAATATACGTAAACATAAGCATAAGAAATGAAAAGGCATCACATATAACAATATTTTATTGATCACTAGATGAGAGCTCAAACAAAGAATTTTTTCTGCCACGTGGATGTGAGACATACGTTTATTCTAAAATTGCAGCAGCTGCTGCATCTGACCATTACAAAACATTAAACATAATAACTTCCAAATGAAAGCAAAAGAACAAACTCCAGCGATTCCAACATTTTCTAAAAATAAACCTTTCTCACATCCACACTTTGGTAGAGCTAGACCACTATTCATTGCCACTCGCTATGACCATATCTCTATATTACATTCTGTCATGACATCACATGTCAAAATAGTTAAACACACCAGAACTTTATGTAACAAAATTGACAAGAAGGATGCTACATTCAGAATTGTTCAACAATGCATTTAATGATCAGACAATAAGTTTACTTCATCCATGGGGGTAACTCAACAACTAACAAAAGGACAACACACAGAATAGGTACAATGACATGTCATACTTCCTTCTGTGATTAAAATGAGAATACTGATATATCACACCATCGAAAAGCAACCTATTAAGACTTGGAAAAGTTTATAAAAATACCTCTAGTTCCAACCGTCAATGATGAGTTATTGTTCCAAACTGGAGCACCGGAGTTTGTTGTCCAGTAGGGGGAATCATAAGCACTCGAAGGGCGGTACTGCATCAAAAAGAGACAAGGAAAATGAAATGCAAGTACTATAGATAAATCCTAGCAATAATCTCGTATTTAAAAACATTTTGCAATACCAAAAATCGATATTGATAGTGCAATATTTATATTTCAAATATAAAATTATTTTTTCTTTTCTTTTTTTTTAATAACGCAGTTCAAAATTAAAGTAAACAGTGATAAAATAAAAGAGAGGTAGGTGTGGATTAATGGAGTTGTTTGACATAGGAGAGAAAAAAAATTGGGATGAATCCTGTACCATGGAACAAAGTAGATGAAAATTGGATCAAATTATTATTGTGCTTTTATAACTTGAGAATTCCAATTTCTAGCTATAATATTAGATAGATATGTGTATATATACCTATGATTTATAAGAGAGATACAGCGAGGGAGAGAGAGTTGTTTGAAGTTAAGGTACTCTGTACGAGAAGATGGAAAACTGTAAAACAAAGGACATACTAAGAGGAGTATGATTTCTCAAAGTTTTTAACACAACCTATTATCAATATCATTAAAAATGAAGAAATTCATAATTAATTCTAAGAACTCGAGCTTTACATATAAGTGATGTCAGTGAACAAATGCCTTGGAATCCATGTTTGTTACCAAAAAATTCATGCGCCTTAGAATTAAACATCATCTATGCAACAGTTAAAGTTCCCGCTCCCTAAAAATCTAAGGAGCCAAGGAAGCGTGAAGATATCTATAACTAAAGACGGCATGGAAAACATAGCAAAAATTAACAAGAACAGAGGAAGCTCAATTAAGACAATACAGTTTTTCCAGGGGGAAAACATTGTGCAAAACAACACCGAATCAAAATAGAAAGCAAAAAAAAAGTAATAAATGTCAGAGAAAAGAAGAGGTAATCGAGAGATACGCAACTACCGATTTTGTTTGAACAGAGAACTGATTAATTATCTGAATTTAGAATCATAAAGCATTTTTCAATACAATTATCATCAAGTGGAGATAAAATAATTAGAGCATAGAGCTCGGTACCTTGTATGGATCCATGGCGGAACGTACGAGACGAGAGAATTTTTCGAAATGAGAGAGAGAGAGAGAGAGAGAGGCCCTGTCCCTGGAAGGGGTTGGTTGTGTGTGATATAGAGAGCTACTTATAAACTGTTTCTATTATCTGAATTTGGGGGAATGTACTTTGCACTCCCCAAAAGATTTAAAAATTATATTTTATATCTTTAAAGATTAAATTATTTATATTATATCTATATTATATTAAAGATATTATAATATGACTCTGTCATTAGTTTACGTTGTTCATTCAATCAATATTAATGAAATAATTTTTGATAAAATAATAATGAAAGCTGATAAATAAAATTTTTTAAATTTGTTGGGGGCATAAAGTATAATTCACTCTAAGTATTATCGATTTAGATTTGAGAATGGTTTTGGATAGCTAAAAAATTTGTGGTAAGGATTTAATATTCGGGTTTTTTTTTCCAAGTCATTGTATGGATAACATTCATGAGAAGGATATCGAAATCCCACAGTCCCACCCATCTCATTTTTCAAACACAATATTAAAAAAAAAAAAAAAAAAAACCTAGTGCATGAAGAAATGTATTTGTGATTGGTTTGTTGTATTATTTTTTGTATTGGCGTAGAATACTACTAAATTATATTAGATTTTGACAAGTCTACCGGGGGATTTTAATAAATAATCTTGTACTTTGTAACTTGTGCGCGCGCAATTATAAAAGATTAAGATAAAGGGCGGACAACAAAAAGAGATTTAAGAACATCTCCAACAATAGTAAATATTTTAGCTACTCAAAAAATAATTTTTTTTTATTTTAACTACTAATTTTTTTAATAGACACTCTAACAGATTATCTATATTTTTAACTACTCATTTTAAATATTATTTATCATCCCTTTTATATTATGTTTTTTGAAAATAGTGAAAGGGAGAAAGAGTGACAATGGAAGAAATGAAAGAAAAAGAGAGAAAATAATATATATTATGTTTATATATTGTTATAGTGATGTTTTATATTTAGAGCATTACCGTAGCAAAAATCTATTTTACAGCATACGAAGATAATTTGTTAGAGTGCTGTTTTTGACTTTGATTAGCTAAAATTTGGCTATTTTTGATATTTAAAGCATATGTGGAAGATGCTCTGAGAGTGAAAAAAGATGAATTATAGGAAGTTATGAATAGTGAAAGAATTGCTTGTTGTGATAGTGGAAAAATAGGGAAATTTCAAGTATTTTATATGTGGAGATAAAAAGTTCTAAATGATTATGTAATTATGAGTAATAAAGTATAATAAAATTGAGATAATAAAGGATTTTATATGTGGAGATGAAATTTTTATATGCTTGTAAATGTAATCTATATTAATAAAATAGAATTTATTGCTTAAGTCATTAAGTTTTTGACTTAAAAAAATTTAGATCGTTTAAATCTGACAAATAAATTAAATTAAATTTTGTATTCTAATTATTTAAAGTCGGTTAAACAACTAAATATACATAGTTTAAACAACTAGATATACATAGCAAAAAAAAAAAAAAAAAAAAAAAGGTTGACTATAGATAATTTTGATGGAAATGAGGGCGTCATGCACTTATGGTTCCTTATCGTAGTTTTGGACTTTATCCTGAATTGCTTCACGACCACCTGAGCCAGTGGCTGACTTGGACCGCTCACAAGTCGACACGTATGGCAAGGCAGTTTAAAACGTGTGGTCGAGCCAGAAAAACGTCCCGTCTGATTTTCGAGAGCTATTTTGGAGTTTTTCGCCGAATAGTGTGAACGCAGAGCCGGAACGAATTTGATAAAAAAATCTGGCTGATAAGGTTTGAATTTGGCCGAACACTGAACATAGCCCCAACACATTCTTCTAGTCTCTGGGCCCACAACAATGTACATTTCTGGGGAAATCGTGTGCCCAAATCAACAACATTCATTTCTTGCATACTTTCCGTAACAAATATGGTCTAAAACGTTTTGCGGGATTGAAATTTTCTTCAATATTTTTTTTTTTAGTGAATTAATTACTATTTTATAGTAAGATTTATTTATATACTATTTAATTCTGAGAATGGTTAATTTACGTTGGGCCTTTTTGTGCCCAAGACCCTCCAAGCCCACAGATAACGGTGTGAGAAGCATATACAAGCAATACTCCTTTGGGCTCGAACTGAGCTACAATGGAGAGTCCAAACGTGACCAAGAGAAACTCGGGATTAATGAACCCGGCATATATGAGCTTGGGACATGGAAGTCTGGAGCAAGATCAACCTAAAAAGTTGCAAAAGGACCCGTCTGGCAGCTCTGATGAACAATAACCCACAAGTAATAAAAACGGATCAAGAACAACAGTCTTCGAAGTGGAATCAAAAATGTTTAGACCACAATGCCAAGGTGAAAACAGATATAGGGAAGACCACTGGATCAGTCAAGAAGGACGCATGTAAAACCCAAACTATCAATAGTATAAATAGTAACCGTTATCAAATAAGCGAGAATTGATATTTTGTCATTGCTTAAAACCTCATTCTCTATAACAGTGACCATCTTCTACATCACTCTCTATAACAGTGATCATCTTTTACAAGTAATACAATCTCCCAACGAGCAAAAACTTCTCTTACAATGGATGTAACCTTAATCTTTTGACTAAGGCAAACAACTTAAGTTCTATCTTCTCTTTGTTGCTCATCTACAACATACATCATCGCACACACCCACTTAAACAATCACACGTATATTAAGCCTCACCCAATTCAATTATGTGACCCAGGTCCATTAGTTTCAAGCACCATCAAATTCCATGATCATTAATAGCAAATGATCCTACCAAGAGAAAAAAATTAAAAGAGATTTGTACTAGTATTAGTTACTATAGACGTTTACTTCTTATTTTTTGATTAACAGGTACAAATTTATTATACAAACATAACATCAATGCAGATCGCCCAGAAGAGCTTTGACTTCATCAACCTACAATGAAGGGCCTACATTATTCTTTATTGGCAACTAATAAAAAGTAAATATGAGAATAAAAGATATATGTGATAAAAAGAGGGGTGGGGGCGCAAAAATCTTAAATATGTGGTTGTTCTACGAAATATTGATTTTTCAGTTGCTTGTTTTTTAGAACACTATGTGGCTCTTCCTTTTGCAAGTGTACTCATTTATTACCACATCCGATAAATTTAACAGGCACCATAACATCAGAAAAATCTATTAGCCAAGCTACAGCCCTATCATGTCATGCAAACTAACCCTAATACGGAGCAAGCCCCTCGAGGCCAACCAAAAAAAAAAAACAGAAAGATCTTAGAGTATATATTTGTATAGAGGGGTAACCTAGCAATGACCCTTACCAGGTCCAAGACCTTGGTTCACTGCTCACCAGCCACTTACCGACTCCCTTCTCCTTTACCCTAATACTTTGGTTTTTTGTTACAAATACTTCAGTCGATCCGGGCTGGAACTTAAACTAAGTGCAGTGCAACGCTACCTCAGCAACCCAAACAGCAATTCATCTTGCTGTATGGGTTAGTCAGTTAAGGAACCGGTTCATGCAATTTCAAAATAGTCACCACAATTTGTGTGCCGTTTCATGCCGTAATTCATGAAATGCAGACCCGTGACACACTGAGAGTTGAGAGGTCCTAATTCCTTCAGGAATTGCATATCCCCACTCTACTGTCACAGCTATTCCTTACTTTCGCAACCCTCCAGCTTAGGCTCATCAGAAGTATGTGCAACAATTATGCAGTACTAATACTATTTTTACCAAATTTAGGCCCCAAATTCACTGTACCAAATCATACTACACATGCCTCCATTTGATGTTCACAGGACTCAAGTGATTCACATTTGGCACGAAAAAATTTGGTTACAGAAGCATAACTTAATCCAAATTATCTGGTTTGCATACCAATAGAACGTTATTATCACCATTGCATGTGGTGTTTTAAGCATTTCTTGAGTTCTTAACACACTAGAAAATCGAATCAAACTTTATTTACGATTGTCAGCATGTACTATAAACCCTTAGCTTATACCATACCCATGATGACATTTAAGGTGTGTGTCTTTTAATGTATAGATTAAAAGAGAACAAAAGTGTATGCCAAGAGAATTGCTAGCTGGCATACAAATGCAAAAAAACAAAACAAATGTTGTGACAGTATGGAGACGTAATCTCAAATTTTCATTTCTCTATGAACCTGACAAAACATGATGCATTTATTATTCTAGGAAAAAGTGACAGCACATTTCGATCTAGAAAAGCAAGTATTTAGTTGTTAATAATAACTACTTAGTGCACTAACAATATCTAACGGTGATTCAATGCTCTACATGGCTTGTCCAAGAGTTGAAAAAATCATAGCAAAGCCAAGTTACATTTGCCAAGCTACCAAACTGGTTAAAGGAGCAAGTGATGTTCAAGGAAGTCAACAGCCCCAACTTCAAACTTGTTAGATGAACTAGATAATACAACCCGATTCCTCTCTTGCTCAACACAACACAAAAAATTACCTTTATTAGATTTCATTTCTTGGACTGGAGTTTTTGAGTCATTTGCAATGGATTATTAGTCAGGCCAGATTTCCCCAAGACATTCAGAGCCTTCACCCGTTGCATCTCTTTTCCTGTGATATGGATAAAAAAACAAAACTGAATGCTACAGAATTCGACTGTGGTGTAATATCGATTACGTTAAATAAAACATAAATATCATTTCAATTTCATGAGATGCACAACTTGGAAAGAAAAATTTTGAAGTGGAAATATGCATAGACTACGCTAGCCTAAAGCAACTAGTTTGAAACAAGAAGAATAAGAGAAATTTCTTTATATTTACACAGTAGCATGAAGCCAATGGGTCGCAACACATAGCAAGTTTATCATTTACAGTGATAATTTCAAGTCACAATAAATTAGCAAACCTTGTTATTCACTTAAGTGAGTTAAGACCCAGCTCTAGATGTGAGGTGATTATAGCTTTTGGAAAGCAACTGGACATCTGGGGCATCTATAATTAAGCTTGACTGACCCCTAAATGGAACCCAGCACCCAGACAAGGTATTGTAAATTCAAAGTCCGTCAGTACTCCGTTGATTACTTTCATAAAATAAACCCTGTAGTCTCCATTTTCTTTTGTCCGTCCTATATTTATGCCAGAAGGGAAAAGAAAAAATAATAAATGTAGAAAGCTTCACACCCTCCTTACCTTCCTCTATTGTTAATTGGATTGCTCTTTTCTCCAACTCAACTGCATGTCTGCTAAGTTCAGCCGGGGAAAAATTCAGAAGCACTAGTAAGATCATCCAAAAGAAAAGACAAGGCTAGAGTGTCAGAGAAATTGGGGTGTGTGAAAGTAACTTCATGAATTGACATCACTGGGATTGAAGAACTTACTCTGTGTGTAATTTTGATTAGACTCATCACATTGCTTCAAGAAATTCTGCAGACGAATGAACCGTTCTGTCCTCTGCTGATCATCCATCAGCGGACAATCAATTGAGTGTGGAAGCTCTGAAGTAACCTTAACACAATCAGTTTCAACAGCTTGCAACGACTTACAGGGCTTGCCAAGAGAATTGGGGACTGAGTGACCACCATATGAAAAGGTCATCGCTGAAGACATATGATTTGTTGTGACCACAGGAACACGATGTATATTATTCTCCCCCTTCTGAGTTTGGTTTATGGAAATTTCCTGCTGCATGTGGCAATGCTTCAATTGAGGACAATCAGCGTATTTCCCCATGCTGTCCTGAATTCTTCCTCTTCCTAGTTCTAATTCAAATCTTCTACGGGCGTTCAGGAGAAGCTCACTTGCAGCATGGGTGTTTGAAGGCCCATCTGGTGTAAGTCTCTTAGTTCCATGAACCTTAATTGCATCCGTAATGGATCTTCCGTCAACAAAAGGTGAGCTTTCTTCATGACTACGTTTCAAACTCCTCTTTTCATTCTGCACATCTCTGAGCGCAGTCTTTTTTATTGCTACAGGTGGCTGCTTATGGTAAATAGGCACATCAGTCCCACTGTTTCCCAGCCCATTGCTATTGAGTTCAGAATTAACCATTTGTCCAACCAGGGGAACTTGCTTCACTAACTAGAAACTTGAAGGACGTCAAAGGCTAGAGGTCTGAGCAGAAGAGGAAACATAAAATCAGTAAAGATCACCTCCCAGTGTAAGGAATTTTGTAAAGCAATGACAGAGAACATAAGTATGTGTACAAATCGTCATCTTTCTTTTTGCACAAATCAGTAAATTTTTTACAATAGAAGAAAACCCTCAAGCTTTGCTAACCAACCCAAGGCAAGAACATGTATTGCTGAAGCACACTATGTTTATATCCCCGGTTATACCCTTCACCTGCCCCTCCTCCAGTATAGGGGATATGCTTATAAACACACCTACACATGAGTCCACTTCAAGAAACTCATTACATCAGTTCTCAATCCCTTGAGTGATCAGCAAATTTTGAATGGTAATAGTCGTGATTACAAAAAAGGAACAAATCAAAAACACCCATTACTATAAATTCTGGATTGACAACTATCACCTTCAACTCGTGTAATGATATCGAATATTTTCTCATCCTATAACTACAAAAACACAAAAGCAGACAAATATTTGCTCTAAAAGGTGCAGTATCGTCTCAATACCAGCAGTGGGAGGTGATAAAGAGTTTATTTGCGTTTAAGAACTAAAGAATAAATTTGGAAAAAAAAAATTTAAAAAAATAAATCAGCAAAAGGGTCATTATGTAATACAAGCAGTGGTAGATAATTACACTTGCAGTCCAAACTCCAAAGGGATAAACGCAAACTAACATAACAAGAAATTACACGTTTTACAGAGCAAATCGTAGTAATTACACATGTAATTCAGACTCAATCCGCAGAAAAGTAAACAACCCCAACGGAGATAAGTCTATGTTTACATCCAATTCCGCAGCCAAAAATAGTTAATTTCCCAACAATTGGCGAAATCATAACAAAGAGAAAGTGAACGACTACTACTAATTATACATATATACGTAATCAATATATGTTACGGCGCACATAGTGGGGTATTAGTATGAGAGAGAAACGGATTATTGTACTAAAGGAGAGGCAGAGGGCATGGAAAATATAGAAATCGCAGAACGAGACCTCTTACCCTTCTATCACTGTAAGCTCGCAGTGGATCCGAGAGAGAGAGAGGAGAGAGAGATAGAGAGAGACGGCGCGAGAGAGCGTGAAAGGTTTTCAAAAGAGGTGGCTTTGGCTCCAAAGAACGCCAAGAAGTCTTTAGCAAACTTCATTCGGATTTTAAATTAATTACCATTTCCTTCCACAATAAAAAGGAAAATAATTGAATTTAACTAATACATATTTTTCCCTTTTTCTTTTCAACAAATCAATCCGGCTGTTCGCTATTTGAGTTTGGGCGCGATTTAAAGGGATAGTTTTACTAAAAAGGCTCGTGTACATTCTGAACTTATATTTAATTCGAGATTTGAAGTCCGAAATTTGTAGGATAAATAAATTCTGTTCATAATAAATAATGAATTAAAATCCAAGTACGAGAGGATTTGATAAAATTTATTGGGGATTGGGTTCCAAAAGTGAGAAACTAAATTTGTAGATAAAAAAATTGATTTACTCAAAAAAATCATTTTTTTATTGGCCTAATAATGAATATTTTAATCAATTGAGGGCATCTCTGATCCTGACTCAAATTTAAATTTAAAAAAATGAGTCTCCTTTCTCCAACTTTTGACTCAAATTTATACCAAATTAAAGAGACTCATTTTTTTTATTCAAATCTTTAATAGTGAGATTTTAATATCTTTTAAAGATCCAATTGTCATCTTTATTCTCATTTAAATTTAAATTTAGATTTCTCTTTCTTTAAATTTGAGTTTGTCCATTGGAGGCATTTGTATCAAATCAAACTTTTTACTCAAATTTGAATAAAAATTAGAATTGTGATTGGAGATGATTTGATATGAAATTATGAACTCCACGTGTATTTATTTATGTTACTCATTAAACATGAGATTGTTAAGGCATATTATTTGAATTGCATGTATAAATCCTTGAGACTGGATTTGAAAAAAATTCAAGAATGCAATCCAATCTCTCCCAAAACAAACAATCCAAATGGGCCTTAAATGTTAAAGCAATGCATTCCTGTCCAAATCAACAGGAACCCTCCTTATCCCAATTCTTAGTTCTTTTTTTTTTTTTGGTTGAATCTAGTTACATCATCTCTTTCAAGTTTCAGCTGTGCTCATAACACTACTACACTAGTTAAAAAACATTGTTTATAAGATGTTACAACTATCATTAAACGAAAATTCTAAAAATTACAATCCATCTTCCCCTATTAGGGTGTCTCCATGGGCTAGGCTCCTGTTGAACCCCTAATTTTTAATGCCTACGCAAGAATTATTTCTTATTGCTGGCATTGGGCCATAGTCTTATGCGATTTCTAGGTGGGTTTTTAAAAAATATTGTTTGACTGGCCAACCTTATCCATCTATCATGTTCAAAATATAAATAATCACCTATATTTATATAAATATATATATATATATATGAGATACTTTTGACTAAAAAAATTTGATAGAAGTTAGGAAAGTTGCAAGAGGATAAATAGAGAGAATATGTGAAAAGTGTGAGAGAATATGAGTGGTTTTGTATACTATGTGAAAGATTTTGATTAAAGAAAATATTTTCTTCTTTTTATAAAAGTCAAATTTCTCAAGAAAAATAAGGAGAATGTGTCAAGGTTGGATTCAACACGCTTTTAGAATAGTTGTTCCAATCCAAACACCTATCCGAACTATTAGAGAGCTCAAGATCTAATCGAGGAGTTAAGTCAAAACAAAACAAGAGAAGAAAGTTAACTTTCTACTGAGTGAGCCTGAACAGGAGCAAACACACACGAGATCAAAGCAAGTTTAGCTGACCCAATGGCACATACATTTACTAGAATGAGGTAGAGCAAACAAACACACACTCGTTGAGCTGCTCTAGCAAACACCCCTTTCAGAAATTTCATTTGTAGGACTAGGGAGAACACTTGCAAGCGTGTAGGTGTTTTGAGAGAGCGCAAAACTCTAACTTAAGCAAGTGTCAGCCAAGCAAAAGGGTTTGCGTTTTGGACATGAGATCTCATTCGAAGCTTTAGACAAATATGCTTTTGACTTTTGAGATATTGAGTCTTTATGGTATTTCGTACACATTTCGACGATTGATCGAACAAATAAGTCAACTTCTTCAAAGTGGATTTATTGTGCGAAGAATTTATTATGATCTATGGCCGATTGCCTGGAGGGGGTGTCTCCTCCACTATGGATAAACTAGAAATTTGACTCTACAAATTTGAGGAAAGGTTACACTACAATAATAGGGGTATTAAGACCGACACTTTTTATAGTGCTAGCAATAATGCAAGTGAATGAATACTAAAGAATTTTGTAAAATAAAATGAGGGTATTCCTAAATGTAAGAGTTAAAAGAAAAATACAATCTTGTGCTTGTCTTGGGCTAGTTTTTCATCTTTAATACTAGACCAAGTCTAGTAGGGTTTAACCTGGCCCTAGACCAAACCAATTGTTGAGATCAAAAATAAAAAAAAATTAAAAAAGAAAAATTTGAAGGCCGGTCTCTCTTTGTGGACTTATTTAGTGATAAGTCTATGAAGGAAACTTGTTTAATATTAAGTACATTTTGATCTTCATTGTCCAAAATATTCATAGTAGTTATATTTAATTAAAACAAATTTGAAAACTAACAACTCCTAAATTTTAAGAGTTTGACTAATATTAAAATTTTATGTCTCTCTTATATCTATCTATATCCATATATAAAATAAGATTATTTATTTCTCTCTCATATATATATGCACATTCATACATACATACAAACATATAGTAACATCAAACAAAAGTATAATAATATTTAAACACAAAAAATATTATCATTCAGATACAAAAAATAATATCATTTAAACACAAAAAATTAATAACATTTAAATACAAAAAAATAATAATATTCAAAAACAAAAAAAATAATAGCATTGAGTATTAATATTTGAAAAAATAATAGTAGTAACATACCTAATAAAAATAGTAACATGGTAATATATATATATATATATATATATATATATATATATAGAGAGAGAGAGAGAGAGAGAGAGTATCAATGGTTCTTTGAATTTGAATTGTAAATTTATGTAAAAAAATTTATTGACAAATTTTCATTAATAGTGAATTAAGGGATAATAATATCCAAGTTAAGAAACTAATTTAAAGTTGTTTTTATGAAAGGATAGTTTAGAGTTTTTAAAAAATAGTAGACTTAACTACTTATTAGTAAGATTAAAATTAGATTTATCCCTAAATAAATTTTCTTGATGGATTAAACTCATTATAAGTCTCTTAAGAAGGGTTCGACCCCAATTTTCACTAAAAAAAAATTCTAATACCATATACTAAAAGGATAAAGTAATTTTGAGTCCTTTTGATGTTTTATCATATAAAAGTCTGCTTTCTTTTTCATGAATAATGTATGAGGCCCCTAAAAGCCTTCAAACCTCTATTCTTATAAAAAATTTTTTTATCATTTTGCTACCAGTTTTTGAATCGTACAATGCACGGGATTTACCCCTCTCCCTCTCTGTCACACCCTAATTGACTTGGGTGCAAATGACCAGTCTTGGTGGCACCTTGCACCAAGGCATGCCAGAAACTGAAATCAAGGTGACGCGGCTAAGTGGTTCGACAGATTAGGGCGAACCAAGGCAGCATGAGACCACCCAGTTGAGCATGGCAGCATGGGTAGGCTCAATTGAAGCAATGTGGGTGCAGAACTTCGGATTGCATGACATGGGTTGAACTCAGCATGCACATTGGTTCGTGTGGCAAGGTTGGCTGCTGAATGTGGGCACCTGACTGGCACATGGCTGCTCAATGCATGTGACCAAGAGGATGTGGGCGGTTATGATGCTGAGACTCAATCAAGATAGTTGTTGAGGCAATTCTGGATGTCCCCAGCCTGAATTCAGTCTACATGCATGCTGATGAAGGGCAGTTTCACAACAGTTACTCGAAGTGATGGAACTGCCTGTCAGGTGTTGCACAGAGACCAAGTCTGCTAGCCCAGTATGCTATGGAATAGTAAAAACGTGGGTAACTACCCCTTGGCAGATGGGGGTGTCATCTACCTTCCTCTTGTATAAATAGGGGTACTTGAACATTCTGGAAAGCAGAGAGTGTTCTGGCTTTTGAGAGTCCATGTAAATTGTTGAGTTCAATATATAAGGTTTGGGAGTGTTATCCCAGTAAATTCGTGTGTGTCTTCTGTGTGAGTTTTTGTCCCTTATTCTTGAGTTGAGTGTGGTTGGTTGTAATAGCAACGCCTTCACAGGTAACCTCAAAAGAAAAATGAAAGTTATCCTGTGACACTCTCTCTATCCCAATATTTTATCTATTATCAAAGTTACCCACCTCTTGTGAAAAACAAATAGATGCTCAATCTGATTAAATTTATAGAACTATATCCATTACCATCCACAAACAAGAAGAAGATGATGATGAAAGGAAGAAAGAAAACAAAAATAAAAACAAAAGAAAGAAAAATACAATAAACAATATAGGTCCTCATTCACAAAACTAAACAATTATGAGTAAACTACACATGATTTTTGAAGTTGACCGTAGATTTTTGCATACCTTTTGTACTTAAAATGGAATTTTTGCAAAACTTTTAGTTTTTTTTTTGGAGGGGGAGTTGGGGGAGGAAATGCTATGGATCTTAAATTTTAGATCCCAAATGGTATCGCAAATGAATAGGAACTATTGAATGAGTGGTTCTCTTTAATTTTTTTAATAACATCCACCGATCCAATGATCCTATTGATTTAAACTGACATTTAGGATCCAAATTTAAGATCACAATCATTACTCTTTTTGATTAACCCAACTTAAGAAGAACTTCGGTTGCACTTTCTTTATTCTTGGGGGGACCCATTGTTGATGAAATCTACTAGAGTGTCAACAAATCAGAGCTATCTGCTGATTTCTTGTCTCACGCAATTAGTAGTTAAAAATTGTTGGAACCAAATCCGGAAAAGAAATATGTAGAGCAACATTATTGCTCAAACTGACTCACCATTTATCACAAAAATGCAATATCTCTTCTTCTTGAAAGAACTAAATCTGCACAATGTGGTGCAATTATAGAAAATATTATGACTAACCTGTGACTGAATGTACGATGCAATATAAGTGAAAAATGATGGATTGGAGTGCAAAATTCAATGTATATGGTCTTGAGAAGAATGTTGGTTGTCATTGGATGAGTCTACTTAAAACCATCGAATATACTTATTGAAATCCGCTTTGTTTTATATGATAGATTATAGATGTTGCATTTTTTATTTAGGGTTGATTGTTTTTTGTCCCCATCAAATTATGATCTTGATTTTACTTTGTTCTCTTGATTATTGATGTGAATACCCTGCAACCTTATTTGCTAAACCTCGTGACACTTCAATAATTCTATGCATTTCAATTGAGTTTACTAAATATTGTATCAAAAATGATATGACGAAATATTGTGCATTTAAATGTTTAATGAGAGTGAGTGGGACCCATTAATCTAACTACTTTTACTAATTTAGCATACAAAATACAATAATACTATGTTGACTAAGATTTTTTAACCAAATTTTTTCGGTATAAATGACATGACATAGCTTTTACCATCAAATAAGTGGGCTCCATTAATATTTAATGATAGAAATTGTGTCACGTTATTTGCGATAAAAAACTTAATAAGAAACTTAGTATGTATAACAACATTACTATACAAAATGTGATAAACAATTTAGTAAGCATATCAGTGCTCCTTTGTAGTTTACAACTTTGCTGACTCATCTAACAATCTTATAAATAATCAGTATACCAAGTAAGTGTACAACACTTTTATTTATAAAGAGTCTTGGAAGATAAGTAATACATAATCGTATTCTATATTTTGTTAAGTTTAATATTTAAGACTCAAATTCATGATATATAAAAACGAGCACTTCTCACTCTATCTAAATACGACCTTGTACCCAAAAAAAAAAAAAACCTTCTAATAAATGAAAAATACTAATTTTTTAAGCCAATTTTTAAAATTTATTTAGCATTTTCTGTGATAATAAGTTTAAAAATAGTCAAGAATTACTAGTCAAAGATGAAAAATAACTCAATTCCAATGTGGCACGTCTACAGATGAATTGTTTTCTTCATGTAGTCCAGAAGTATTTAATGATATAAAAGAGGATAATTAACACCTGTCTTAGCTATGAAGACAACATACTCTTAAAAGCTACAGAATTAATGTAAAAATCAAAATAAAATTTTTGAAAGCACATGGCAAGGTAACCGTTAGACCCAACGCACTGGAAAAAACAGATCAACGCGACTTTTCATCTCAAAAAATCCGACGGCTGCCATATACTAGCCGTTGGTTTTAAAAATATGAAGAGGAGGGGGCATGTGCGGACATACATCCGCTCTTTACGACTCAATTTCGCTTATCCGGTTCCTATTTCTTTATGATTCTCTTTCTATTCCTGGTTCATAGAATGATCCAAAACCTAAAGAACCAGTAGAGAGAGAGAGAGAGATTTAGAGAGAGACTTCAAGATCAATCACTCCATTGATCGATTTGATGGAGTGCTTCTCCATATAGTCTCTCTTATTTGCGACCACAAAGGGGAGGATTTTACTCGAATTTGCTCTATTCAAACAAGGTAGACACTGGGTTTTGAGGAGATTCTTGATTTTGAAGGTCTTTTTTTTAACTTACGATCTGGGTTTTCGTCGATGGTCTCGGTTCTTATTTGTTCATTTATTCCTTTTATTGTGATCTTTCACCAATGAGAATGCGTTGATTGATTAATCAGTGTTGGTGCTCTTCATCTATAGTCTTTCAATTCTTTGGTTGGTACGTAGTTGAATCTTTTGGTTTTCTGTACCTGTTCCTTGCAGACAGTCAAAATGGCTGGATCAGATGAGAACTACTTGGGGATGATCAGGCCTTCAAATATTCAAGGTAATTTGAATTACTGAACCAGGTTCTAGACGCATCTTCTCTTGGATTAGTTCCTGTAGATAGCCCATTTGATTGTTTGTATCTGAAATTAAATCTGGTTCTAAAACCCTGATTTCCGAAATGGCCTTTTCTTTTGTTAATGAAAAGGAGGCTTACGAGCAGGGAATGTGAAGTTCACAGCGGGAATTGGGCAAAATCGGAGGGCATTGAGCACGATTAATCGGAACATCGTTGGAGCTCCACCTTACCCATGTGCCATCAACAACAGAAGTGGCTTGCCAGAGTAAATTTCTTGAACATTCTTTGAGTCACCAGGGGGGTCTCTCTTATTACCTTTCATTTCAGTGACCAATTTTAAGCTGTTCTTTGTTATCAATATTCAGGAAAAATGAAGTCCCTAATAAGAATCTGACTCTGCCTGTGCACCGACCGATTACTAGGTTGATTATTGACCACTCTTGTTGGTTTTAAAGATGTTTGTTTTTGCTTAGTATTCTTGTTTGATATTTATTTTAGATTCTTGTTGTTTGTTCAGGAAGTATGCTGCACAAATGGCTGGCAAACCGCAGCAACCCTTACTTGAGGTACAATATACCTTGTTGGTGAACAAAGAGAAAAGTAAATTTGTAGATTTTACTAGTAAAGTGTGTTTAGTTAGTTTTGAAGTTGACATTGTGATCACTATATTAATAGGAAACTAAGCAGCCAGTCCAACCATTTCTGTATCCAAGAGAATCAGAAGACTGCACCATCATTGATGTGGATGACTACAAGGCCACTGGTGACTTCCCTGTGCCTATGTTTGTGCAACACACAGAAGCTATGCTGGAGGAAATATATCGAATGGTAACGCACCTTAGTTTGAGTGCTCGTTAGTGCGTTAATGTTCTATAAGCAAGGACGTTTAGGCTTGGTGCTGAATTTTGTTTGGCAGGAATGTCATTAATGTTCTATTTTTTATGCAGGACAAGGAGGTTGAGATGGAAGATATAGAAGAAGAGGAGCCAATCGTGGACATAGACAACACAGATAAGAAGAACCCCCTTGCAGTTGTTGAGTACATTGATGATATATATGCCTACTACAAGAAAGCAGAGGTGATACTATTGCTACTGTTTCTGCTTTGTTTTGGAATGTCAGACTTTATAATGTATCTTTGTCCTATGATGTGCTGTGTGTTATGTACACTAATATAGATGAACTTGATGGATATTGTCTCAATGCACTACATCATATTGTGAATTGCTTATCCTTGGGGTGGTTTACGAAATGATCTCTCTCTTAATTGCAGCGTTCTAGCTGTGTCTCACCGAACTATATGGCACAACAATTCGACATTAACGAGAGGATGAGAGGCATTCTCATCGACTGGCTGATTGAGGCATGTAAAATTATGTATACAGCATTATGTATACACCTAAAATTATCTAGCCCCTCTCTCGTTAACCATTTCATTAAACGAGCAGGTGCACTACAAGTTTGAACTGATGGAGGAGACCTTATACCTCACTGTCAATCTCATCGATAGATTCTTAGAAGTCCAACCAGTGGTGAGAAAGAAACTACAGCTTGTTGGGGTTACAGCCATGCTTCTTGCTTGCAAATATGAAGAAGTTTCTGTTCCTGTTGTTGAGGATCTCATATTGATTTCTGACAAGGCTTACAGCAGAAAAGAAGTGCTTGAGATGGTCTGTGTGCTCAATACTAATACTTTTTTTTTAATGATGGAAAACTGTGGCATTAGAGGATAAATTCAACTTCGTTTTTTTGCAGGAGAAATTGATGGTCAATACCTTACAGTTCAATCTAACAGTTCCCACTCCATATGTGTTTATGAGGAGATTTCTAAAAGCTGCTCAATCTGATAAAAAGGTTTGTCTCGGTAATTTAGTGTAGATTTTATCTTACACTGTATTTGATTTTGTGATGAGATTTCTGCTGATCTTGAACCAGTTGGAGCTTCTGTCCTTCTACATAATCGAGCTTTGCCTCGTCGAGTACGAAATGCTCAAGTTCCCACCTTCTCTGTTAGCAGCCGCTGCCATATTCACTGCTGAATGCACTCTCTGTGGATCAAAGCAATGGAGTAAGACCAGCCAGAGGCACACTAACTATACTGAAGATCAGCTACTGTAAGTGGATTCTGCATTAGTCGCACAAAAATAATGTTTTGGATAAAATAAAAAAAACTAATGATGATTTTATCATTTGGTTTTCATAGGGAGTGCTCGAAGATGATGGCCATCTTCCATCAGAAAGCAGGCAGTGGGAAACTTACTGGCGTGCACCGGAAATACAGCACTTCAAAATATGGCTATGCCGCAAAATCAGAACCTGCTCATTTTCTCTTGGATGATGGTACATTCCATGATTGATTTACTAATGGAGTAGGAGAGACTAATATTAAGGGAACAAAAGTAAATGGTGGGGTGGGGGGTTGCACTTGAGCAACATAAGTTGCCCCTGGTGGTCCTTGAACATAGATTGACTTTGATGAGTTTGTTGTTGAGACTGTTTGTCTGTAGCTACATCAAATGTTCTTTGCGAGCATACAAGAATAACTATTCTTATTAAATAACTCGCAGGTCTTCTTTCAAATTGAAAATTTTCTGTTCAATGACTATTCTTGTTAAATAACTGTTCTTTTCAACCAAGGTTTGATCGCATAGAGGGATTTGGTAACGTGGAACTTGTAACAGACCCACATCAACTAAAAAAATTTTGGAAATGCCATTTGGTGTAGGAATGTTATTTGGGGAGGGGGGTGGGAGACAGAAGAGAAGAAAGAGTTTGGTACTTGTCGGTGGACGGGAGAGAGAGATACGATTCTGAAGTATCTCTTTTCAAATTTTGTACCAAATTTTCCATGCCTAATGAAGTAGTGTGCACCATTTGAAATGGAAGATTTTATATTGAACATTACTCAGGATTGTATGTCGTCATGAGGATCGTACTAGCAGATATTAACTTTCTAGCTTCTGCTAATATAAGAAACCACAAAGGCAAGATGAAATTGCCAGAGACTAGAAACGATGTCATCATCATAATCACCCCCCTTTCTTTTTTTGATAGCTAACATTAGATACAAATCGCCAACATACTCAGTTGGAGACCACTGAGACCTGTCAACATACTCGGTTGCAACCATGCAAATGACCCTTGCAAGACCACTGGCATCTAAATCTGCCCAAGGTATAAACATTCCCAAGATGAACCAGCATCTTACAGCAAGCATGGCTACGCTTCGTAAAGAAAAGGTTCTGAATGGCATAGTAAACATTCAGACACAATCACAAAGGAACAGGCACACTAATCTAATATTGGTCACCAAACTCGTATTCACTCATGGCAGTAACGCACAAATCAAGAGCACAGGGGTCCTCTGCAATCCGATCAGATGCTGTAACCATTGGGCGGCTAGATCTATAGGGGCATACCATGCTTTCCATCATCTGAAATCTCAAATTCCAAGAAAATCACTATCATTCCCTGGTTTACACATATGCTTATTTCCATATAATTCTATATTACACATGCATCACTTACCAATTTATACACTTAATTGCTAGGTGCACAATTAGCCTGTCATTAGCATAGAATGAACGTCCTAAGAAATAAGTATGTAGTTAAGAAAGAATGACCTTCCAAGCAAGTGATCTATAGGGCCACCCCCCCCCCCCCCGCGGTCAAAACAAAAAAAAAAACCCTACTCAAAATCAAATCTTTTCCACCCAACTCCCACCAGCAGTTGAGTGGCGAGACATTGATTAACTGGCTTGCTCATCTGCTACATTTAAAAATAACCTAGACCAACAAATTGCGATTACATGGCTTATACCTTGTGTAGCAGCATCAAATAAGCAAACACTGATATTAGGAGGTTATAGTCCAGGGAAAAGTAAAATTTTCAGATGAAAGGCTATCTTTTTACACCAGCTTACAAAGCAGATGGTTACAAGGAATATATTAACTTCAGAGCCGAAAGGATGAGACCCCATTTGAAGTACGATTTACCGCCGTGCAGGTGGCACAACACCCCTGCCAGGAGTAGCCCCACGACCAGCAGCCTGAGCCTGTACAGGAAATGAGAAAAACAATAATCAGGTGCATGCCACCATGATAATATAGCAACCGTCAAATTATCAACTTATGCTTTGACCCTTTAACCCAGCATTTCCAAAGCAAAGTCTGTTTTCCCCAGAACTTGAATTGTCACATCAAATTATGCTTTCATATCAAACCCAATGCTTTGATGTGATAACAAGTTGCATATACACCAAAAAAACTTACTCTAGCCCGCATTGCAACAGCACGACCCCGACCAACTCCAATTGCCGAGCCCTTACCCTTCAAGAAGTCAAATCAAACAAATCAGAAATGCAAAAAAGGTAATAAATCCAGAAGAAATAAACACAGGTGCATGGAAAGGTACCTTGATCCTAGCTTCCAGACGCTTGAACATTGGAGCATTCTTAAGCATATCCGGAATCACCATAAACCTGATGGAATTTTGCATGAGTCTTGAATATGAAGTTACATGAAAAAAAAAAAATCATCTCGACTAATCAACTAATAAATGAGATTAGATACCTGACTTTGCTGCCTCGGATAAAAACATGCTCCAGTTGTGAGACCTTCCCATCCTGTGAAGACATCAAACAACATTAGTGACTGACGTTTTTAAAAGAAGCAAATTCCCAATAATTTTTTTCACTAAGTTTTCTATTTTCTTTAACTGAATTGTATCTGCTATCTTTTTACCCATCAGATATTTGCTGTCAGCACTGGTCCACAGTCAATAGTACACTATAAAAGTCAATATAACTGTTCTGCATAGAATAGCTAATGCAATTGTTGCCCTCACTATCATGTTTGACTGGTATCTTTTCCAAGCAAAACATGGGGAAAAAATTTGCCAGGCCTTTCTGTTTTGTTGTTATCGATTCATTATCATGCCTATTATTTTACTGTTAACCTCTATATGCATATCTTTTAGGTTTGACCTCTTTATAAAAATTCTCACTTCATGCTTTATGTCAACTCTAATGATCTTCCATTCCTTGTGGAGCCATTGAATAATTGTAGGAAGCTGAAACTCTATACTCGGCTTTGCATTATCACAAACATGTTACAATGTTAATTCAATTTGCAATACAATGAACTAATGTAGCATAGTACTCTCTTGACTTGGGTAATAGCCTTATGTGCACATCAGGAGGTAGCAATGCATTATCAACAATTCTCTAGGAAAGCTCTAATGAGATATGATCTGGAAAACCAAAACTTTAGGAGTTTGCTCAGACACCACAAATGCCTCTGTAATTGCTTCTTCCCCATTTTTTGAGTTAAATATGGGCAGCCACAACATTTGAAATACAATAGCTTTCTTGCATGCCTATTGTTGATTATGCAAGACGTTCACTAGCACAAGCTCCATTTGAACATTTCAATGATGGATAACAATGAGTAGTCATACAAATCGTAAGGCACACAAAAAGTATGAGCAGAACTGGGGTAAATACTAAACCAGCCTTTCATGATGCTATATTCAATGCTTGTCTTAAAGAAACATATTAATCATGCAAGGCAAATGTTGTGGTCCTCACTTATTTCTTATAACTACTGAGAGATAAAATCTACTCACAAACCGCAGCCAACAATAAGCAATAATTTCGGAGCTTACATTACAAAAATTGGGGCCAATGTGACACAAACAAGTGGCATGGGAGCATGACAACAAATATGAAATACAATAATATACCACAAAACCAAAACTTTATGATGAAAAAGACAATCGTGTAGCAAAACCATAGAGAAGGAATTGGACGCCAACACACCATAATCTATGGCTTGAATTTTTTCTTTTTTTGGGGGATTAAGGAACAGTGGTAACAAGTGCAAATTCTCTGTTGTCAATTGCAAAGACGAGCGACAACTTTGTTCTTCTACGTCTAAAATTATTAAAAAAAAATTGTCATTCAAACCAAATTTTCTATTCAATCACATTTTCTCAACATACAATTACAGCAGAAAGATAGTCATAAAATGTGTGATCTAGATAGATACTAAAAGGCAAAACATTATTAAGACGAAAATAAAGGAAGGAAACCCCTATAATACAAGTAAATAACACCCAGAAAAATAAGAACAGTGGTAGTGTAACAAACAAAAAGCAATAGAGGAAGAACATCTTCATTTGGCTACGGAAAGAAAATAAATAAAACACCGAGTCCGGTTATCAAACACACCCGTCCAATTCTATAAAACCAAACCGACTATAAATGTAAACGGTTTGGGATTTAAGAACACATTGTGCGGAAACAACAATAAAAACATTAAAAAAAAACCAAGAAACTACAATAAATCAATTTAAGCATCGAATACTATGAATGTAATTAGTATCGAGAAATTTACCTTAGCAGTGTAGGTAATATTTTCAAGTTGGCAATTCCAGTTGTCTTCGCACTCGACCATGCTTCCTCTGTAGAGCTCCCCACTCTTTAGTTCTACGGTGACCACATGCCCAGCTGCCTCGTGTAGAAGTTTTACCGGTATTCCCAAGCTCCGACTCATGGCACCGCCGTTTCAAGTCTCTCCGTCCCTCTTTTACTTCTCTGCAAAACCCTAATCAGTCTCGCTCACCGGGATGTTCTTTCGACGACGGGCTCTGAAGTCATAATATATAGAGTAAATTACATTTTCCCCTCAGAACTATTATCTTTATTTTATTTTGTACCCTTAATTATAAATTTTTTCACATTATATTTTAAATTATTAATTTTATTTCATATCATTGCAATAGATAATAGCAAACTTGAAAATCTTTCAAATGAGGGAGAAAACCCCCAAATAGCTTCCCACTAAGTGCCTATAACTATTTTATTTTACCTTTGTGTAAGATGAATTTCGCACAATAAATAAGATGATAAATCTCTTATTTAATGAGCTCAAGTTTGCCTATAGGGCTGCGTACCCCACAACGGAAAGCTATGAAATAGCAAGAAGGACCTTGAGAGAGAAGGATGGTGGAAAGTGGTGAAGCTCTCTACAAATGACCAACTTACGGGTCAACTCTCAAACAAAATCTTATTACTCAAAACAGAAGGATTAGAAAGGTGACGAAATATTATTTTGGCATGACCTCTCCGTCGGTTAAATTAGTATTTGATAAAAATGTTTAAAAACACTGTTCTATTACTTGGGTCAGGAATTTTTGTACCTAAACTTTGAACTTAAAGGTGCTATTTATACACTCCAGGAATGGATCAAGGCGGATAACTAGGTCCCATTAGAGGGAAAACACATAGTTGGTTCGTACAGATAGAGGACAACATCTAGTGCACAGACTTTGATTAGAGTGTCTACTTCTCCTTGCACCAGAAGCTTCTGCAGACCTTCACTCGGGTTCCCGAGGGAGAAGGATGGTGGAAAGTGGTGAAGCTCTCTACAAATGACCACCTTACGGGTCAACTCTCGAACAGAATCTTATTACTCAAAAAAGAAGGGTTAGAAAGGCGCCGAAATGTTTTTTTGGCATGACCTCTCCGTCAGTTAAATTAGTATTTGATAAAAATGTTTAAAAACACTGTTCTATTGCTTGGGTCAAGGATTTTTGTACCTGAACTTTGAACTTAAAGGTGTTATTTATACACTCCATGAATGGATCAAGGCGGATAATTAGGTTTCATTAGAGGAAAAACACATAGTTGGTTCGTACAGACAGAGGACAGCATCTAGTGCACTGACTTTGATTAGAGTGTCTACTTCTCCTTGCACCAGAAGCTTCTACAGACCTTCACTCGGGTTCCCGACACTTCCCCACTCCGTCAAGCAATGAATACACCCCACACCTCTGCATAACCATTAAATGTGCGTTGGGCATTGTTATGCACGCGCGCATGGGTATTTTCATCAATTCCCCCTTCAAGGGATCAGGAATTAATTGTCTCATACATCTTACGTCTTTATCATTTGTCATTCAACTACCTTTCAAAACATTTTGATTGCCTTGGGAAAGGGGGCAAATGATTGATAGTCAACCCCATTCCTAAATTCTGATACCCATAAATTATTTTACATCGATTGTGGGTATGTTTGTCTTAGTTGGTCTTTTTATATTCTTTTTGAGATCTCAGTTCATCTCTTGGTTGGGACAGATGTCGGGGGTAACTGTTTACCATTTGCCAACGCCAGCCTTGTGCGTCGAGACGACATGGCCAGTCTGAAGGGAGGCAAAGCACTCCGAGGTACGTTCTCATCGCCAATGTAAACTAAATGTCACCAATGTGATCCCAACAACCCACAGGGTTTGTTGATGTGAGTCAATGACGCCAAGGTGACGTGGCACTTGCCCCTCGATTACAAAAATGTCTCATTAACCTCTTTTGCAACTAAATAGTTATTGGGAAGAAAAATAATGTTTGTTATAGGAAGAAAATTTCGAACTTAGAAAGGGCAAAGTCATTGATAGATATTTTTTTTTATTTTTAACCTGTACATGTGCAGTATATAATTGCTTATTTACAGTATAAACCACTTACATGCGCATTTACCGTTGACAACCGTTATCTATTGGAATGATATAAAATAAAATTAATTTTTTAAGCTATAATGTGAAAAATTTTATAATTGAGGATACAAAGTAAAACAAAGGTTATAGCTCAAAGGGATAAAATATAATTTATCCTAATATATACGAGGAGAGCAAAGTAAGGGTATTTATGTCTTTTTGATATTTTGCGATTTCGACAATGGGCAGATCCCGATCTTGCTAGGTGACAGTTGGGTTAGGTCTGTGTTGGGTCATTCGTATTCATATCAAACACTATTCAATCATAACCCAATCTATTTAACTAATCATGTAGCGTTGTGTCAATCTATTTATTTTCGTGTCGTTTTCATAAATAAAAATTTTAACGCTAAGTTTTATACATAAATTTTATTATCACTTAATCAAACTTATGCTCCTATTTTTCTATAAATTAAAAAAATTAACTTAATAAATATAATAATAAAAATGAGTAAAAATATATATTTTTTGTACAGAATTAGGTCACTACTTAATAAAAAATTATAAAAAAATTGACATGACATTTTTATAATACTGCTTAGACATATTAATTGTGTCAATTTCATATTGTTCGTGTTTGACATTAATCCAACTCATTTATTATTTGTGCTAATGAGTCGTGTCACATATAGGGGTTCATGTTCATAAATAGTCAATTCTAACCTATTAATTTTGCATTGATTTTGAGCCATGTCTTTGTGTTGTGTCAAAAATTGCCACCATCTTGCTAACTACTTTATGAATATCGGGGGATATCCATTAATTTTACTAATAGTGACATATGTTTTCTTTAAATTTAAGTCTATTATCTTTTAAATTTGAGTTTGTCAGTTGGAACTCTTTATATTAAATTAAGTTTTTTCCTCAAATATTGACTTAAATTTAAGTAAAAATTTGTATCCAGGTTGGAGAGGCTCATAATAAGAATAGAGTAATGCTATTAAAATCTAATTTGTTGATCTAATTCGTTATGACCATTGAATTGGCTGTGGACTCCATTAAACATTAGAGTTTGGTGTTAATCCAATGGTTCCACTGAAACCACATCATTATATCAATAAATTAGATCAAATTTTTAGGCTCAAGTAAAATTACTCTAATAAGATTTGGAGCCCACTAAAGATCCATTTTAACTAATCCACTAGACAAGTTGTGGGGCAAAGTTTTTTGGAAGAATTACACTAAAACTTCACGAGGTTTGTCACTTAATCAATCAGATCTCATGATATTTGAAATATTACACACTAACCTCCTAAAATTTATATGCACGTAACACTTAGACCTTGCTGTAAATATATCCATTAATAAATTACATATAAACCCTTTAAAGTTTGTAAACATATATTACTTAGACTCCTTAAGTTTAAAATGTTATACTTAGACAAAAAATACTTCAATCATATAAAATATCAAATATTTTAAATTTTATAATTAAAATTCATGTTATATTATATCATTTATTTAAATAAAATAAAAAATAAAAAAATTATTTTTTCTTAAAAAATAGTAATTATTATACAATTATATTGTCTATTGGAATTTTATTTAGTCGTTTAAACGATCAAATTAAAATACCAAACTACCCCCAATTAAAGCTAAAGGATATTGTATCCATTATAGTTTGACAATTTATTTAACTTTTTAGTTTTATTCTAATAGATAGTATAATTGTATATTAATTATAATTTTTTAAAAAAAATTAGTTTTTTCTTTTTGATTTTATTTCAATAAATGACATAATAGAATATGAATTTTGGTTGAAAATTCATGATCTATCATGGATGACTTAGACTCCTTGTTTGATTTTTTAGTTTTATTCTAATAGATGATATAATTGTATGCTAATTATGATTTTTTAAGAAAAAATTAAATTTTTATCTTTGATTTTATTTTAATAAATGATATAATAGAATATAAATTTTGGTTACAAAATTTAAAATATTTGACGTTTTATATTTGATTGAAGTATTTTTAATTTAAGTATAATATTTTAAATTTAATGGGTCTAAGTATTATATATCTATAAACTTTAGGGGATTCAGGTATAATTTATTAATTATATATTTATGTCAGGCTTTAAGTGTTATGACATATAAATTTTAAAGGGTCTATAAATAATATTTTAAATATAAAAAAATTTAAATAATTAAGTGGCAATTCAATAATTAATCCTTCAAGTTTTTTTTTTTTTTTTAGCACAGACCGGTCTGGTTCATTATTTAGGCGGATCTGCCGCCTGGCCCACGGTGCATCCTGTACCGTTGATTGACTAGCTAGGTAGGCTTGGCCTGATCCGTTCTGAGCATATGCTTTTCTTCTTTTTGCGACAATGAACAAATCATTTGGAAAGGAAAGTAACAAAACCACCACCAAGTGCTTTTTCTCTGGGTCCCAACTTCTTTGGATTTTTCTGAAAATTATTGCACCAGCTCAGGTGCATTCAACGGAGATTATTGTCCCAGCTCAAGTGCATTCAACGGGTACAATTAAATTCTGTGATCGTATATATATAAACTTCCTTGCTCAGCTTGAGAGATTGAGTTAGAGTGAAAATGAAAGGGTGGCATGGTTAGCAGCGAGAAAGATATAAAACAGAGAGGCTGAATTTGGGAAGATGTACAGTTCTGCGGGATTTCTCTCATCACCTGTTCTTAAGTCTTTACCACCCTTTTCTAGCAAACAATCTTTCACGGTAATTTCAAAGTGTTGGGTCTTCATCACCCTTTTCATTTTCATTCTATTCTTATTTCCATGTCCCTTCAATGTTTCTACCCTTTTTGATTGAATATTGTGGTTCTTATTCTCTTTCCAGTACTGCAAAACAACTTGCTAATTACTTTTGAGTTAGACCAATGCAAGCTATCTATTTCGTTTTGTTTCGTTTTGAAATTGAACTTAAGTTTTCAGTAATTGTCTTTCATGATATGGAGGATTCATCTGATTATCCGTCCTTTGTATTGTGGACGGACAATACATGATGGTCAGCTGAATTTCATTAATATGGTTGGTTCCTAAATCTATCCGTGTTGGTGCTAGTGTATCAGTGATTTTTTGCTTAGTGTTCTGTAGTTATTCTTGTCTATGTTTTTTTTATTCTTAAATTTACTGAATTAGTGCAGAGTTGGCCAATGAAATTGATGGGGTTTGATTCTGGCTCGTTGTGAATTCTAGTGGATTGTATGCACTGGCAACTAAAAATTTTAAATGCGAAACATTGAGAAAGATTGATCTCTCAGGTGCTTTATCATCCATGTACATCATTAGGAGAAAATGTTCCCCCTTCCACCCCTGGGGGAAGCAACCATTATCTTGTAATATCAAATGAAACTTGTCCTTCAAAATGCGACACAACTATGTACCTCTATACTGATGTCAGCCACAGGGATTATATTTATGATGTGTGCAGTAGGTCACATAAGCATTTGTGTGGTTAGAATGCCATCATTTAAGTGGAAGGAATGAGTTCGAACTTTGAACCCTTGTTAAGAACCATGTCCAGTTATTTTGGATTCCCGGTGATGAACTAAAATCATCCCACTATCACAGTGTTTAGACTTAGGCCTATTGAAGAGTTAGCTTCCCATGTGGATGCACTCAATCATATCACTGTATGCCTGATAACAGTTTGTCGATCTGATCCTTGCTGACGGAATTATATAGTCTCAAATGTAATATCCATCTCCAATTTTGGAATTGAACCCACTTCCCTTTGAGCTTTCCTACTACTACGGAAGATCTCCTTGCCTTGAGTGGGACATTGCAAAGTTTAACTGCACAATTCAGACCAGAAAATATATTTGAATTGATTAAACCTCGTTTTTTGTAGCTGCAAAACTGTTGTTGGTTCTCACTTCAATGCTTATGGAATATGCATTGTAAAGCTTCAAATCTCTTTATAATTGATGCAAAAGGAACTTACTGTAAAATTCACTGATAAACCTAGTGAATACTCATCATCGTAAAAACCTTCTTGAATAGTCGAGGGATTAGTTTTCTTGTTTCAAGATTGTGAGTGCATTATTCACATGAATGTTCTGTTTGTTCATTTGATTATTATTAGGATCACAATTGAGCTCAAGTTAGTTACATAACTATCCATCTAACATCATCAATGATTTTTTGATAGCTCTGGAGAGATAATCAGAGTGTTGCCTCACGGCAAACATCTGCAGTCAAGCCTGGATTCAGAAAATTGCTTGGGAATCTACCAGTCATTCCGCCATCAACAATCTCAAGGCATGGAAGGGTATGTTCGAATGTTTGGTATGCCTGGTGTGCGTTGCTGGTACAACAAAGGGAGTTTTTCAGATGAAAGTCTGATCATGGTTCCATAAATTTAATGTTTGCATGGTGAGGTTCATCGACTGGGTTAATAATTGATTAAACAAATTCTTTTAACGGATCATGATTTCCCTCGCTTTTCATTGTGCACTTGCTGGAGACAGACAAACAACTGATGATTCGGTTCTTGACATAAATGTTAAAAGGAGTCTAAAAGCCAACTTCAGGCAGACTTTTCCGAAAACATACACCTGTTTTTTGTATATTTTGGGAGTATAGGTGAAGAAGTTTCTGGAAAGAACAATACTAATTCTCTCTCTCTCTCTCTCTCTCTCTCTCAACGATCTTCCCGTTGCTATTTTGTGGTTTATATCCATTTTAAAATTGTGATCTGCTACTTTATCCCCATCAGGTCAAGCAGAGTTCAGCTATGTCAGCTGTTCTGACTGATGACAACTCAACAATGACAAACATTGAGGATGACACTGAAAATATTGGTATCTTGGCTGTGGATCCTGGCTTGGAACCATATAAAGACCACTTTAATTATAGAGTGAACAGATATGTTGAACAGAAAAGGCTTATTGAAAAATATGAAGGAAGCCTAGAGGAATTTGGGCAAGGTAATGGTGGGAAATCAGCAGTTTGTGTGCTTTTCTGCTTTGACATTTTTACTCGTACATAGGAATCGTTGGAATTACTCCTTCGTGCTCATTTTCACTTTGCTTGGATGTACCGGCCACCTAGGAGATATAGCATATCATGCTGATACCTTCGAGTGCCTCAATGAGATCAACTGCCTTGTATTTATCTGGCACATAAAATTTTCCTTGAACAGTTGAATGCTCTCCTGCGAATGATGGGAGATTTTATTATCAGCTTGATTGAAAATAGATTTCTTTGTGGGTCTGTTGATGGATTTCAGTCTGATTCTTATTTTGAAATGGCTTAACCATGACTTTCAATTGTTCTCATATTGTAGGTTATTTAAAATTTGGTTTTAACCAAGAAGAAGGTGGCATCGTGTACCGTGAATGGGCCCCTGCTGCACAGTGAGTGCTCCAGCTCACATAAATTCTGTATTTGTTTGTTTAAATGCGAGTTGGTACTTTCCTGGCCTTTATCTTAGTGTCTACTCTGGTGTTAACTTGTCTACGATGCAGAGAAGCCCAAGTTATTGGGGACTTCAATGGGTGGGATGGTTCCAACCACAATATGGAAAAGAATCAGTTTGGAGTATGGAGTATCAAAATTCTTGATTCTGGTGGAAATCCAGCCATTCCTCACAATTCAAGAGTCAAGTTCCGGTTCAAGCATGGCGATGGAGTTTGGCTTGATAGAATCCCAGCTTGGATAAAGTATGCCACTGTGGACCCTACAAGATTTGCTGCACCTTATGATGGTGTATACTGGGACCCACCACCTTCAGAAAGGTGCTAACTATTCATCTGCTACTGATTCCTATTCTAAACCTGTTGCATATGTTATTTGATTGTCTTCTATGGAACTTTGAAAACTAATGTCTTCATTCTCAAACAAGACAAAACTAATTGATGATTCAAATTTAAAGTGCTCTTTTTAATGAGGCACTGCTGCCTTGACCCTTAATCTAGTGCAGATCTCCACATTATTTCACGCACTTTAAATATTTGTGAGTGGAAATAGATATCCAAATTAAGAGTAGAGTCCCGTATATATAGTCAAACAATAGTATAAAGGGATCTGAACACCCCTCTGGTCTAGGCAAAACATAAAAGTCATAGTAAGGGTAAAAAAGAGAAAAAAAACCCTAATAAATTAAACTATAACTCTAACACTCCCCCTCAAGGTAGGCGCAAAAATGTCAACTAAGCCAAGCTGGACAAAAGAGTCCTGATGAATGAATAGAGTGACAGGTTTAATGAAAAACATCTACAACCTGATCACTGGTCCTCACAAACAATGGAGTAACAACACCACAGCTAACCTTCTCTCGAAGAAAGTGAATATCGATCTCTATATGCTTTGTCCTCTCATTTAGTATAGAGTCAGAAGCGCGCTGAATAGCAGATCGATTATCACAATATAATGTGGATAAAGAAGTCAATGAAAATCCCAACTCGCCAAAAATCGATTGTAGCCAGATGATCTCACACATGTCAAGTGCTTGATACTTTGCCTCTGCTGACGAGCGGGAGACAATTGTCTGCTTCTTGTTTTTTCAAGAGATAAGATAAGTCTCTCGAAAAACACAGAAACCCGTAGTAGATCGATCATCACACGCTTTCCCATAATTTGAATCTGAATAACAGGCTAGAAAATCAGTTTAAGATCCTGATGCATAGAACAAACCAAGTCCAGGACAGACTTGAGGTACCGAAGAATATGATAAACTGCATCAACATAAGGCTGACGCCATTTGTGCCTCAACTGACTAACTCGGCTGACAACAAATGAAATGTTTGGCTTAGTGTTGGCTAGGTAGGTAAGTCTACCTACCAACCTCTGATAGATAGTCGGATCTCTAAATTTCTCACCTTTATCAGTAAACTTCAGGTTTGAAATCATGAGTGATGATGCCGATTTGCACCCCAGCATCCCAGTGTTCGAGAGAAGATTCAGAACATATTTCCTCTAAGAAAGAAGAATACCCCTGCTACTACGAGCAACCTCAATCTTAAGAAAGTATCGTAGAAATTTAAGGTCCTTCATATCGAAGACGTTCCCAAGGTCTACCTTGACCTGCGCAGTTCCAGAAATATCATCCCAGTAATAATAATATCATCCTTATACACTAAAAGGATGACACACTGTCCAGACGTATTCCGTCGAATGAAGCATGTATGATCAGAATGACAACTAGTAAATCCTAAACGTACAACTACACCACTATATAGCAAGAGAATCAGGCTCGTGGTGACTGTATCAGTCCATAGATAAACTTACGCAGTCGACACACCTTCCCAGCACGCTCCACCCCACTACGAAAGCCCGGTGGTGCATCCATATAAATAGTCTCGTCTAAATCACCATAAAGAAACACATTCTTCACATCCAACTGGTGAAAAGGCTAAGAGTACTCCGCAGTCAAAGAAATAATCAATTGAACGATAGTTAATTTTGCCACAGGGGTAAAGGTAGCACCAAAATCACAACCTGGTGCTTGAGTAAAGCTCATCGCTACAAGTTTAGCCTTTTGACGATTAATAGTACTATCCGCAACAAATTTCAGGGTGTAAACCCAGTGACAACCAACAGACTTCACCCCTGAAAGTAAAGAGACAAGACCCCACGTATGATTACTCTGAAGAGCGTCCATCTATGTCTGCATAGCAAGAAACCATTAGGACTCCTGCATAACCTCTGAAATGGAGCAAGGAACTGGCTTATGTGATAAGACCGTACTATAAGCTCGAAATATAGGAGACAGATCACTATAAGAAACATAACCAGATATTGGATATAAAGTCCTAGCGGTCCAATCATAACGAACAACTAAACGACGATGATGCCACGAATAGCGACGCCCTAAATCATCATCTTCCACTAACGTCTCATCAGGTAAAGTAACTAACTCATTACTTGCAATCTTATCAATACTAATAACAGGTGCATTAATATGCTCAACGAATTTAGAAATATTACCAGTATCGCCTGAGGTAAAGGGGACATCAGCAGGGTAATGAGAGCGAGGGTGACGAACATAGACTTGTAAAGGAGGTGAGACTGGTGACTCTGTGGTGATAGGGGTGAGTAGCTTTGGAGGAGTAGAGACTGGTGACTCTATAGTAACAGTGACCAATGACTCTGACTCCTGTGGTAAGAGAAACTCAAAGGAAGTATCATCAATTAGAGGGGCAGATATAGGACTAAAAGAAAAATAAGAAATATACTCAAAAAAGATAACATCTAGACTGTGATACATACAACCCCTAAAAGGATCATAACACCGATACCTTTTAAACTAATGACAATAGCCCACAAAGATACAATTAATCGCTTTATCATCAAGCTTATGACGAGTAAGAGACCTATCGATAACAAAACATGGGCAGTCAAAAACATGAGGGGGGATTGGAAAAAGTGTCCGCTTAGGGAATAAGACCTGTAAGGGAGCCCTATACTGAAGAACATGATTCGGTGTACAATTCCACAGAAAGGTACAAGTCAAAACAACAAAATACTAATAAGATTTTGGTATCCCCATAATGCTAAGCATACAACGCACCATCTTTATCGGACTTCTATTTTTTCTTTCAGCAAGTCTATTTTGCTCAGAAGTATATGGACAAGTGAGCTGCTGAACAATACCCTGAGAAGAAAGGTGAGACACTAAGACGTCAAACACATTCTTTGACATTATCCAAACAAAGAGAATGAACAATGACATCGAATCGAGCACCTAACAGAGTAGTAACAGGAGAAGGTCCCCAAATGTCAAAGTGTATTAGGTTAAATGCCTTGGGTGACTGGTGCATACAAAGAATATAACTGGTCCTAATATGTTTCGATAGAGAACATATAAAATAGTCAAGTTTATTATTAACACAAGTATTGCTCAAAGCAGAACANCTATCCGCAACAAATTTCAGGGTGTAAACCCAGTGACAACCAACAGACTTCACCCCTGAAAGTAAAGAGACAAGACCCCACGTATGATTACTCTGAAGAGCGTCCATCTATGTCTGCATAGCAAGAAACCATTAGGACTCCTGCATAACCTCTGAAATGGAGCAAGGAACTGGCTTATGTGATAAGACCGTACTATAAGCTCGAAATATAGGAGACAGATCACTATAAGAAACATAACCAGATATTGGATATAAAGTCCTAGCGGTCCAATCATAACGAACAACTAAACGACGATGATGCCACGAATAGCGACGCCCTAAATCATCATCTTCCACTAACGTCTCATCAGGTAAAGTAACTAACTCATTACTTGCAATCTTATCAATACTAATAACAGGTGCATTAATATGCTCAACGAATTTAGAAATATTACCAGTATCGCCTGAGGTAAAGGGGACATCAGCAGGGTAATGAGAGCGAGGGTGACGAACATAGACTTGTAAAGGAGGTGAGACTGGTGACTCTGTGGTGATAGGGGTGAGTAGCTTTGGAGGAGTAGAGACTGGTGACTCTATAGTAACAGTGACCAATGACTCTGACTCCTGTGGTAAGAGAAACTCAAAGGAAGTATCATCAATTAGAGGGGCAGATATAGGACTAAAAGAAAAATAAGAAATATACTCAAAAAAGATAACATCTAGACTGTGATACATACAACCCCTAAAAGGATCATAACACCGATACCTTTTAAACTAATGACAATAGCCCACAAAGATACAATTAATCGCTTTATCATCAAGCTTATGACGAGTAAGAGACCTATCGATAACAAAACATGGGCAGTCAAAAACATGAGGGGGGATTGGAAAAAGTGTCCGCTTAGGGAATAAGACCTGTAAGGGAGCCCTATACTGAAGAACATGATTCGGTGTACAATTCCACAGAAAGGTACAAGTCAAAACAACAAAATACTAATAAGATTTTGGTATCCCCATAATGCTAAGCATACAACGCACCATCTTTATCGGACTTCTATTTTTTCTTTCAGCAAGTCTATTTTGCTCAGAAGTATATGGACAAGTGAGCTGCTGAACAATACCCTGAGAAGAAAGGTGAGACACTAAGACGTCAAACACATTCTTTGACATTATCCAAACAAAGAGAATGAACAATGACATCGAATCGAGCACCTAACAGAGTAGTAACAGGAGAAGGTCCCCAAATGTCAAAGTGTATTAGGTTAAATGCCTTGGGTGACTGGTGCATACAAAGAATATAACTGGTCCTAATATGTTTCGATAGAGAACATATAAAATAGTCAAGTTTATTATTAACACAAGTATTGCTCAAAGCAGAACATAACATACATAAATATTTAAAATTTGTATGTCCAAAACAGTCATGCCACAATTGAACAATTTGTAACGAAAAATCATGACGATAACTACTAGGTAAAATATTAGCATGTAATTTATGAACAGATAAAGACAAAGCAAGTACAAGTGATATAGGTGGAGGAACTGGTGAAATTGGAGGTGGTTCATCTAGATAATACAGTTCATATCTCTCATGTCCTCTGATAATAATTTTTCTGGTATTCAGGTCATGTAAATAACACGAATCAAATAAGAATACAATTGTACAGTAAAAATTCCTGGCTAACTGATGTACAAGTAATAGATTCATGGTCAGCTTTGGCTTATGAAAAACCTAACATAATGAAAAGACATCTGGGAGGCAGACTGTACCCTTACTAACAATAGGGGCATGTGTCCCATCTACTAGTTGAACCTGTATATGTAACTGTTCGTCAAAAGTGATAAAGTGATGGATCTCACCTGTCATGTGACCGTTCGCACCCGAATCCAGCATCCAAAAGGGAAACGGACTGGCGCAAACATGAAAGACACGAGGTATACCTGTAGTGGTGGGAGCAGCAGTAGTCGGATCCTGAGAAGTCAGGACGGACATAAGTATATCCAATCAGGAGGTGATATCATTCATATCACTCTGCCAAGGAGGAGTAGTAGCAACATCAACAGGAGCAGCGATAATAAGTGGTGGTACCTCAGCAATAGCAACAGTATGACCGCGAGGAGGCGGCTTAAGCTCCGAATGGAGCTTCCAGCAAGTAGCCCTGAGATGTCCTGATCTGCCATAATAATCACAATGACGATAATCCTCCTGTTTGCACTAATTTGGGGTGCCCTATCGATGCTGGTTCGGGCACTGTCCACCCTTGGCTGAAGGTTCTGAACGAGACCCCGCAACAGCTACAAGGACCATCTTGTCGGTCTGAGAAGTCAAGGTCACAACTGGAAGTGATGCAATACGGATGCGACGTTCATATGTTACTCAATCATCGCACACACCTCATAAAGAGACAGAAATCTCATCATCGACAAGATCTGGGAACGAGGACCCTCAAACTCATCACGAAGCTTCATAAGGAACTTGTGAATCCTATCCTCTTGCTCTCGGGTATGTAGGAATGCCGCTTCGTCTGACTCTATACTCAGAATAGCAATAAGAGGACATAGAGTCTCATACTCAAGCCAGTGCTGCGTCAAATAACCATAATAATCCTAAATCGTCATATCTCTCTGCCGAGCATATGAGAACTCCTGAGAAAGCTTATAAATACGAACTTTTCGTCTTGATTGAGAATACATCTCTGATAATGTGCTCCATAAATTTGGAATAGAGTTATAAAATTGATGAATTTGCAAATAGATGGCTCCATCGAGCCAAATAACTATCTAAGAATAGCGCAGTTCTCAGAAAATCACGCAAAATATCCAGGGTCATCATCAGTTGGCTTGAGGTGAGATCCCGTTAGCCAACCAAGCTTCCCTACACGGCCTAAGAAAAACTGGAATGAGCCTGACTACTCAACAAAGTTACGGCCATTCAACAACTATGCCGTATACTTCTGAGAGATTATACTCAGCATTGCTGGTAATACAACTGTGTCATTAGGTACTGTATACTGGTCAAACATAAAAGTGGGAGAATCAGATAGTACATTCTAGGTGGAAGTACTATTAATAGGGGTCTCAAAGGTAGGAGTCTCAAGTATCTCAGTAGTAGTCATATGAACAACAATACTTGGGCACTCGTGATAGAAAATACTCTAAGAAAAATAGAGGGACAAAATAATTGAGAACAATATACCTCCAGCAGAACAGTAGCGAAAAATAAAGAAGGTCCAGAAAACTCCCAAATAATCAGGTCACGGTGCCCAGAAATCCAGTAAATATATAAGCGATCTACTGCATCAAAAGCAGATCAACGAAGAAGAAGATTCAACCCCTCTTAAAAAGTTCTAGATATTGCAACCCTAGGAAAAAGAAGTCAGTGGCGCAAAGAGATGGTGGCACTGTGAAGAGCGCGAAGCACAAAGGGGGGCAGCTGAGTTGGGTTTGCTGGGTTGATTGCGCTACTGGCAGTGGGTTGCTGGGTTTGGGAATGGGGTTGGGTGGGTTGCTGGGTTGCTGGGTTGGGCTGCTGGGTTTGGATGGATGTGGAGGTTGATGGTTGGTTTATGCTGTTTGTATATGAGTTGGGATTTCAGTGTGGGTGTGGGCTGGATTGAAGTTGGGTGTTGTTGTTCGGTGTTTGGCTGGATCGATTTTCGGTGGGTATTGTTGTTCGGTGCTGGGTGTTGTTGTTGGGTGGCTGCTGGGTGTGTCAGGCAGGTTGCTGTGCAGATTTTTGGGTGTGTCAGGCAGTGTGTCGCTGGAATTTTGTGTCAGTGGGAGTGGCTTGTGTTTTTGGCTGGTTTCTGGGTGGTTTATTGCTGCTGTTTCTGCTGCTGAAGGTGCTGTGATGCTGCTGTTTCGGTGGTTGGGCTGCTGGAGTGGTGGCTGCTTGTTTATGGGTGGTTTAGGGCTGTCGCTGAAGGTGGATGGAGGCTAGGATTAGAGCTTGGCTCTGATACCAACTTGAAATATTTGAAAATTGAAAGGGATACCCAAACTAAGAGTGGAGGCCAGTATATATAGTCAAACAATAGTATAAAGTGACCTGAACACCCCTAGGCAAAACATAAAAGTCATAGTAATGGTAAAGAAGATAAAAGAAACCCTAATAGGCTAGACTATAACTCCAACACACGTGCTCTATGAAAATTGGTTATTTCATTGGATTTTAGATGTAGCAGTTTATAATTGCTTACCATCTGGAAATTTGAACTCCCGGCAATGCTATTTCAACGAAAGGGGACATGCCATTTTTCTCTCTTGAAGAAGAAACACTTAGACAACTGTGATGGGTTGACATTACTTCATCGTTCATGTAGGTATCAGTTTAAATACCCTCGTCCTCCAAAACCCAAGGCGCCACGAATATATGAGGCTCATGTTGGAATGAGTAGTTCAGAACCACATATAAACTCATACAGAGAGTTTGCAGATGATGTATTGCCTCGTATTCAGGCAAACAACTATAATACACTTCAGTTGATGGCTGTGATGGAGCATTCCTACTATGCATCATTTGGGTATCATGTTACAAACTTCTTTGCTGTGAGCAGTAGATCTGGAACCCCTGAGGACCTAAAGTATTTGATTGATAAGGCACATAGCTTAGGTTTGTGTGTCTTGATGGATGTCGTTCACAGCCATGCAAGTAACAATGTCACTGATGGCCTTAATGGCTATGATGTTGGCCAAAGTTCACAAGATTCTTACTTCCATATTGGTGATCGAGGGTATCATAAGTTGTGGGATAGCAAACTGTTCAATTATGCCAATTGGGAAGTTCTCCGTTTCCTTCTATCCAACTTGAGGTGGTGGCTGGAGGAGTTCAAATTTGATGGATTTCGATTCGATGGAGTAACTTCGATGTTATATCATCACCATGGAATCAACATGACATTTACTGGGAACTATAATGAGTATTTCAGCGATATGACAGATGTTGATGCTGTGGTTTATTTAATGTTGGCCAATTATCTCATTCACAACATTTTGCCTGATGCAACTGTGATTGCTGAAGATGTATCTGGCATGCCTGGACTTTGTCGGCTTGTTTCAGAGGGAGGAATCGGTTTTGACTACCGCCTGGCAATGGGCATCCCTGACAAGTGGATTGATTACTTGAAGAACAAGAAGGATGAAGAGTGGTCAATGAAAGAAATATCAGGGAGTTTGACAAACAGGAGATATACTGAGAAGTGTATAGCTTATGCAGAGAGTCATGACCAGGTAATTGATTTTCTACTTATGTTTGATTTCCTCTTCGAAGAAATATTTGAGTGTGATGCTGCAACTCACTCGTCAGAGAATATGGGAGTCAGAAATATTTCATTGTTATCTCGCTGTTGATCGTCTACTGCCAATATTGACGTCATCTTATAAATGCTTTCTCTTTATTTTGTTTCTTCCTTTTTCATTCTCTATGCTATGTGCAGTCTATAGTGGGCGACAAGACTATTACTTTTTTCCTAATGGACGAGGAAATGTATTCTGGCATGTCTACTTTGGTAGTTGCTTCTCCAACTATTGAGCGGGGGATTGCACTTCACAAGGTTTGTTTTACACGTGCATATTGATTGCTTTTTGATGTACTTTTATTCTTCTTCATGGGCAAGAGTCGATTGTTTGATAGATCTCTACCACGACTATGAGGTCACACATCTCTTGTCTGACTTGACCAATTGATGACGATAGTAGTACAATCATTATTTTAAGCATCATGTGTGATACTGGTTTTTATTTTAGCACATTTTAGATTTTTTTTGTATATTAGGTCTCTGTCTTTTTTTATTGTTTTAAATCGTAAAATGGGAGGGTGTTGGCAAAGACCCCTTCCAGTTCATTAAAGATCAAGCAATAAGTGCCTACAGATGGAGAGATATAGTCATGTTATTGTGGATGTTTCCCCGCTGGTTACAACTCACTCATTAGTGACTGTTCTTCAGGTATTGAGGGTTTTTTTTTTTTTCTTGTGGGGGTATGTGGGAGACCCGCCCCCGGGGGGGGGGGGGGGGATACTGGAGTCATTCATAATTTTTAGTATAGTTCTTATTGTTATAATTTTCTTTTGCAGATGATTCATTTCATAACGATGGCACTAGGAGGAGACGGATACCTTAATTTCATGGGCAATGAGGTAAGCAGCCAGCCCAATCTTGATAAGCAAACCCATCAAGTTTTGACACATTAAGCTCCAAATTAGTCTAACATGACGTATAGTAATATGCATTACAACTTAATTTGGATGTTTTTGAGAATATTCAAATTATTGAAAGAAACATAAAATGTTGTTCATAATAGGATGATCAGTTTGATTTGACATGGTTACTTAAAAGAACACGTTCAAGTGAGATGAGCAAAGAAGGCGATGTCAATCAATACCTGAAAAGTAACGTTTTCATATTACTAGGGCAAGCTGGGTCATGGATATGAGATGATCAGAACACTTGAAGATTCGCACACAAGAAAAGAGCTTATCACTTTTCTCTTGTTACTCTTATACGGAACCCATTTCTACAAAACTGAAATGATATAGATATATTAGTTCCATACTTATACCTATATCTCCCTTCTTATAATGATATTAAGCTAATTTATTGGGAATGTTGATTGTAGTTTGGCCATCCCGAGTGGATTGACTTTCCCCGAGAAGGCAATGGCTGGAGTTACGAAAAATGCAGACGCCAATGGAACCTAGTGGATACAGATCACTTAAGATACAAGGTTCAGAATTTTATTTTCAGTGGTTACGTATGTCTTATTTTTGGTCTCCATACACTTCCTCTATACAAATAGAATTCTTTCATAATGCTCGCCTCATTCTCCTCACTAATCTCTTTGTTTCAACCCATCAGATGACACGATGGTGGGGTGTGTGTGCGTTACAAGTATATATGATGAACCCTATTGCGATCCACTCCATACAATGCACTAGCCCTTCGTTGGCATATTATTTTCGGTCCTACCTATTTCATTTGTCTTTGATAATTGAGTTCTAAAGCCAAGTTTTCGTTCTTTGTGCTTGAAAATGTAGTTCATGAATGCTTTTGACAGAGCCATGAATTCGCTTGACGATAAATTTTCATTCCTTGCATCAACGAAACAGATAGTGAGCAGCACAGATGAAGATGACAAGGTAAAGATGTTCCTGTGCAATAAACCTTTTACCCCTAAAATGATGATATGAGCAGTAGAGAGAATGCATAAGTTGTTAATTCATTCTCAGAAGAATGATTTTGAGAACCTTGGATTTAGTAAGGATGAGTATCACCATACTACATCTAAGGTTATCAAAAGCAAGCAAGCGAGCACTTGAACTTGAATCGGGCTCCAATGATGTATTTGTGGTGCAAAAATAAAAAGAATGTTTCTTATACATGTGTTTGTGGATAGATGTAAATGAGTATTAGATCTTAGGAAGGTGCTCGAACTTGCTATGTGGTAGGCTTTTCTTTTCCTTGTTTTATAGATATTCTATTGGTTTGCTATGATCCGGCAACCAAGTATCAAGTTGCTTTAAGTTGATGTGTATTAAGTCTTGATTTTATGTCGTTTAGAGACATCTCATGATGTCTATTTAAAATATTAATCACTTTTTTTTTTACTTTAACAGGTCATTGTTTTTGAACGTGGAGATCTTGTCTTTGTGTTCAACTTCCATCCAGAAACTACGTATGATGGGTAGGTGGATTTCATTGGTATGCAACTTAGTTGGCTTCATATTGACCAAATGGTAAAGCTGGATTTGAGGAGTCCCATATAAAGCTAGGCTTCATGATGTAGTCGTCACATTTCATCACATTCACGGGTTCTTCATCTGTTGTAGTTGTGGTGATCCACATTCTGGAACATGCAGGTACAAAGTTGGATGCGATTTGCCGGGGAAATATAGAGTTGCCCTAGACAGTGATGCCTGTGAATTTGGTGGTTGTGGCAGAGTAAGGAACCCCTCGTTGTACTATTAATCTTTTTTCCTGCTATGCTAAATAAATGCAATTAAACTTAAGAGCTTTCAGTAAATTAAGGGAATCTTTTAATAGTTCTAATTGGTGCAACAAAGGGAAAATTCATTGGAGAGAGTGTCAGTGTTGCAGTTGGATATTCTATATCTGGTGGTAGGTGGGAAGGGACCTTGCAAACTTCTACTGTGTGAGGTGGCCCCAAGAGCTGAGCCAAAATTGGCTGTTGCAGGGTAATATAAGTCTCAATACCGTTTTGCCAGAGCACCTATCTATTGGGAGGCAGTTATGAATTGATTGGTAAAGAATGTTACCCTTGATAACTGTTTATTCTGTCTCCCCGTCTATTCTCTCTCCCTCTCCATCTCCCTTTCCTCCCCCTTTATCTGCTCTCTCCTGTAACAGAGGAGTACCTGAGACCCTGCCCTACCCCAAAGTATCTACTCCTTTACCCTACCACCTATAGAAAGACTGTTAAGTTTCGGAGAGGCTTGAACCCTATCTTTCGAATGTTGTCAAGAACATTATACTACTAGACAAAATATAATCGTTGTTTACCATGTCTTTCAGCTGATGCATTTAAGAGTGGAATTATTTTCTTGCTCACTTTCGATCTCTTTTCATGAATATATGATTCATGATCTCCAATATTAGGTGGGGCACGATGTGGATCATTTCACGTCTACTGAAGGAAAACCAGGAGTCCCTGAAACAAACTTCAACAACCGCCCCAACTCCTTCAAAGTACTTGCACCAACTCGTACATGTGTGGTATGATACTTCTTGTGGCCTTTCTGGACCCACCATTTGTTGAAATTAGTAGTTAGGATGCGTTTACAGTCCTCACAGGGAAGTTTTAAATTCTTTACATGCAGACCATTATTTCTATTTTGTTCCTGATAAAAAAGCATCTGGTTTACCATACAATAATCATGTATGAATTTTTTCTAAATGTCATATCCCATATGCTAAAACAATTAAAATCATGACTACTTATGGGGATGAGCACCAACAAATTCCTTTCTTTTTTTTTTTTTCACGCTCGGTTGTATGTGTGTCTGCGCACACCTTTTTAGGCACACTTGTGCACAAATAATGGAAGTAGTTTTTGCATTGATCATTGCCAGAAATTAGCATTGGAAGAAGTGTCAAAGGCTTATACTCAAGTCTCCAATTTAAACTTGTAAAATTCCCAAGAACTTTCTCAATCTTGTGTAGCACAGATTGTAATGAATGTAATCCGAAATTTGCAATAATTTCTTTCTTTCCTTTTTTTTTTTTCTATGAACACGCAAGGGGATGCTTTCAATTTTGAACATACTTGCATGTATCCCCTTGTTGATATTATACATCTAATCATCCCCAAATCTCATAGTGGGGGAGCCTCCTGCATTCGGTCACTTTTTTTTTTTTTTTTGTACGTCAACACTTTGTCATGACAGCATATAATTAACTATGTTTCAAGACTATTATGATAGGATTTTCATCACAAAAGGAAATTATTCGAATTGCTAATTAACACTCTGTGGTTTCTGTACTGGAGTATTGACAAAATTTTGTTTTTGTAACTAGGTATGGTTTTTTTAATTGACTATGTTTCCTAAAATAATTTCATTCCTTCCTCAAAAGGTGTATTATAGAGTTGAAGAAAGCTTAGAAGAGATCAGTGCTGAGAAGTCAGTCAGTGTCAATGAGCCAGATTTAACACATCCCGTGGACCCTGATGAGAATTTTGTAGAACCAACTTATGTTGAAGAGGAAGATGTTGGCCCAAAAGAGATGGGAGGTTTAGCCGTGGAAGCAATGGGAGAAGATGAAGAGTTAGATGACTGACTATCATTTGCCCTTGCTCAGATTGAATGTAACTGCATGAAAGTACTTTTGAAGTACATTACTGGAGTTTCGTTAAAATCTGCATATTGAGAATATTTGGCCGGTGTAGTGGTTGTAAATAGTAATAAGCACCTCTATACTTGCCAACTAGAAATAAATGCAGTGCAAAGTTTGGTGTGGGTGAGTGACAATCTTCTGTGAATTATATTTAGAGTTTTAATGGGGTAACATTCGTGTAGGAAGAACTCGTTTGTACTCAAATCAAGTTTATGTCTAATTACAGCATTGTTCTATCGAGCATTTGTGACATGACTTCTTATCGGAAACAACTCTCAATTTTAACAATTATATTGTACAAATCACTTGAAAATATTAGACACAACAATGTTATACATATCGCAAATTGTATCAAATTTTTTTATACGAAATGAATGCACATGGTTGGATTTCTTATAGTTTTTACTATAAATCATCCTAGAGTTATGAGTATATCATTTTATCTGGTAGTGTAACCAATTCTATCATATAAAAGAGGGCGTTTCATCTTTTCTGAAGGTCAAAAAATTAATATTTTATTCTTTAATATTTTCCCCTAAATCCATCCCATCCAATTTTCTGTCTCACCCACGCTAAATGTCAGAGACCTATGCCTCATCGCCTCCTCTTCACGCCTTCTCTCCCCCTCTCCCTCTCTGTTAAGCCATATCCACCGACTCCACCATCGGCCCAGCGACACCGACGCCCAACCGCCTTCCAGGTATCTCTCTCTCTCTCTCTCTCTCTCTCTCTCTCTCTCTCTCTCTCTCTCTGTGTTAATCGGCTGTGTATGGTGCGCACCTAGCGCAATCTAATTGACCTAACCAGATCGCAAAACCCAGAGTTGCAGCGGGTGCACATCTTTATACTGATCCCTCTTCTCTGTTCGTTGCTACACTCCGCGGCTCAAACACCACTTAGGTACTGTGATTTTTCTTCGCTAATTTGTTCTCTATTTCAAATATTATTCATTTTCTCTACCTTTCTCAATTCAGATCTATCTTTCCAATCTATCCATTCGTTCGATTTGAGAACTAGGGTGTATATATATATATAGTTTATGTGTATGAATGTTTCATTTTTTTCTATAATTATGGGGCTGTTTTATGTGAATTTGGGACGATTTATGTTTCTAGGTCACTCAGAACTGTTGGTGTGCTCTCTTCATCTGATGTGTTAAGAAAACTTATTATTGTATTTATTCTTTGTCTTCTTTTTTTTTTAAATGAAATCTAATGTGCCATTGTTTGTATTTGTTGCATATGTTTTTTGTAAATGTTTGTTGTAAGAACTTCAGTAGATGTTTAGTGTTTCAATTTATTACTCTGACCAAAGCAAGCTCCTATGCAACTGTCCAATCTTCATAGCTTGATAGAACTCAAATCCGGCAAGTAGTGACCAGCTTTGACATGCGCTTTCAATAATACAGTATAAGTGATGTCATTTGGAGAGACTTCTGAATTGGACATCTTATACAACAATGCTATACATATCACAAATTGTATCAAATTTTTTATATGAAATGAATGCTCATAGTTGAAATGCTGAATTTCGTTAATTTTTATGAAGCATCCGAGAGTTGTGAGTATATCATTTTATCTGGTATAGAGAAATGGTATAAGCAATATATTTATAATGAATGACTCTTTTGGGGGACTAGAGTCAATGTTAAACAATCAACCTTTGATGCTGCAGCCGTCCAATGGGTTGCTGCATTCCAACTCTTCGAATAAATTAGTTTACACTTTCCAAAGAAATAAATTATCTAATATCACAGTTAGTAATTTAAGTTGGGGTTCGAGTGTCATTTGTGAAATGTGAGGGGTATCCATGTAATAAATTAAAATATCAGAGAGTGTTCGTGTAATTTACCCTAACTAGAAACCGATGAAATTTATTTCTCTCCTGAGCCCTAAAGTCTGCTTCTAGAGTATCGATCGAAAATGGAGGAACAGCAAAAGAAGGAGAAGGACAAGTACAGTATAATAGTCCCAACATACAATGAACGTCTCAACATAGCCCTGCTTGTTTATCTCGTCTTCAAGCACCTCCGGTACTCTCTCTTTCTCTCTCTCCCCCCCAAATGTACTTTTCTATGATCTGTTGTTTATTGAATGTATAGTTGAATTATATGTTTCATATTCATATTTACTAGTCTCTCTCCGTAACTGTTATTTTCTTTTGGAATCTCCAATTAAATGATTTTTGTCAAGTGACAGTCATCTACTTCTCAGTAATATAGTTCATTTGAATGAATTATTGCAATAGCTTGGTTATTGAATATCCTTCTGGGCAAAGTTTTAGTAGAAGTGAAATGGCCATTAATCATGATCCTACACAGTTCTCAAAATCTTAGAGAGATTTCGTATGCGGAAGATATTTATAGTATTATGGGCCTATGGCCAATTACAAAAATAAATAAAATTATAATGGCGATTAAAACAACTGCAAATGATTCGAGAAATCCGGAGTTTTGAAGGAATGAAAATACCAAAAGTCATCATCAGAAACAATGTTGTTTCTCTTACCAGTACCCCTTATGTTGTGGGTAATGGTCGATCTTGAAGGCACAATTTTTGTTGTGGAGATGATCCTTTAAGGTTTGTGGAGGTCCTTAAGGTAGCTAGAGTCAATGGTGGCAGATTTCATGTGTTGTGAAAGCTATGGCTTCCCTCTTACGAGTTGTATGTGTCTTCTTCAGGAGCTTGATTCAGGTGTCTTTCTTTGAGAGGCGTATATTCGGTGGCAATAATTGAAACAGAGTTCATAAGGTGGTTCTGCCAAAAGAACTACAAAAATGAATTACTTTTTGCCATGGCCTCTTATGAGTTACAGTTTTTTATTCTCAATTGGGGAAGTATTTGGATGAGATGTGTTGAATTTTTTAGAGCTTGAACAACTTTACTTATCCATCTGTGTTCATCAGTGAGAGGGTTTGTTTCATGTTTGGTGATTGATATATTTGGAGGAGGGTGTTTCATGGTTTGAATGGGATGCATCTGCTTGTTTGGAATGCTACTTTTACCTCTCTCTCCGAAGGTGTGGTCTCATTTGAGCTGGAGGACATTATTTTCAGATCTAGTGGTGGTTTTGGTCCTGGACGTATTTAAATTTTAAGAGAAATTGAGCTTGGTGTATTTCATTCAATTTTATCCTCCAACTAGGTGGTAGTTGCTTATAGCATGAGCTTTCCTGTTTCTGGAACCTACAATTTTGGATTGGTAGCCCAGATATTATGAGGATAAAGAGTAATAGCCATCTTTCAACTTTTTTTTGTTGCTGACATCACTGCCAATTGAAGAGTTTGCTTGGCAGTGTACATCCTAACACCCATTTGAGAATGCACCATATATTCCCGAGCATTATGGACCCAAGTAGATGAAGTAACAAACATGAGTTGGTGATTGATGTGGATATTTAAGAGCTATGTAAAAGTGGTTCAACTGTGCTTATCTATTTCGTCGGAATCTTCGGGACATGGATAATGTTTCATGGAGCAAACAAATAGCTTAGCTGTCATAGAATTTCTTTTCTGTTTTCTGGGGGTTGGGGGTGTTCGTTATTTGTGGGATTTGTCTGCGTAAGGACTTGGCTGTAGTTCTACCCTTTTGCATTCATTACTTGTTCAAATTTCTTTCAGCCTTAGGTTTCATATACTGCAAAAAATTCTCTCTCTCTCTCTGTAGGACTTTACCAGTCATAACATTGGCTTGCTGTTAGGGATGTTAATTTTGAAATAATTATTGTGGATGATGGAAGTCCCGATGGAACTCAAGATATTGTCAAACAGTTACAGCAGGTGTATGGCGAAGATCACATTGTAAGTACTTCCACCCATTTTCTTCACAGATCATGCTTTTGCCTATTTGTACCTTGTAATAACCATATTCTTCCTTTTGGGTCGGTGTTAATGCAGCTATTGAGAGCTAGGCCTAAGAAGCTCGGATTAGGTATGTATGTTGGCTATTCTCTATAAAATATAGACAATCACTTGGTCTTTAATGCAGATTTAATTTCAGGAACTGCTTACATTCATGGTTTGAAGCATGCATCGGGCAATTTTGTTGTGATCATGGATGCGGATCTCTCACACCATGTAAGATGCTCATGGAGTGTTGATGATAATCTGGAATTATTTTTGTTAGTTTATTTTATTTTATTTTTTGTACTTCAGCCCATTTTATTTGTTTGGTTCTGTTTCCACAGCCAAAATATCTACCAAGCTTCATCAAGTAAGAATGTCTCCACCAAAGTTTAATATTTCTATTATCTTCATAGGCTTCATGAGGAAAAATTCTTCTGAGTTTAGGAAGCAGATGGAGACAGGTGCAAGTATAGTTACTGGTACCCGGTATGTTAAAGGTGGTGGTGTTCATGGGTGGAATCTTATGCGCAAATTGACAAGTAGGGGTGCAAATGTCCTTGCACAGACATTTCTTTGGCCAGGTGTATCAGACTTGACTGGATCTTTCCGGTACATTAAGTTTTTGACATTATGCACTTTCTGCCTGTCACTTTCAACTTTTAATACTGAATGAAATTTCTTGTTCTGAAGGCTCTATCGAAAATCTGTGCTTGAAGATGTCATAAGCTCTTGTGTTAGTAAAGGATATGTTTTTCAGATGGAAATGATTGTTCGGGCTTCAAGAAAAGGCTACCATATTGAAGAGGTATTGTTACATCTGTTCATTGTTCTGATTGGCAAATATGAGTTTTAAAAACCTACTTTATTTGCATCCAATTAGAGTTCTATGTATGTCTAATCTTTTTCATTTTTATGGTCCTGCCCGAGAGCATGCAACTTTGTGGTTGAATGTGTTGTACATAAACATTTGTGGTAGTTCTTCATGAATGCATAAGCTACAAAGTGCTGTTCTAAAGCACTTTATTGCTGCAGTTGCTTGATGGATCACTTCAATTCTTGACGAGTGGCCCCAGATGTTATACCATGCAGTTACCAGACCACGTGTTTTTATTTCTCATCATATTGTTCTTTATTATTTGCATAATCATGCATATCTTATGGCTTCATTTTGGCCTTAGTTCCCCATTGCCTAAGCAGGCTGAAGGCAGCTTCACTGCTGATCTTCCCTATGGCAATAACTGTTGGACAGCTCTGACTTTATGCTGCTTGATTGTAGGATTTTCTGAATAGGTTTTCAGTGTACTATAGCATGGCTATTGTTATAATGTACATGAGCTGAGCAAGATGCTCATGCACCAATGTCCTAGCTATCGCGGGAACTTCGGGTCTTAATTCCATCCTCCGTAGCTAATGGTGACTTTTGAATTGATTTAGTATAAAGCTAGCATGAATTTTGATCCATTTCCTGGTTTAAAAGAAAAAGTTCCCCTCAGCCTCCCTCCCCCAACACCTTCACTCACATCCCCTCTCCTCCTGGAAGTACCAGTTCAAAACTTCAAATGGTTGAGTCGTTCCATCACAGCACTAGGTGAGTTTTGTTCATGGTAGTTAATTGTCTGACCTGTTCGATTACTTTCAACTGCAGTTGCTACATGTTTATTCTCTTTAATATGCAATGTTACTTCTATTTGAGTTATTTGCTTTCACCACTCTACGAAACATGTTAGCCTTGAGTTAATCTGAAAGTCTAATTTCGATTTTTACATATCCACAGGTTCCAATTACTTTTGTTGATAGAGTTTATGGAAGTTCAAAGCTGGGAGGATCTGAAATAGTAGAGTATTTAAAGGGCCTTGTTTATCTTCTGCTTACAACTTGAAATGGAGTAAGAAATTGTTGGCTGGCTACCAAGAAACAGTATCAATTTTGTTTTCTTCACACAATTTGTTTCTCTTTCTACAAGTGTTGGTAACCATAAATTGCTTCCTCTAAACATATTTATACTTGAAACTGTTCGATATCTGGGGGCAGGAACAGAAACACAGTATTTGGTAAAAAAACTCTTTAATGTCTTAAAATTTCATTGATGGTTACAGCCATTTGTTTGTCATATGTCATGAACTTGTTAAGATCATGAAACACTAATAGCTTTATCTGTGTTCCATTTCTTTAATGTGGCAGTGTTATGTATTGTCATATTTAGAATGGGGTCGAGAAAGATCATACAATTCAAAAAGAAACTTTTCAAAGACTAATTACATACATAGATGCTGAAATCCAATAAGACTATATCCATCATAATTTTAAAAAAAAAAAAAAGGAACTAACCAATTCATCATAACCATAACCATAACCATAAAAAAGATCTATCCTTCCCATAAATGCAGAATTGCATAGTTTTGTAATCAGAACCACCTAAACGTCGTTGTTTTCTGAACTCTTTTGAGCTCTTACTGTCCTATACTAAAATTCAATTTCTGAAGTAGGTGACTTCAGAAATTCAGTTTTTCCAGACGCTTCTCACTGCAATTTTCCTCCCACCACCCACCAACAGAATTTTCAAAATTCATAGCTAGAGGAGGCTTCTTGTTTTCCTTGCAAGTACTACTTCTCAGCATATACCTTGTGTCTCTCTCCTCTCCGTCGTGGGCGTAGAACAAATCGTCTTTCTCATGCTCTCAGATTTCTTAGACACTTTTCCTTTCGCAGACTCGACTCTAACACAAAGATCGTAAGCTGGTTTCTTCTCAATCCCTGTTTCGCTCTTCTTCCTCTTTAGCCTCTCATTCCTTTTTGCCGAGTATTCATCATAAAACCGACCTCTTTCAAACACAGGACTCCTATTAGCATTAAATGTACCGGCAACCCCAAAATTACCTAGATCACTGTTTCCGAATTCATCTTGCACCATCTTTGCCAAAACGCTTAGTTCGCAATTAATCGTCTCGTATTCGTGACGGAGCTCCACTTCTTCAATGTCCAAAGCGCGTTTGCGTTTAGGCAATTGAGTTTTTGTTAAAGAACCTGTAAGCATCATTAACTCCGAGAAAAAAAAATCGGAACAGAGTCCTTCATATCATTTAAAGACAAAAACCTATGGATTTGAGAAGTAAATTCTGGCAGACCTGGTAGGGATTGGAGGGTGTTTGCACTGGAGTGAAGAGCTCGTCGAGGACGAAGCCTTATAGGAGACCTAGCGAGTGGAGGCTTGAGATCTGATCTCATCATCTTCGACATCAATGAAATACCAGAAGAATCAGCAGAAACAAGTGTATGAGAGAGAGAGCAGGTATGTGATTCTGTTAGAAAGATTAGAGATGAAAGATAGAGCGCTTGGCTGTGTGTTTGAATGGTGAAGGACTTTGTGGTTTCATCTTGCTGTACTTTGCAATACTTTATTCCAGGAGAGCATGTTCAACGGTCATATTCTTAATCTAACGGTCAGGAATTACTTGAAACTTAAAACGAGTTGTTTACGGTCCGTTTGATAACGTTTTTATTTTTTTGTCTGCGATCAATTTATCACTATTTTATATATCGAAAATAAGATTTCATTAATTAGATTGAGACTAACTTTATCATGTGCAACTCACATGAAACACCAACAATATGTGAATTTATTACATAAGTCTATACCTGAAGCACTTGTAATTCGCATGTTTTAATTTATGACGAAAAAACTGAATAACAATCTAGACGACATTCATATTATTACTAATTCATAATATTGAGGGTGTAATTTAAAATTTTTAATGTTTAATAATATACATTAAGAATCAGAGCGTCTTTCAGAATACAAAATAAAATTAACCCTTATTTTTTTTCAGAGAAAGTTGGGGCATCGCCGAATGCTTTTTTTGTTTGAGATTATTAGGAGACAAAGATAAATAAAATATACCTGAAAAGTGACACCAGGAAGTGAAGGAGGAAAAAATAAGAAAAAATAAGCAATAATTGCACTTCTACTCTCTCTTTAGGGTCTTTGCATCACTACACTCAAAGCCAGCAACTAAACGCACAGAAAATATATAATTATATAAGAATACTAGGCTACCACTGTCAATACATTAAAATGTGGTTGGTCAATAAAAATTTTAGGTAACCAAATAATGAGGAATACTATTTGAACCTAAAAATTTAGACTAATTTATTGATATAATGATGTAGTTTCATAAGAATCATTGTATCAATACGAAATTCTAATATTTTATAGGGTCTATAATAAATCTAAAGGTTACAGTGAATTAAATCAATAAATTATATCAATAAATTAGATTTCAATAACATTGCTCCCAAATAATACATGGAGAGAAAGGCAATTTGATGTCCACATTTGAAATACATGTAATATACCCGTCATCTTTTTTATGTTAATTACTCGTCTATATAATAAAGTATCTTACAATTCAAATCTTAAAAGATAAACAAAATAATTTTTACTATTTACGGTTGAGATCGTTTTAAATTTTACAAAATCAATTTATGTTTGTGATTTGATTTTGAATATGAATATGAATATAAATATGTTTATTATTTTTTATTTTTTATTTTTTATTACTTTGTGCCTTCAGGCACATATAATAACTAGTAATTATATATAATTCCTCATAATTTATTTCTTATAACTCTCATTTTTCTCTCTCTCCGGTGTTCCCATTCAAAAATTAAAGATAAATACTCTGTAACTCAAATTTACATTTTAAATAAAAGACAACTATTGAATAAGTGAGTCTCATCAACTTTGTAACCTAAATTTACAACTCAAATTTACATTCTAAATAAAAGGGAACCATTGAATGAATGAGTTCCATCAACTTTTTAAAATGAGACTCATTGATCCAATGATCCCCTTTATTAGAAATACAAATTTGAATCATAGACTTAGATTATATAACATTGTGCACTAAATGGCTGGACAAAGGTTTGCAAGATAACTGGTATATAATAAAAAAATAAAAAATTAAGAATTTCTATTTTTTTTTAAAGAATTGTTAAGTTTTATTATATTTATCTTCGGACAATTAAGTCTTACTTATAATAATTTATTCTCCAAAAATTCTAAACTCTATTAATGGTTTATTTTGTTTTGATTTTATCTTTCTTGTGAAAACATAAATTATATTTTTATTTATAATTTATAATTTATATTTAATTATATTTATGACAATATAATTTTTTTAATATATCCAAGCCGACAACCATTGCCAACCTTTCTTTGTCTCTTCAGGCTGTACTTGGGCCCACTTGTCACTGTTTCAAGGAAAAATTTCAACTACAATCCTTCTGATTTATCAATCTTTCTAATTTATCATATTTTTAAAGATATTTGATTAAAAATGTTAATTAGAATATACTTGTACTAAATTACTCATGATATATTTTAAGAAAAATTTTACCAACACACCCTCTAGATATGTATATCTTCAATAAAACTCCCTCTATTTTTAAAATTTTTGTACATATTAAAATTCAAGCCGATCCGAATTAAAATTTATTTTTTATATATTAAAATTTAAGTTGATTAAAATTTATATTTTTTTACTTAGTAAAATTTGGATAGATTAAAATTTTATTCGAGGTTGAAATCCAATTTTAATCAAATCCCATTAAATTTTAATTGGTCCAATTTTTGATATATAAAAAATATAAATTTTAATTGACTCAAATTTTAATATGTAAAAAATAAATTTTAATCAACTTGAATGGAATTTTAATAAATAAAAAATATAAATTTTAATCTGAGATAACAGCTCAAGTAGATTTCAAATTACCTCGAATTTTAATGCGTAAAAGACTTTTAATAGACTCAAATTTTAATACGTGAAAAAAAAAAAATTTAATCGGTTAGAATTAAATTCTAATCAACTTAAATTTTAATATGTAAAAAAAATAATTTTAGTCGCCTCGAATTTTAATATGTAAAAAAATAAATTTTAATCGGCTCCATTTTAATTGAATTTTGTGTAGAAAGATTGTTTGGAGTTTATGTAGGAATAATTTTAGTATTTTAGATTATTTATTTTTTTATTATAAATAGTGGTTTAATAACAAATAGTGTGAGTAATATTTAAATATAAATTATAAAGAGTGTAATTGATATTTTTGATATTAAAAAAGATGTACTTAAAGATACAATTAAAAAGAGTGTACCTGAAGTTTTTTCACTTCAAGGATAAATGAGTTTCGTGACCAAAAACACCCTCATCGCTAGTGCCCAAGTAAGCGAACTTGCTCCAAGACTCTTAAGGGCACATTTGTCCAAACAGATACTGATTGACACATTCGTACCATTTTGGTAATCTGGCTCTTTGTTCGTTCCGTTCGCCTCTTCAATTTCTTTCATCAACAATCTCTGGAGAGAGTGAGTGACTCTCATTCCAACTCCAAATTCAATTTAATCCACCAAACTTTCTTCCGATTACTCTCTACAATTCTTTTTTTCTCCTAAACCCAATGGAGGGTACGATTCGGTGCTCTGCGAACTACGTTCCTCTCTCACCAATCAGCTTCTTGGAACGGTCGGCGATGGTGTACAGAGATAGAGTCGCCGTGGTGTATGGTAATATCAAGTTCACATGGAGAGAGATTCTCGAGAGGTGTACCAGACTCGCTTCTGCTCTGACCCACCTGGGTATTTCTCGTGGTGATGTCGTGAGTCATGTTTCTTTCTTTATCCTTTGAGCTTCGTTTCGAACTCTTCCCAGCGTTTTGATCTTTGTTGCTTTGATTCACTGTATTGCTACATGTTGTTCTTTGTTTGTTTTACTGTTTTTGCAATTTTCAGATGCATTGGATCTAGTAATTAATTTGTTTTCTGTTTGTTTAATATAAACTTTGTTCGTCTCACCTGCTATCTATCTCTGTGAATATCGAACTTTTGCCATATTCATGAGTCATTAGCAACTATTTTCCATGCAAACTATTAATCTAATTCCTTCACAAGGTCAGAACTTGGATGATGACTATCCAATTTAAAGCTCAATGACATCATAGACTCTAGACGTGGGTTAAGACTTTAGACCCAACTCCCCTCGTTATATGCTTATATTTGGCAGGCTGTGTCCAGGAAATACTAAATTCAATTGCGTAACTCTTTGTTGTTCAGAATTGTACTTGCTTGAAATAGATTAATAGAAGATTATGAAGATTTTGTGGAAACAGTCTCTATTGCTTGCAGGGTAAGGCTGCGTATAGGGTATATCTAACCCCCCCCCAAACTCCGTGATGGCGGGAGCTTGTGCACTGGGCACACCCTTTATGATGATTTTATTGTCTTGATCTTTTATGCAAATTTGAGTTGGGCCAGATTTTATCTGTGATTCCTCAGATTAATAGAGTTTTCTAGATCAATTCTTGAACCATTGAATCAAAGGGGCAAATAAAAACTATATAGATTCAGTGGTAAAAAACATAGCTCATCCCTCACTGATTAAAATGAACTAAAAAGAAACTCGTAAATATAAAATCGCGTAACCATTGAATTTATTCGTCATACATATTGCATTGTTGTCAGGTGGTATCCAGGTATTTTACAATCTATGTTATCCTGCTCCCTCCCCCTCTTTTCCCTCCTTTTTTCAGGGTGATTACAACACCCTGAAAAAATGTTTGCAAGCTTTTGTTTTCTTAAATGTTTGCTGACTCTCTTTTATTTCTGGTTGGAGAATTGTTGAAGCTATTTATTATTCCTAGAAACCATAATCTTCTTTTCATAGCCCCAACAATAAGCTTCAAATTATGTGCAGGTTGCAGCTTTGGCCCCAAATATTCCAGCAATGTATGAGCTACACTTTGGAGTTCCAATGGCCGGGGCTGTCCTTTGTACACTTAATATACGTCATGACTGCACAATGGTGTCGACCTTACTGAAACATTCAGAGGCCAAAATCATATTTGTAGATTATCAATTTTTGGGTATTGCCCGGGAAGCAATAGAAATTCTATCAAAGAAAAGCACCAAAGTACCTCGTATGGTCTTCATACAGGATTCTGGCAATATTTCCCCCAGCAATAACATGGTATCCACTACAGGATGCTTAGAATACGAGTTCCTTCTAGCAACAGGAAGACTTGATTTTGAGATTAAACGGCCAAAGGATGAATGCGATCCCATCTCTCTCAATTATACTTCAGGCACAACATCAAGCCCAAAAGGTGTTGTTTATAGTCATAGAGGTGCCTATCTCAATTCTCTTGCTGCTGTTCTTCTTAATGAAATGGCTTCAATGCCCGTCTATCTATGGACGGTTCCAATGTTTCACTGTAATGGCTGGTGCCTCACATGGGGCGTGGCAGCACAAGGTGGCACAAATGTTTGTTTGAGGAATGTCACTGCAAAGGGAATTTTTGACAGTATAGCTCGGTACCAAGTGACCCACATGGGTGGTGCACCCACCGTTTTGAACCTGATAGTAAATGCAGCCCCTAGTGACCGAGGACCAATTCAGGGAAAGGTGGCAGTGATGACAGGTGCTGCACCACCGCCACCTCAGGTGCTTTTTAAGATGGAGGATCTGGGATTTAATGTGACCCACTCATATGGCCTGACAGAAACCTATGGTCCGGGGACAGTCTGTACGTGGAAACCCGAGTGGAATGCCCTGCCTCCTAATGCTCAGGCAAAGATCAAAGCCCGTCAAGGGTTGCACCATCTTGGCATGGAGGAAGTTGATATCAAGGATCCTGCCACAATGAAGAGTGTACCTCCAGATGCAAAGACAATGGGTGAGGTTATGTTCAGAGGCAACACTGTAATGAATGGGTACTTGAACGACATTGAAGCAACACAGGATGCTTTTAAAAATGGGTGGTTCAGAAGTGGAGACTTAGGGGTGAAACACCCTGATGGTTACATAGAACTAAAGGATCGCGCAAAGGACATTATCATTTCAGGCGGAGAGAACATTAGCTCGATCGAGGTGGAGTCTGTGCTTTATAGCCATCCAGCGGTTCAGGAGGCAGCTGTTGTGGGAAGACCTGATGATCATTGGGGGGAGACACCTTGTGCATTCGTGAAGTTGAAGGATGGGTGTAATGTAACTACCGATGAAATTATTGGGTACTGTCGTGATCGCTTACCCCATTACATGGCTCCTCGAACAGTTGTTTTTGAAGATTTGCCCAAAAATTCAACAGGAAAGACAGAGAAATTTGTCCTCAGGCAGAAAGCCAAGGTTATGGGAAGCCTTTCCAAGACAAGTATTAGCAAATTGTAGTCGCAGGTCTATTTGAAGTTTATCTTTGTTGATTGAATGTTGAAATGTGTTGTGTTTTCATCAAGACTGCATTGAGGTAAACCATATGTTGTGAACGCGTGAATAAGTTCTTGGCAATTAGCAAATTGCACCTTCTATATCAGCCCTTCGACTCAAGTGGACATGTCACATGATATTTATTAATCTTTCAAGCGAAAATTACACAACAATGTGATCCAAATGGGTCAGAGTCAGCCCATTGGCTTAGATCCTAAAGCTCCAATAACAAACCTCACAACCTTCTATCAGATAAGTCATCGACTCCTTTCATAGATTGACTTCCGCAGATTCGCCTCGTTGATATGCGAGTTCTCTTGAACTTTCCTCTTGGCTATGAGTTCCAAATCACAAGGTGCTTGGACACGATAGAAGAGATGACTGTATCATAATTTGACTTGACATTGTTGTATCCAAATTCAAATCTAAATTCATAAATTAAAATATGGATCAAAATTTCATCCATTTCTGCTCTAATTGCAAACCGCCAGCAAGTAAGGTGTTTGCATGGCAATTGGCATACAGGATGAAGTTAAATGCGAACCAACCAAGAGCAAAATGGTAAAAGAAAGCATCATTGTTCTGTAAGGGAGGAGGACTTGGAATCAATTTGAAGATTAAATATTTAAATATATTCTATTACATTGATACATGTAATAAGAGTTTGAATGATTCCTGTTATCCCATAATAGAAATACAAATGTCTAACCTTCCACACCTAGATTTTACAATGAAGCTTACTTACTTTTCTGAATTGACGTATTACACACCCAAAAAGAGGAGTAAGTTTCCGAACTTTGGAAACAATTCATGGTTAGTAACACTCGGATCCGTATTATACAATATTGTGTGCTTTGGATCAAGTTTATATGACTTTAAAACGCGTTGTATAATGAATTTCTAAAATTCACACCTATATACCACTTCACATCTACCTCACTAGCTTGTTTGGACTCCCTCATGTATGATCAAGTGCATTGTCATCGTCTCTTTCCCCATTCCCATTGTCAAGTTACGTTGCATGGATTCGTCGATTGATGAATCAAATCTTGGCTCTCTGTCTCGTCGACAAACCAATCTAGAAGTAGAAAGGGAAGGCAATAAGTCCTCCATCAGCGGGTGAGTGTACTTTGCTCCATAGATAATTAAAATTAAAGCAATTGGATGTCCAATTGGGGCCTATATCACATGACCAATCAATAAAAATACTCTAACACTCCACTTTTGTCATATATTTCATACATCACACTAAACAGGTATCATATTAATGGAATCCGATTCCCTTCCAAGATGCCTTGGTGGTGAAATGGTAGATATGCGAGATTCAAAATCTCGTGCTAAAGAGCGTGAAAGTTCAAGTCTTCTTCAAGGTATAATGTTGAGGATGCTCATTAAATCGATTCAAATTCTTGGAATTGCAATAAATTTGACAGCAGATCACGAAATCTTAGGGATCTTCTTATCTAATAAATGGGAAGCATGCTTTAAAATCATATGCCCTGCACCCACCCACTAATATATGATTCAATAGGTACAGTTTGAAGGAAGATGTTTCATTTCTTTCAAAATTCACTCTATACTATGGAGTAAAAAAATTAAAATAAATTATTTTACTTTTAGCCCTGATAAAAATAAAGCAAATTGTTAAATTTTTTTCACGTTCACACAAACTTAACTAAAAAGAGTTTTGAGTTTTCGACTGTTGTGTCGTTTCTCTGACTAGTTTTTCTCTTTGAAGACATCGTAACATATTTATCAAAGAAAGCTCAATCTTTTAATAAACATTGCACGATGTGATAGCTAGTAAGGTGCTCCATGGTGTGGACAAGGAAGACGGCCTCCTACATTTAAAACAAGTTAATTCATAAATACGTGGTTAAGAAAAAGATTGACGTTTTGAGAGCGACAAGTTAAAAATATTGTTGAGCCTATGTCATGAGCATAAGTGGCTATGGCTTGCTTGTGGCAGAAACGTCATGTTCTGGTTGGCCACAGCACCAGTGATTTAGCAATATTAGTGCTAATCAGGCTAAATAAATTAGCGGGTAAAATATATTTTTAGTTCATAAAGTATTTATTTGGTCCCCAATCTTTTAATTATATCTTATTTAGTCTCTAAGGTTTTTAATTTATATTTAAGTGGTCTAATCCCAGTCGTTAGTCAGGAAATTGTGACGATTCTGATCGTGATTCTTAATTTTATGTCTATTTAGTCCCTAAAATTTTTAATTTATATTTATTTGGTACCACATAATTGACGCATAACCGGAGGCGTTTAACGGTTTTTTTACGGACATTTGGGATTTGACTATATAGATATAAATTAGAAACCTTAGGGATCAAACATACACAATTGAAAGATTAAGATCAACTAGATATGACACATACTTTGAAGATTAAAAATGTATTTTACCCTAAATTAGTAGCAAAACGCTGTAGATTTAGATGGATGGGTTTGGTAAGTTATCATAATGAATTGATAATCATGGTAAGAAGGCGACCTTTTCAAGCAACTAAAGATTCGGACAATCTTTCTTCTTTCCGTGACATAAATAAATCTAAGATGATGACAAATAAGAGTTTCACCTAGAATTTTCTTTCATTTAAATATTATAGAACGAGATGTATGTTTTTATTAATTAACTCCTCTTTTTCTTTTAAGTATTTCGATCATTTATACTTCTTAGAAGAAAATAACTATTATTCCTAGCCAAGTTAGAGATGCAATACACTATTTTCTCGATTTGTGCGTATCGATCCTACATAGAAATAATGTTAATTTTCTCTGTGTCGTTTTAATTTTATCGAATGTCCTCAAAAAGATAAGATTTAATACACTAGTGTTGTTGAATTGATTGATTTAATACATTTTTGTTATTGGATTGATTATTGATCTACTAATAATAAGGGTGCATCAAGTCTCTATGGTAGATTCTAAAATTATGCTCACTACTAACCTTGCTATAAAGAAAAACAAACATGCTGGACCAATAAGTTCAATTTCAAACAATGTAACCACTGACATTATTTGAGAAAGGATAAAATACATTTTTGCCTCCCAAATTATGTGTTTTGTTTTAGTTTAGTCCCCAATCTTTTAACTGTGTCAATTTAATCCATCAACTTATCAATTTGTGTTACTTTTGTCCAATCGAAAATGGTCATTTGAATTTGACTAAGGGAGATGTTCAAGTGACTTTTATAACTTTTATCATTTTGGTCTTTTAAATTTATAATTTATGTCACTTTGGTCCCTAAAATTTTCAAAGAATGTGCGTCGAGTGTGATCACGTGATGATCTCAGTTAGTAATTCCATGTATCATTTTTTATTGGACCAAAGTAACATAAATTGATAAGGTAAAGGATTAAATTGACACAATTAAAATATTAAAGGCTAAATTGATATAAAATGTATAATTTGAACATAAAAAATAAATTTTACCCTTCGAGAAATATTTTGTTAGAAGAGATGGGACCATCATCGGACTGCCTTGGTACTAATCTCAACTTAATGCGAGTGGACAACAAAAGAACTTAGTGCTCCTATGCGGCATGCGCCAATATTCAAGTGGACTTGCACTTGTCTAGAATGATTCCTTCCCTTTTTTTTTTTTTGGTGATTAATAATATTTTTAATCTCTAAAGTATATCTATTTTATCAGTTTTATTCTTATTATATTAATTTTATCTATTTAATTCTTAAAATTTTAATTTGTATTATTTTAGTTCCTAATCAGACAAGTCGTTAAAATTTTTTGACGGATATAACTTCGTGTTATTCTTTCAAACAGCATCACGTGATCATTTTATTAAAAATTTAACAGTCTCAGAGATTATTTAAACACGAATTGAATACTTTAAAAATCAAATTAATAAAATTGATAGACAAAATTTTGATGGGATGAAAAATACTATTAAACCTTTTCATTTCATTTCTTTTTTTTTATTTTTTTGCACAAAGATTCCTTCCCTTCAAACCCACTGATACGACAAAGTACAAAGCATCTACAAAATTTAAATCTTATATTCCTTCAAACCCATTGTGTGAACTTGTAGTTCACACTGAAACTGTTATATATATATATATATATATGAGCTTTTGGTTGTTCTTCCATCATCTTCAAGACAGAGGAAAGAAGAATGGTAATGGAAGTTCAAGTTCAAGTTATTTCAAAAGAGAGCATCAAACCATCGTCCCCTACACCACATCACCTCAGGACCTTCAAGCTTTCTCTCTTGGATCAGCTCATTCCTGCTCCTTATGCTCCTATTATCCTCTTTTATCCCAATTACCATGGTGATACCCACCTTGAGGTTGCCAAAAGATTAGTACCGCTAAAGCAATCTTTATCAGAAACTCTGACTCGCTTTTACCCACTTGCTGGAACGATCAACGACGACCTTTCCATTGATTGTAATGACGAAGGAGCTTATTATGCCACAGCGCAAGTTAATAGTCGTATCTCTGATTTTCTGAACAATCCTGACCTCAAATTGATTCATCAATTCCTTCCCTGTGAAACCAGTTTCAATGGATCAACTGCAGGAACTCGTGTCACTAATATTCAAATAAACGTTTTTGAATGCGGTGGAGTCGCAATTGGTATGTGCATTTCTCATAAAGTTCTTGATGGATCTGCACTGAGCACTTTTCTAAAAGGGTGGGCTGGCACAGCCTGTGGGTCTGAGGTTGTGTATCCCAATTTTATTGCAACTTCTCTCTTCCCCACCAATGATTTATGGCTCAGAGACTCATCAATAGCTATGTGGGGTTCTTTGTTCAAAATGGGCAAGTCTATTACAAGGAGAATTGTATTCGAGGCCGAGGCAATAGCCACTCTAAAGGCCAAGGCAACTTGCTCAAGTGTTCGAGACCCAACCCGAGTCGAGGTGGTCTCAGCTTTTCTATGGCAATGCACCATGGCTGCCTCAGCAGAGAAATGTGGTGTTAAGAGGCCTTCTCTGCTGACACACGTGGTGAACCTGCGCAAAAGATCGATCCCAGCTCTGTCGGAATATTCACTCGGTAACCTCATATGGATAGCAAGTGCAAAATGCAAGGCTACATATGAAGTGGGATTGCAGGCCTTGGTGGATCAGGTAAGGCAAGGTATATCAAAAATCAGTGGTGAGTTTGTGAAAAAACTAAGAGGAGATGAAGGGTCTACTGTAATGCATAAATCTCTCGAAGAGATAGGAGAGTTTGGGTCCAAAGATGGAGTGGATTACTTTGGATTTACAAGTTGGTGTAATTTTGGTTTCTATGAAGCAGATTTTGGGTGGGGGAAGCCTATATGGGTTAGTAGTATTGGGTCAGGTGGTGCAGTGTACATGAATCTCACAGTTCTGATGGATACAAAATGTGGGGGTGGAATAGAAGCTTGGGTGACCTTGGATGAACAAGAAATGGAGATATTAGAAAGTAATCAAGAGCTCTTGGCATTAGCTTCTGTGGATCCAAGCCCTCCACAGCTTGTTGTCTAGTCTGGTTTACGCACACCTTAACTAATCTGTTTCTCAATCCAGTCAAATGCAGATTATCAATGTCGGGACTAGGATATTTATGAGGGATAAATCTCTCGTACTACTGAAAGTTTTGCGTGCACACATCGACACACAAATGCTACCAAATCTTATGTACAAATTATGTTTTTAGCTGTCAAGTTTCTGTTCATTTATATGGACAATACAGCATACATAAACTTGAGAAAGCTTCAAGTGAGTTGTGCATATCAGAAAGTTGACTAGTTTCTGCCTAAACTTGATGTCTGTAAATTAAATGGGATCACAATCTGCGGAGATATCCAATCTCTTTTCTTTTAGGTTGATTCAATATATATATATATATATATATATAAAAGCGTAATGCTAAAATATTAAGGTCGATCCCACGAAATTTTATTTAATTGTAACTCAACTAGATTGAATTGTAATATCACCTTATTATATAATAATGTTAGTACAATACTAAAAAAAGCAATAATTTTACTATAGTTTTGCCTATCATTTGTATTTTTACAAATAAAACTGATAATTGAGTAAAGATATTTGGACTCAACTTGAATAAGACTCGATTTGAACTCGGCTCATATGTTAAACAAGTCGAATTCGAATAATTTTTTAAACTCGTTTAAAAAATGAGCATAAAAAATTCGGCTCATTTATATGTAAAATAATCGAGTTATTCGGCTTTAACTCAAGATTGTAAAGTTCGATTCGATTATCAACCCTACTGACAAGTACCTCATCTAAAATATCTATATCTGATGAGCAGGAAACCCAAGAGTATGAGTTGGTTGGATCAATAGAAAGTGCGTGCAAGCTGTGGTAGACTGGGAGATGCCTTGCAGGGTGCAAGAACTAAGATTCTTCCTCAGATTAGTCATACTTCAAAATCTGTATTTATATAGTTGTATATATAATATGTTAGGCGGTTCATCGAGGACTTATTAGATAATTGGAAAGACTTAAGCTGCTTTTGACTTACCTTCTATTATTACATTAGTTAAGGGAGAATGAAGGGTGTGCACAATGGCTGATGAGCAAGAAACCCGACAGTAATTTACATGTATTCCAAACGTAAAATTTGAGTGGGTAGATAAAATAGTCACACTAAGAACTTTGTAAAAGAAAAGGAAATTTTAATATAAAGGAGAAAAATGGAAGTAGTCTCCCTTTAATAACTTTCAAACTTGATGACATGTGATTTTAAAACTTTTCATTAGTTTATTTGATAATTAATATCGATTCTCATTAAACTTATATATATCCCCCAAACAATTACGAACTAGTATGAGTTTTTTTAATGTAAATTTTTAGACGTATATCAAAAGCTTATAGTTTAATGAATTAACTAGTCTTTGATCTAATAATACTCTTTGTCTAATAAAAATTTTGCCTTCTCAAAGGTTGAAATCTTCTTCTCCCCTCCCCCTCTCCCTCTCCCTCTTAAAAAAAAAATGAGGGGCTTCGCAGTGGACACTTGGCTCACCGGCAGGATGGGCTGTCGAGCACCGATACCAAGCCCATTAATGACAGCGAGTTCATAGGGTTATCGTTGACCCCTTCATGTGGCCAACAAAAATTTCTTGGGTCACATTGTTCAGGACTGGGCCCCACTAGAAAATAGTTTCCAGCAGCAATGGTATTGATCTTCAACATTGCAATTTATTTTTGTAATATGCATCAAATAAGGCCTTAATTGTGCTTAAGCTCCATATCCATCATCTTCTTTCTTTTTCCCTTTTCAATAAGAACCAGGGAAAAAAAATTAACTTTAGGGACTAAACAAGATAACCAAAGACTAAAAAACTCAGATAAACAATTTAAAAAGGTATAGAATTAAATTATTTATTTTAGTGTTTTCCATACATTTTTTCATTGAACTTATCTTTACTCGCCCGTAATGTTACTCTTTTCCACGAGAACTAGTCAAATATTATGTGGACTAGGCATCCTATTGGCCCAAACCCTTTTTTTTCATTTATATATTGTCAAATTTTTATGATAAATTATTGAGTTAATAACATTTTTAATTCTTAAAATATGCACATTTTATCAATTTGGTACCTAAAATATCAATTTTATTAATTTGGTCCTTAAAATATTTAATTCATATTTAAATAATTTATACATAAATGGATTTAATGGAATGATCATGTGATACCCTCGGCAAGAATGACACTTGGTCACTTCGTTAAAAAATTAACGGATTATCTGATTATGGACTAAAGTGACACAAATTTAAATTTGAGGAACCAAATTGATAAAATTAATATTCTGATAACCAAACTGACAAAATAAATATACTTGAGAGACTAAAAATGTTATTAACCCTAAATTATTCATTATAAACTTAATGAAAATAAATTAATCTCCTATGAACATATTTAGGGGTGTCCAGTAGCTAGATCGGGCTCGCCTATGAATTTTTTTTCAAGTTGGGCGTAGGTAAGGGTAAGGTCAAACCTTTACCCGAGTGACTTATCGAGCAGGCCGGCCCAGACTTCAAGTAGAGATAGATTACTCACAGCCTAATCTGTCACTCACTAGGTAGGGCTATTGGGCGAGCTAGTTAGCAAGAGGGTCTACAAGCGGGGGTCTACTGGACAGACTTTTTATATACAATTTTATTTAGAAATAATTAATTTTTTATAACTTAATATTTTTGTAAATTATATTTTTGAATTAAAAGTAAAGTCAAAATAGAAAAAAAGTAAATAATAAATAATTTTATTTATAAATAGAAGATGAACTGCATCACAATAAAATGAGCATATCTCAACTAGGTTAACACCTATTTACCTATTTATCGTTTGCATAAGACACAGCTCCACTATTTAAAATGTGTATGTTTAATGCATGAAAAAAAGAATATATTATTTATAATTTATAAATTCTTAAAACTTTGAATTCCAGCATTAGGAGATTCATTTTCATGTTTTGACTTGGCTAGGCGGGCGAGTTCGTGGGCTGAGTTTTAAGGAGTTTTTTGAGGCCAGAGTATTTGACCGAATTTCAAGCCGAGTAATAAGTTTAGGAGTAGGGCCAAGCCCTTTTTTGAAGGATATTGAGCTCAAGTTTTATTGGACCAACTATCAAGCCTATCGAAATTTAAACCTATTTTTTTCAAGTCAAGGAAGAGGACTTGTGGACAATCCAAACAATCCAACCTATGGACACCCTTAAATATATTGCTCAATGGCCTTGTTACAATTGGATTGAAAGAAGCGGTAAATAAATGAGGGCTAATCTTAATTTGTACTCTGAAAGATCATTTAAATTTTAATTTATATCTTTAAAGTTTAAAAATATTAATTTATACCTTGAAATATATAAATTCGTATCCATGTGCACTTCGGGCTAACTTTGTTCATTTTTTCATTAATAGAGTTTGGGTTAATTAAAATTTATACCCTTCAAGTTTAAACATTTCATAGTTATGATCCACAAAGAATTACATCAATTAATGCTCGTTAAATAACTCTCAATTGTATTATATCATAACATACTCATGTCATGTTCGAATCAATAAAAAAAAATTTCAAAATTTTTAAAAAAATTATAAAATACATATTTTTTATTTACAATACTTATTAAATAACTATTTTTTGTCTACGGTTAGATACAAATTTTGTAATTGTTCAATCAAATTAAAGTTACATCCGAATAACACAACTGTAAACAAAAAATAGTTATTTAATAAGTATTATAGACAAAAAGTTATTTTTTTAATTTAAAAAAAATATTAAATAATATTATATGAATTGTCGTAAATGTGAAATATATGACACAATGCAATTGAGTTGACACGAAAATATTTTTTTACTGATTCTAATACGACACGAAAATGTTATAATACGATACAATTGAGAGATATTTAACGAGTATTAATTGATGAATTTTTTTTTGGATTATAAATGTGAAATATTTAAATTTTGAGGGGTATAATTTATAATTAATCTAAACTTTTTTATCGATCAAATAGATAACAGTTAATTTTAAGTGTACATTGATATATATTTATATACTAGTCATTATCTGTGCCTGAAGACATTATAATACTTATAAAATTTCAATATACAAAGATAAGATGTTTGAATAATTTCAACACATAGCGATTATATTGGTTTTGAACATTTTTTGTTGGTGCAATTGATATCTTTTTTTTTTTTTATTGATCACTTATTTTTTTTTTAATTGTTGATTAACTTGAGCTTTGAATTTTTTTTTTATTTTCTGAGAACTATAGGTTTTCATACAGTAGTGATTTATTTTTGGTATGAATAATAACTTGATGATTTTATTTATGGATTATAAAGACAATTTAAACTTCATTGATTGATAAGAAATAAGAAGTAAACATCAACCATTGATATTAAGACGTGTGATAAGAAAATCTATTTACAGTATACTCTAAGTATGAATCAGTTTGTAATAAGAATGATAAAAAATTATATATTAAATATATAATGATTTTTAATGAAATATTATATCAAATGTTTTAAAAAAATCGATATACTAAATAACTTACATGTTAAAAAATGGTGACATTGTCTATTTGGGTATTGATTTTTGTGTTGTAGTAACGGTATATGCTGTTATTGAGTTTAAATGTTAAACTATCAAACTTTAAAAAAGAAGCATTAAATTTAGAGATATTATGTATTTTATGTGTGTTTAATAGAAATATTTTTAATTTTATCCAAAGTTTTACCATAAAATTGGAAATTAAACAAAATCAAACTAAATCAAGGTACAAACAACACGTTTTAAACATATAACATTTAGATCATTTAATTTAAAATGAATTTAATATGAGTTGTTATTGTAATTTTTTAAATTTAAGGTAGAGACGAATGAGAGATAAGAATGTAGAGTTTTACGATATGAGACTTCTTCATGGGCGGAAAAATAAATTGAGGATTAACTGTAAACCGTTAAATCAAAATTTTTGAGATGATCTGAATCATCTTTTATGTTGAAATTACATTATCTATTAGATGTGTTTATGTTTTATCTCAAAACGATCTAAATATTTTTTTGTCATTTAAATTCAAACTTCGTTCTACTTTATTATATAAAATTTGTAGATATAAATTAATATTTTTAAACTTTAACATATAAATTCGGATTCTGGGATTCAAGTTTAGATTAACCCGAGAATTTGAAAGACGATAACTATGATTGAACAAACCCACGCGTCTTGACTGGATTTGATGCCCATTTAATCATAACCGTTCAACGTGGGACATTGACAAAATCAAAGTCTTCCCCAACACAGTCTCTCTCTCTCTCTCTCTCTCTCTGCATCATCGACCGAAAGTCTTCGACCTGCTGTTTTCGCTCTTAATTGCTGAAGAAACAGACGATGAGACTGGAATGAAATGAAAAGGGGGAGAAATAAATGCATCTGCGGATATCAATGGGCCGTCGTCGTTGTTTTTCATTTTATAATTCTCCGTTATTCTTCATCATACAATTCTCATTATTTATTGCTTGCATCTCAGTAGTAGATGGAGAAAGTAATCTCAATAAACCTTCCTTTACCCTCATCAATCGCGATCTTTACCATACCAGGTAATTCTCAACCAAAACATGTAGCCATCATGTTGATATATGGATTCTAGGTAATTTCCGTATATCGTAATCTGGTTTTTGTTTATTGGTCGTGGCTCTGAATCTTTTTTTCAGTTCAGATGTTTGTCCAATGACTATTTTGCCTAATTTATTGCTGGTTTTTGAGTAGGTTATTTGATGCTTGTTAATTTTACAATCTCATATCAGTTATCGTTTAAATCTAAGACTAGATTTATGTATATAAACTCTTAGACACCCATTTTCAAGAGTAAGTTCTCCTGTGAGTTCATAACAATTGATATCAGTGCAAGTTGCCATGTCGAAAATGGGATTGAACTCGGCATGATATAAGTTTCTCAAAAGTTCTTAAAAAAGAAAAGAATTTGTTGTTTGGGGTCGGATTTTTCATGATATAGAACCTCATATAGCTAGACTAGTTAAATGTATAGTAGGCACTTTTTGTGTTTTGTTTTGGCAGTGTTTATAATTCATAAGTAACCCAACGATTAACCATCCTACAGTGGCACAGAAAATGACTTGTTATTTTTCTCTTTGTTGGGTTGCGTTTGTGGTATTGTAGTGGCGCCTTGATGGAAGAAATTGAAGCTTTGGTCCATCGTCACTCAGACAAACTCTCGGTGGGTTTCAAGTTAGTTTTCTCTTTCTTGGGACTTTTAAATGTTATTTCTTATCTTTCCTATTCTGATTGATTTGGATTTTGAACAGATAGAGACAATCACTAGTAAAAACAAGGGCTATCAGTCAGAAATAACTGTAGTTACTTATTGCCGGAATAGGAAAGAGATTGATGACAGGTCAAAGTTTCGAATCCTTCTTGTAAGTCTGATTCCCAATGTTTTCTTGTTTGAATTACGCTTGAATATTTAAACTTCCGGATTTAGACATTGGTTTCTCGATTCCAACTGTCACATTAACAAAGAAAACAAGCTAAAGCAATAAACAATTTGAAATTTCATCGCTTACTACCTTTCTCTGAACTTAGATAAGGATAATAATATTTTCTGCAAACCTTGACTTCAATTGATATGTAGAGTGTATAAAATCTCAAATTGGTAATTGCTTGTGTTTTTGACAGATGATTACTTTTATTCCAGAGTTTTGGGCAGCATGGGAGGGAGCTTATTACATCAGAGCTTGCATTAAGGCTCCTTTCCATCCTAAGTGAAGAGGAATTTCTACCCAATGTAGATCCAACTAGGTTAAACAACACCCTTGACAAGTTTGTTATAAAGGTAAATGTTATTGGATTTCTGCCTGTTTTCTGCATTAAATAATATTTTATGCATGTCTGTCTTAAGCATACATGTATGCATATATTGAGATTGGAGTAGCTTCTCAACTTCTATCTTCTATCAGCTGGAAAGTTGGTATCTCTTTCTAGGTAATCATATCGTGTGCCCATGAGAATCATCAAATAATATTTGTCAGTATGCCAGCTTTGACCTATACATTGACACATTAAAGATGTATTTCAATGTCGGTCTTGCTCTCCTGTATATGTTTTATGCATTAAAGAATCATTTGTACACATTGAAATTGTAAATTTCTTTGTAATACTTAGAGTCCTACGATCCAATATGGATATAAAACCCTCTAGCATTGATTTAACAAGTGTTATACCCCACAATTTTTGGAATTTTTATTAGGCACAAAGGATGTTGATATTATTTCCCAAAAACAAAATTTACCTTCAGAATTGACGCATCCTTATGATTCTAATGTGATCTTTCAGGTGATACCAATGGAGAATTTGAATGGCCGCAAAGTTGTTGAAGCAGGAGACCTTTGTGAGAGAAGAAATGGTCTTGCAGTTTGTCTTCATGATATTAAATATAGCACATTACTCCATAATAGATGTGAAAATGCTTAAAGTTTGTCTTTTCTGACAGGAAGAGGTGTTGATCTCAATCGAAATTGGAGTGTAGATTGGGGCAAAAAAGAGAAGGTTCGTTGCATTTATCTATTTTGAAGTACATTAATTGAAAGTTTTATTCTTACTTTACAACCAATTTTTTATTCATTTGGTTCCATTTTAAAGCTTGTTGAAATACTTTTGGATGAGTCTCGAGTTGATTCACATTGCGCTATTGCGTTTGCTAGTTTCTAACATTGATTTTTTATTCTCACGCTACATCCACGAAAAAATATTCATTGCAACGGTGATACTACGCCAGTATTACCACGTGATATCACTAACCAATAATATGCAAACAAATAAGGAAATGGACCCCACACAAGTCAATAACTACCTGTTCATGTAGGCAGATAACTACCCACTCTTTTTTTCATGTAAGTCAGTAACTACTCAAGTGGGGTCCACTTTGCCCATTTTAGGTTTTATTATTGGTTGATGATACTATGTCATTAAAGCTGACATAATATCACCATTGTATTGAATATTCTCTCCTGCATCCACTATGATGTTATTATTTGATAAACTTTCTTGTAGCAATAGCTCTCTCTCTCTTTCTCTCACACACACACACATTTTTGCTCCTTGTATTAGGATTATGATCCATATGAAGAGAATCCTGGAACTGCTCCTTTTAGTGAGCCTGAGACTCAAACAATGCGGAAACTATCCATATCCTTTGAACCACACATATGGGTAAATGTGCACTCTGGAATGGAGGTAATTCCCTACTTTTTCTTCGTCTTTTGGATATCTCATACATATGATTGCCAATCTACTTTTTACCAGATATTCAATAAAGTACATGCATGTAACAATTTTTTTCAGATTATGTTGTACTGTGATACCTATGTAGGGTGCAGTAGATGCACTTTTTTGGTAGTGTTCCATACTTCTTTTTTTCAGGTTCTTTTATCTCTCAATTGAAAGCCTGATGGTAAGTTATCATCTTTTTTTGTTTTTTTGAACAAGAAACAAAGATTTTCATTTCATAGAAAGCTGTGAATATACAATATGGTGGATAAGAAATCCAGCCTAAATACAAAAACCATAAAAGGAAAATTAAAAAAATAAGATCCTGCAATTGCAAACAACTTTCAATTATGTGAAATAATGAAAAAGGAACATCTCGAAACTCTGATCACCACAACCCATAAAGACTTCAGGAACTTAACCCTATCCCGTAACCAGTGTTATTTAGATCGTGGATCGCTTTGGTATGTTGTACGGGTACGGGTATATAGTACGACACTTTCTTAGGTACGAGGTACGATAGGGGTAGATTTAGTTGGTACAGTATTTTGGATCGCAATTCATTTTGAAACTCTTATGTTTATCATTTTGAAACTCTTATGTTTATCGTTTTTACTATTATACAACATTATATATTACAGAATATTAATAAACACTAGGTTATTTATCATTTATGTTATAGTTGTGCTTGATTTTCTATTATCTAATCTAAAACAATATATAATTATAAATTTATATACATGTAGTCAATTAAATTTTATATTTGTGCTACATGTTCTAAAGTGAATTGATTTAGGATTAGTATTACAATTTGAGGTCGTCCATTTTGGTGATCTGGATCGCGAACTCACCTCGTTTAGAATCGATGTACCCAGATCGTGGGTCGTTAAGTTAGTGAATTGTGGTAACAATGCCAGTAACAACTCTGCATCCTCAACTTTCCCTTCAAAATATCTGCTATTCCTCACCGACCATACAACATATTCTGCTATCATCCATTCTTGTTTGGTGGTTAACAAATTGGACCCTTTTATTCCATTTGTGAATTGGGTTTCTATGTTATCAAGGGATAAGTAGTGAAATATCAAACTACTGATGATTGGATCGTAATTGATGCCAAACTTTTTTTCTTTCATACTCTGGTCACTCAAGCTCAAGGGTGTTGGAATGCAGTGTTTTCTTATAACCATTTAATTAACTGTTTTACATGTTTCCTATCAACATATTTCTTTATTGATACATGTTTTTTAGGCTCTTTTTATGCCATACGATCACAAAAACACCACGCCAGATGGATTACCCTCTCAAAAAATGAGGTTGATGCTGGAAAAGTTGAACCATCTTCACTTAGAAGACCGCTGCTTGGTCGGATCAGGGGGAGGCTCTGTTGGGTTCGTATATTTCATACTGATATGCAGTGATTTTTGAGTAGAACATCCAGATCAATCTAAGGCCTGCCAAAAATATATTACCACAATCATAGCATGCCTTCCTAGTCTATTTGTTCGTATAATCACTTTTATCAGAATGTTAATACTGTAAAGCATTGGTTAAGCTTTCTGTGCCGTATGTAATTAATTATATTGACATTGGTAAGGATGTCCGACATGGTGACCACATGGAAACAGGCCTTATGATGCTATTTTGGTGTCTAAAAGTGGCTTTTGGTACGCATGATTCTCAGGAAGTCCAATATGGGGAAAAAGGTCTGAGCGTATTTTCCGCATAGCTTATTACAAATTATCCAGTCGGGCAGCAAAAATCCACTTTGCTAATCCTATGTTGTCTAATTCAATCCCCATTTAGGGACTTATCACCATGATTTGCATTTGATCATTTTGAGGCAATTCTGTAAATTCTCTCTTACACTGCAAATCACTGGCATTTGAGCCTAAAGGGAGCTGAATGTCAGTGGGCCCAGAACTAATGTTTGGGACAGCATAAAAGAATATATATATATATTTTTTTAAGATGTTGGTATAGTTGTTCTAATTACTCACATGTATGCATTAGGTATCTTGCACATGGCACGGCAACAGATTACATGTATGACATTGCTAGGGTGCCAATCGCTTTGACCTTTGAGGTTTGTGAGTGCACTCTCTTCTTGTAAAATTTTTCACTTGATCGATTTCACACAAATATCCTTACATTCGTTACTATGCATTGACTGGCAGATCTATGGAGATGGAACAGCCTCCTCGAAAGACTGCTTTAAAATGTTCAATCCCATTGACATTACAACATTTAACGTATGTCAGACCGCATTCTTTTGATTTTTATCTTGACATGCACAGATAATTAAATAATAACCTTTGTTGAATAATTTTCTCTTTCTTTTGGTTCCAGAGAGTTCTCAATGATTGGTCTGCTGCATTCTTCGCAATGTTTAGCATGGGCGCAAATCAGGTGGACGAATTTCATTTAAAAACATCTGCTTCCAATTCGGACAAGTGGGTATCTATAGATGACTACCTGAATGGATATTTAATGGAGAGGAGGAATAGATACGGGAAGAAGATGGAGGTGCTTGAACTTGGAATGCAGGAGATTAGGACATACTTCAGGCTCTTCTTGTTATCATCCGTTCTATTGATGTTCATGTTTTGCTCTAGAATCTCAAAGAGTAGTAGACCAATTGTTTCTGCCATCACCCTCTGATAATTTGTGAGGCTTCTTATATGTTCAAACAACATTTGTGGTTGTGCTGGTGGCAGTTGGGGGGAGTAATTTTTGATTGGTGTCACATGTAATTTCCATTTTTTTTTTAACCATCGTGCAAATTTTAATCTGTAGTTCCAACCATTTTTGTCTTTCAGTATAGTGAATCTTGAACCTTGATAGAGGTTCTTATACAACTTAGAGATCTTTTTTTTTAATTGTTGTGAAACTTTTATAATATAATTTTTTTGTTCTTTCTTTTTGAAGCAAATTGATTGTTATGTTAAAGCAACCCCAACCGGCTCAACAAAGAGTATCTTTTAGCTATTTTGCTGAGGCAATCCAAAAATTTTGGCTCCAACCGGCCCTTTATTTCACTCACTAATCTGTCTTTTTCCATTTTTACTCATTAGTTTTAGCTAGCAAGATTCTCTCTCATCAAAATTTTGTCCCCCTAATTTTGGATTGTTTTTCATCAGAGTTTTGCGCCAATTTTGGGGTTGTTTTTCATCTTCATCAAAGTTCGTATTCACTGTGGTTTCATCATCGTCTTCCTCAGAGCTTGTCTTCACCCGGTATGAATCTCTTTCTCTGTGTGCTTGATTCAACGGTGAGTATTCAGATCCAAATCCTAGAACCCTAACCCTAAATCTTACTACAACTCATGAATGAGACTTGAGGGAGATGTGATTTTTTCAAGGGTGGTTGCCCCTCTATGAGAACACCAATGATTTCTCTCTCCTCCAAACCAACAGCTTTTTTTCACTTTGTCTCAGAGTGTTTATATGGTGATGATGATGACGACGACGATGATCGGACCCGAATATATGAGAAGCTAGAATGATATGTTTTTTGAGCAAATGAATCGGGCACTGAATTAATCTAACCCTTATCTTGGCAGGGCAAACTGGAATGGTACGTGAGAGATTTTCTCTCCCATGCAACTGGATTTGCAACCATAGCGTGTGTCACCCATTCTCTTGCCTGATCAAATGCAGATCTGAGCTTTGTTCTTTTTCTCTTTATTTTTTTAGTCCAATAATTTAAAAAAAAAAATTAATATATTTTTGCATATTTAGTAGAAATTTATGTTCTAAATATCATCATACTTGATTGGATTTTGAAATTTTCACATTTACGAAATTAATTGAGGAATTAATTTACACAATGTTTTGATTTTTTGGGTAGGCTTTAGTCGGGTCATGGGTCGAATATTAAATCTTGTAAAAAAAAAGTAGATTTGATGATGTGGCGCTTACATATTACGTCACGTGATATTTTTAGATTATATTATTAAAAATTAGTTAGCTAAAATAGAGAGTGCAATTAGAGTAAATTTTAAAAAGTAGCTAGTTAAAGTAGAATATTTAATATTTAAATATATTTTGAATAACTATTTTGTTAAGTATAGTTGAAAATGCTCTTAAAAAATGTTCAAAACCTGGCTCGAAAGGTGGAGTAAACGTCTTTGGGTATTCAATAAAGAACTAATTTTTTGCAACTTTTGGACAAAAGGTGGAGTAAAAAATAGAACATTGTGTCGTGCCGCTGGACATCTTAGTTTAATGTTTTTTGGGTTAATTTAAGCATATTTTGATTAATTTTTTTTTAATTTGGTCAAAAGCAATTTTACTAAACAAAATTATTAAAATTTAAATTTAAGACATCTAAATTTATAATTTATCTTTGTTATCACTTGAATTATTCCGTTAAATTTGTTTTATGAATATGTTGAGAAGGTCAAATCGGATAATGTTTAAAGTTGAAAACTGATGAAAACAGTTTTCAACCATAACGGTATATTTACCGTAGAGCTTAACCAGAACCATTGATATCTCATAAATTCTGGACCAAAGGAGATGAAATAGAGTTTCAAAAACAAGAAGGGTGCTTCTGATAATTACTAGAAACTCCAGGGTTTCTGGCGTAAAAGTATTTCTTTAAGCAGTAAAACAAATAACTGAACCCATCCAGTGCCGCACGCGCCCCCAAAGTCTGAGGCTCTGCTAGGGTTTTGTGTGGTTAACGTTGCGTTGGATGTGTCGATAGAGTCTATTGGCGAAGCTCTTTGCGTTCCATTGTGGACGTCGCGATGGCGGGTTCACGAGTTCAACAGAACAAGGCACATAAAACTCGCTTTGCTTCGAAATCGTCTCGCAACGTTCACAAAATTCCTCTCAAAGGTTTATCATCATGATTCATTATAGTTCAACCCACCATGCTGCTATGTCACCATAGTTTTGTTCTATACATTGATTTTAGTCTGCAAAACGATGATTTGATATTTTTTCTACTCTCTTTATCTTTCTTTAATAGTTTTGTTTTATACATTGATTTTAGCATACAAAACGCTGATTTGATATTGTTTCTACTCTCTTTATCTTTCTTTTGATGTTAAGACAAGAGCAAGAATGCAAAATCTGAGCGCAATGTAGCTAAAGGAGCTCGGGCAGCTCGAATTCAGCGCAACAAGATGGTAATTTGTATTCCCTATAAGTGTATGTATATTTGTAGATATCCGCTCAAGTATGTATATATATTCTGTAATTTTGTGTAAATTTTTATTGAATGAATTGTTGCTGTGACATCATTGGAATTATGTAGATGAGGGAGCAGAAACGGGCAGCCCTTTTGAAAGAGAAACGGGCCTCCAGTGGATCAACTAGTCCTCCACGTGTTATTGTGAGTTTCTCGATATGCATTGTTTCTGTTTACAAGAATGAGGTTGGATCGTGAGTTGAATGGCACTTGTTGTCATTGATTTTGCAACATAAAAATTTTCTACAATTCCCATCAAAGTGACTCACCCCACTGAAGTGCTATTGAAATTGCTATAGTGCTATTGAAATTGCTATAGTGCAATTTGTGTTTCTTGACTTGCCCCCACAATTTTAGTTTTATAATTAAAGATTCCAAAATTTTCTCCCCCAGGGAGATATATGAACAAATTGTCTGTTATGCTGAAACAGGTACTTTTTGGCCTTTCTGCTATCGTGAACCTCGATGCACTTGAAGAAGATATCTTGGCATTATTATTAAATGAGGGAACTGGAATTGTGTTTCCTGCAGTTGCTTCATCTGAGTACAAGCTGAGAACAACGGTAGGCTAATTAGTCTTTGTCTGTATCGTTAAGATTCTGTAATCTTCCCTGAACTTTGACAAGATTAGTTGAGGAAGTTGGACTTCTCTGGTGAAAGTAATATGGATTAATTATTGGTTTAAAACAATGGTTAGGTTTGGCTGCTGTTGTTTGGTGTTCATTAAGATGTTATTCAGCTCATGTACCTTTCATTTGAAGATCTATATCTTTTTTTGATAATGGGGATTGATGAATTTTGTGAAATAACTATTGATTTGCAAAATGCTGTAGTTATTTTTGTTTCCTTGATAATGTATTAGAAGAATTGGCAGACAATTCTGCTTCACTGTTGAACATAAATTTTGTGATTAATGCTTGGATCAAAGTTAAGGATGATAGAAGGAGGTGAAGGCTAGTAGATAACTTTTACTTTATTGTTTCAGATTGTTTTGGACTTAATAATGTAGAAAACTAGAAATAACATTCAGAGTACTATTACAGTTGGATGTTTGGTTTTAAAACAACATAGCTTGCGTAAACTGTAGCTATTGGTTAATCACCATTGGTTACTGGTATGGATTAAATGAGATTAATCTGGTCCATTATGCCATCTCTGTTGGTTTAAGTGTCTTAAATGACCTTTCATTCATATAGACTTCAGTATCTGAAACATGAATTTAATAAATACCTAACCAAATTTTGCATCCATTAGGTCCTCAAGGCACCTCATGGTGATTTGTTAGCATGCATGGAAATGGCCAAGGTACTTGCTGGTTTGGAGCTTGGGTTCCATTTGCTAATTCTTTTGGGTTGTTTATCCCTCAAATCTTGGGCTTTGAGATCTTCTGCTATTTGTGATGCTTAAACATCATTTATATCACAGATTGCCGATTTGATTGCTTTTGTAGCATCTGCAAGCTCTCCTTGTCAAGATGACAGTTCTGATTATTATATTGATTCATTTGGATCTCAATGTTTGTCTGTGTTTAGAGCTCTTGGATTACCAAGCACTGTGGTGTTAATTCGTGTACGTCTTCTATTCCATGCTTTGCTTTTTCTTGGAGAAAAATTTTAATTTGCACGTGTTGTGGTTGATATAATTTTTTGTTGCTTCGCCTTTAGGATCTACCCAACGATTTGAAGAGAAGACATGATTTGAAGAAGACATGTACTTCTATCCTGGCTTCTGAATTTCCTGAGGACTGCAAGTTTTATGCGGCAGATACAAAGGATGAGTTGCATAAGGTCACTCTCTATTCACGTATTTTGGTTTTCAGCTATTAGCATTTGAGAATAGACATCAGATGGAAATGAATGGCATTTGGTTATTATTGCATATTTTTTGTCTTTTGGTTTCATTCTAACTCTGCAAGTTTTTAACACTTTTAATTCATATTCCATTAAGAATTCATTCCCTTATGTGTTCGTTGTAGTTCATGTGGCTTTTCAAGGAGCAAAGGCTTACAGTTCCTCATTGGCGTAACCAACGGGCTTACCTAATGGCTCAAAGGGTATTATTAGCATTTCTACAGAAATCTTTTTTATATTCAGTTGGACTTCAGGTTTCTTGATTGAATTTTTGTTTTTCACTTTAACTGGAGGATCCTTTGAAATCATAACATGTTTATTTTCATATTTCATCCTCTGTTCCATCTCATAAAGATTCTTTTCTGTATGACTGTATGATGTTTTCTATAACACATTACCCTTTTGACATGATTATGTGATAATGTTCTCACTTCTTTGAGCACCATTGAGTTCTTGATGTCATGCATTCTGATTCCCCTTCAAATTGTAACAATAATGGCCCAATGATGTTGAGATTACTTTTTTTTTTGGGTAGAAACTTTATTTGGTGTTTATAGCATCCACATCTTACTTTTAAGGATGATTTATAAAATGGAAATGGTTTTGTTCTTTTTTTTGTAAGAGAACATGAAGGGTGTGTGTATAATTTTTACATTTTTCAGTTTGTTTTCTTTTTTAAGTTGGGGGTGAGGGCAGAGGTTTTCCATATGGAAATTTATGTGACAGTAGTGGAGAAATAAAGTAGACTTAACTCAAGATTATTTGATGTCTTGCAAATACATATGATGCGATACATGAATCCACTTTGGCATTCAGCTCCAGCCAATCGAAGGCATCCTTGGGTCTATCAGCTGTCCATGTAACAGTAACACAGTTAACCAGAAATAACTTGTACTTCTGAGTTCTTACTGGCGGAGTCCTTGACAATTTTTTTACTAAACGTTTTGATGGCTCTTTCTCATTTGGCCTTCCATTGATGCTACTTCTTCTTCTTACCAATATTATGTCTTCTCTATGGTATTGTTTCTTCTATTGCAATCTATGTAACAGAATTTCTATTGCGGAATTTCTTATTTTATTGGGATGTTATATTTCTAGGAATCCTTCTTTAAGCCAAAAAGATTGCCGTGCATTATGAGTAAGGTTGTGTTCTGTTGACAGAATTTACAATCTCGTAATTTGGAAATCCTGAGATTTCAAAAACTTGCCATTTTTTTTTTTGGTACTCATATACCAAAAATATTTGTAAAATGAAATAGCTCATGCCCATGCCAATAACTGCATAAGTATTATAAGATTGAAAGCAATATGAGAGATTCAAACATGTCCCCTTATTGATTAATTAGTCAAAAATATTCAATGAACTAGTAAGATATGCTATTTGAAACATTGGGACCGTATGAAGTAAGGGAGACTGCGAATCACCAGTGCCCTCATCATCCCTTTTTATTTGGTCATATTTTCTCAACGGCACTATAGCTATTTTCTTTCCTGTTAAGAAAAGCTAATAGTCTGACCTTTGTGTGGGGATGTGTTTGTCATGTAAGTGCTTGTTGAGATCAGTGGAAACCATCCCTTCTGAATTTCAGTTGTCTTAATAGTGGATGTAAGAAGAAAATTTCCTGAGATTGGTGGTTGCCATCTTATCGGAATAATCAACAAATAGAAGAAAAAACGTAAAAGTCAAATGACTGGAGGGCCTAAGAGTAAGAAACAACTCTTTGTATGCCTCAACTTCAGTAGCATGATTCTTTGAATGAAGACTTTTTGGGCAGTATTTTATAATTTCACATCATGGGTGTTTCTAGGTAGCACAGAGGACTTACAAAATTCATGGGATTCGGATGGAAGAAAAAATAATGAAACAGTTTAGTCCCCACTACTGGTGTCTGGGAGGGGTAGATTCGGCATAAATCTAACATTTGGCAACATTTTGCCCCAAGTTACTGTCTTCAGGTTCGAACCACAATCACAAGGCTATTTGGCCAAATTTCAACATCACCCAAAATATGGTATCCCTAGAGATATACATGTCCAGCCATCAATTCTTATCAGAAGAATACACCAAATTTTTTTTGTTTCCATTTATTCTTTTGAAAATTTTCCCTCCTCTTTTGTCTGGTCTGTTTTGCCAATATTTTTAACACCTGTTTCTGTCCCCATGTATGTGAAATTCTGAGTTTAGACCCTAAGATTCTGGATCTTCATTGTATAAAACGAATTTTATCTGAGCCCTAAAGTAAGGTGTTGAAATTTGTTTGTCACTTAAGTCATTCGAGAATTTCAGGTTGATTTGGTATCTGATGATTGCAATTCTGAAACATGCACCCTCATCCTCACTGGTTATCTCCGTGCTCGCAATCTTTCAGTAGATCAGCTGGTAAGTTGTTCAGCCTTTGGCATGCATTTTGTGGCTCATTGTTGTTTTGTACATTCTAATCTTTTTTGGACCAGGTTCATGTTTCAGGTGCTGGGGATTTTCAAATGTGCAAAATTGAAATTCTCAAGGATCCATGTCCTTTGAATGTGAGAAAAGGGGACTTCATGGATTCGGATGAAGTACATGATGTGCAGGTATAGGTTGCTTTCTGAAAATAATGAAGTGATAGTGTAAAACTGATTTTCCAACTGATTGTGTCTCTGTGTTCAGATACAAACTTGTTTTTTTCCTCCTTTTTCCTTTCATTATTTTTTGAAGAACATATTGACTTCTTGTCTCAGTCCTTTGTACCGTGTATGGTAACGTGTCTTGCTTTGTGAGATGCACTGAGTTTCATTTGAAGAAATACCTAGTCTACAGACACCACCTTGTTGATAAGTTTCACAGTTTCTAACAATTTTCATGAAGTTTGGTGCTGAATAGATGTGATCATTCTATGTTTAAGTTAGATATCTAATCATTATGTGGATTATAATTGATGCAGTCCTAGCAAAGTTTTGGGGAGTTTAGGGAGTTGACACATACCCGAATAATTGGGTCCAATTACTCTAGCTGTATTGAAATACTGAAATTGCCTGTGGCATGAATTGATATGATATGATAAATTGCATGTGCTCTGCTTTTCTTTTTAAGTTTTAGTTCTCCAGTTAAATTCGACTTTTACTTCCTTAGGTATTATTAAGAAATTAACAAGACTCATTACTTGTTAAACAGGTTACCTTTCGTGATTGAAACCCTGAACTTTACTACTGGTTGTCCAGATTTCATTTTGGATCCCACTTGAATGACCAGGCCATTGTATTTTGCACATAAGTCTATGTTTGTTATTGACAGAGTTTTTATTTCTGCTTGTAAGCATTACGCTGTCTCTTTTAAAATATTGCAGGTCATCAATGCCTTTAATCCTGATCCGTTGAAGCAAGAACCTTTGCTTATTGAAAATGTTCCTGATCCTCTGGCAGGAGAACAGGTAACTTGAAGAAAATGTCAAAGTTGGGTTCTGTATTGCTGTTTTGGCTTGCTGACTTAAATTTCTAGACTTTGTGGTTTACTGTCGAATTAGGTTTATTCGGATTTTTCAATTGTTTCCTTTGCCATAATTTGAATAGCTGAGATATTCTTGGTCTAGATGCACACTTGATTATGTGCTGTGCGGGATTTGGTTTCACCCGATGATGGCCTCTTACAGAATTATTCTTAGTTACAGTATCTCACAAGTCGCAACAATAACTCATCTGTCACAAAATGTATTTTCACTTGGAAGAATTGTTACTCTGCTTCTATTGTTGCTTATGGCAATTTTCTTGTTCATCAGACTTGGCCAACAGAGGCAGAAATGGTTGAAGCAGATAGAAATCACAAGGAGAAAAAGCTGAAAAAGAGGACCCTTCCTCGGGGCACTTCTGAATATCAGGCCTGTGCTAGTTTATGTTCAGAGTCTTTGTTTACGTTCTTTGGTCTTTGTGTATCCTTGATGCTAGAAAAAGTGCCCACTTGATTGTAATATATGCATACACTTGAATTTTTCAGGCTGCTTGGATTGTGGATGATTCAGACATGGACTATTCAGATAGTGATGATGATGCAGACGATGTTGGTATGGTACTGGATTCCAGAGAGAGTGGTAATCCGGGCCAAGAGGGCCATTTTGAGTTGGACCTTGATGATGACCAAGCATCTCTTATACTCAATAGAGAATCAGATGAAGAAACTGAAGTTGATTCTGTGATGATGGTGAGTATCTGGTACACATGGCAAAAATTCAATGCTTCTACCATTAGGGTGCACTTTTGACGATTTCTTAGTGTTCATTCTTGAAGAGCCAATTTTTTGCATTTTTCTGGTTTGGATATCCCGCATGCTTGAAGAGAAATTTGGTTGTGATTTACAATGTTGATTGCACAAATGAACTGGATTTCGGCATTCTAGCCGGAATTACCTGAAAACACTTCTACCCCACCAGATTGTGATTGGAACAGGCTTTACAAATTATGTTACCCGTACATTCTGGAGCACTCATTTGGCGGTCCAAAAGTTGTAAAATTAATGGGAGCAGATTGGGTAATGACCTTTACTATGACAGGATTAAACCATGGTTTCCAAATTGTCAGTGGTCATCTGCTTGTCCCGACTTTGGAGTACTTAATTGTTAAGTTTAAAACAGGATAGTTGGCTTTTATCTTTCTGTAATTTTTGGCTTCTCTCTTACTTTTAGGAAAGAAAACAAAAGCTGCATCCATGATTATAGAGATATGTACCTAAGGGTAAATCCCAGAGTCAATAATGTAGTAGTGTACTGCTACCTTAGTCAGTTATACTCACACTGTTTTTTGGGGCTTCATGGTTTTGCATCATGTTGTGATTGTTTTTGATTGTGCGCCTTTCCGCACATATGTTAGTCTGTGTGTATGTGTGAGGCCTTGGGGAAAGGGAGGGATGTGACTTTTGGTAAGAACTTGGACTTATCAAGTAAGTTGTTTTGAAAACATTCACTTATCAAACCATCCATATTGAATTTGATGGGTAAGCCGTGGTTGAAAGGAAAATAGGTCGGCTGTTCTGGAAAGAGAAAGGTAGGGGGTTGAATATGTTATATAGGACAACTGGGATAGTTACCACTTTGTGACTAGTATAACTGACTGACAAATGTTTCATGTTTAATTCTTGATCTAGGGTAGTGCATATTACATGGTAATTTTCATTTGTCAGGTTTAAGAGAAGATTAGCAAATATTCGTGTATTAGTCATCTCAAAGAGATATATCTTTGTCTTTTCCAGGCTTTCAAAAAACACAAAATGCATGCTATGTTTGACGAGTTAACTTTTTTCTGGATCATAGTGATGTGAACTGCATTCCTTTGCAGGAAGGCGAGGAAATGACAAAGGAGCAGATAGAGGATGAGATTCGAAAAATTAAAGATAAGCATGCTGAAGATGAAGGTACTTCTCCTTTCCAGATTACTAATCTCTGTTTTTCTGGAGCTGTTAGCAGTGAGCTTATGCTAATTGACTTGTAGTGCTGGATTGCATTTTCTTCGCAGCATTAGAACAAAGATTTCTATATACAATGCCCACAATGTAGATTTGACATAATTAGATCTTTGAGTTGCTCAAACAAATTTGTTAAATGGGTGGTTAGGGTGTTCTGTAAGCAAGTGTTCGACATGCCAAATGTTTGTAAATATTTCATATGTGGCATGGGACAGGAGCGAACTCCATTTGTATATGACAAGCATCAAGTACAGAGACAATTTCTGCTGTTTAATAATCACTCTGTCCTAACGTTTCTTGCGGTCCTTTGATATCATTTTTGTGAGTGTAAATGAGAGCCAATGGATTAGTAGTTAAAGTGGGGCTGCCATGTTGCGTAGCTGGAATGCATATTGTGCAACATCGAATGCTTGCTTGATTTGAGGTACTGATTTGTCCGATGATCTCACCTGCACTTGTAATCATCATATTTCATATATTTCTACAATGGATATTCAACAGGAAACCCCAATTGAAATACTTGATATGGGTTCTGGGCAATGGAATTCTTTCTATCCGGAAGATAGAAAAAATATATTGGAACAGGGAATGAAAATTGGCCTTAAAGAACTAAACTATACATGTCTGTTTGATTTGATTTGTAAAAATTAAACTTCATCTTTAAATTGTTCTTATATATCTGAGTTGTGGCGGGGTTTCTTTTTCTGAAATTTCCAACTGAGATAATATATTGTCAAGATGTTTGCCTTAAATGACAGGAGGTTTTTGATGTTGTCAGCATTTTAGTAATTTGTTGGTTTAGTTGTTATCTAATTGATGTAATGCATCTCAGAGTACCCCGATGAAGTGGATACCCCGTTAGATGTTCCTGCTCGAAAGCGTTTTGCTAAATATAGAGGCCTCAAGTCTTTCAGAACCTCCTCATGGGACCCAAAAGTAACTCCTAAGATTATGACCTTTTTGTTGAGTTTGTTTTATGCTGTCCTTTGATGTGGGAGCGTTAAACATTTTGTTATGCTAATTTCAGGAATCTCTACCTCCAGAATATGCCAGAATTTTTGCATTTGATAATTTCGCAAGAACACAGAAACATGTTCTTGCTAAAGCTCTAGAAATGGAGCAAGGGAGCATGAACGAATATATACCAACAGGCTCTTATGCAAGACTTCATATTAAGGAAGTTCCACGCGCTGTTGCTTCCAAATTATGTGATCTTGCAAAGACAATGCCCGTAACTGCATGCGGCCTCCTGCAACACGAGTCCAAAGTTTCTGTCCTTCACTTCAGGTACCTTTCTTTAGTATTTTCCTTTTCTTCTCCTTTTATTTATTTAGTTAGCTGTATATTTTTCTCAGAATGTATTTAGGCGTATATTTATTTGTTGCTCACATGGACAATTCTGTGATAATTTGCTTTACAATGGGGGATCATTTATGTCTTTGCAGCATAAAGAAGCATGATACGTACACTGCTCCCTTAAAAGCCAAAGACGACTTCATATTTCATGTTGGTTTCCGCCAATTTGTCACAAGGTAATAATCTTATGGTCAATAAAATTTTGTAGTTCTAACCATTTCCTCTTTCTAAGTATTTAGATTTTTTGTTTAATACGCAGGCCAATATTTTCTTCTGACAATATTAATTCAGACAAGCACAAGATGGAGAGGTTTCTTCATGAAGGACGGTTTTCCATAGCTTCAGTATATGCCCCAATTTCTTTTCCTCCTCTGCCTTTAATTGCCCTTAAAAAGGAGGGAGAAGCTGCCTTACCTGTTGTTGCTGCCATTGGTTCATTGAGAAGTGTTGACCCGGATAGGATTATTCTGAAGAAAATCATTTTAACTGGGTAAGGTCTCATAGTAGAAGGCATGCCCTTCTTATTTTAGCTCACCCTCATGTGGCAGATTAAATTGTGGGGTGCCAATGCGATTAAATGTCTTGATGTTAATGATATGGTGATGGGGTTTTCTAGATCAAATTAAAGTAATTTAATGGTAGTGTTAAAGTCTACTCGAAGGCCTGCGTCTGGAGGTGCTTATCTTGCGTTTGGGGGTTAAAATTTTAAAAGCTTTCAAGTGCCAACCAAAGAGTATGTATAATTTTTTACCAGGTGTCAGTTGTAAGGGTTTTGCAAAGGCAAAGCTGTCAACCATCTCTGTTTATTTTGTAAGAAAGCTCTTTGTTTGGACACTTCATTGGTGATGCTGAATGGTGTCACTGCTTTTTTGCCAGCTAGTTTTTAAATTGCAAATGCTCTATATTCATTTCTACTACAGATTTTAGAGTCATGCTAGACAATAAACATAATGTCAGTTTACTAGAAGTTCTAGCTTGATTTGATGAAATAAAATCTCTTATTGTGCAGTTACCCTCAACGAGTATCAAAATTAAAAGCCTCAGTAAGATATATGTTTCATAATCCAGAGGATGTGAGATGGTTCAAGGTAAGAAAACTTCGTTGTGAACACATTATGTTTCCTCTGTTTTGTTGCAAACTCACACTTGTAATATGACATGCCATGGAATTGCCGACATTTATCATGAGTGTAGTTTTATTGATCTTTGTATTGTGCTTTTGTTGCAGCCTGTGGAAGTATGGACGAAATGTGGACGCCGTGGTCGCATTAAGGAACCTGTTGGTACACATGGTATGTTGCTTACTAGACAAAAATATGTCTTTAAAAAATGAGCAGGATGCTTTCTTTGTCCCTGAGAAAAAGTTTATGGGTTAATATGATGCAATATTTATGTTTGGGCTAGTATCTTGTGTATTTTTGTAATGAAAACATGTCGACTATATTATGGTGCCAAAACTTAACTAGGTATTTAAACATGTCACTGGATTGTATTGGAAAGATATATGGCAAATAGATTGTTTGTTATTTGGTAAGCATCATTTGGGGAGAAAAAAAGAGATGCTGCGATGGTGCCATCTGAAGTTCAATGTGACCTCTTCGACGTTGCATATTCACATTTTTCAGTTCTGCGATGGAGAGAAAAAAGGGGAAGAAGAAAAAGGAAGTGGGATGGCCCCTGGTGGTGTTCTTTACTAGTGGTTGCGGTGAGGGACTAGTTTGGATACCATGGAAGGTCCGTTATGGTTGTGCATGTTCCTGCTTCCATAATGACCTTCCACTGTGTTCACAGTTAATTAATGCCAGCAGCAATCACTGTCAAAACACTGTCGTTTTGCCCGCTACATGTCTCCCTTGCTCATGAAATCCTTGGTTATATGACTGTTCAAAAGGCTTATCTTGGTTATCCAATGATGTCAATTAACTTTCAAGCTTTTGATTCAGTGTTTGCTTGACGGAAGTTTGGGTTGTTTTTCTTTATCTAGTTTTATTGTATCCATTTTTTTGCAGGGGCCATGAAGTGTCTCCTTAATGGGGTCCTCCAGCAGCATGACACTGTATGCATGAGTTTGTATAAGCGCACCTATCCCAAGTGGCCACAACATTGGTTCCCACTTGGTGGCACTTGATGATCATAGGGTTGGCTGGTGCTGAGTTTGAATGGTTCATTGGAGCACCAGAAAAGAGGTCATGTTCGTTCATGATGGGAATGAAGCTTTGGTTCAGATTGGCTATTCAAATTTCGCGTTTGCTGGCAAGTTGAATGCGGTTGAGTAAGAAGAGTCAATAGTTTTCCCCAGTTATATGGGAAACAAAAAATTTTGCTTGTATTGTCTGTCATTTCGCAACTTTATTCTTTTGGTGTGTGCGTTAATATATCTAAGAGGTTAGGGTATAATTTAAAGAAAGTAAATTGTACCTTGGGAGCTGCTTTTGATAACACCCTTTAGGTGTACTGGGGTGAGGCTATCTTAATGTTTTCTCTAATTAAAATTGTTCTCTCTCTCTCTCTCCCTCCCGTTGCAAAACCCATGAAAAATCGACCTTTGTGGTGCCTTAAACAGGTCCAAGATGATGATGTTGTAATCAACGAAAGAAGAGAGAACCCAACCACCTCTCCCATCTCAAACTACTACCATGAGGACCCAATCGTGCTCAATATTACCACTTGCATTACTATCTGTACTTCCCTCACCACAAACACGAGTAAATATTGGGCGTAATGGGAATATTATGTCATAATTGACATGGGGTGTTATTATTCAATAATAAATTTATACATGAACAAGGTGAATTTTATTTGAGGGGTTATTAAATGACATGACTTGTTGGTTATTATAATATGTGAAATTTATTTGTTTATGTTTTTATTGGATGGTGACATCATACGATAATAATAATATATCCACACTTAACATTAAAATACGATAATAATAATATACCCACACTTAACCTTAAAATGTTTTCCACAAACACCAACACTTTAATATGTCACAATTTTCTTAACCCAACTTGACGCAAACTCGAACTCCATTTGGCCTTCGACCAAAGGCGGGGGAAAATAGTGGAGACAAATAGTAATTTTATTACTCCGGCTAGTTCTGCCACTAGAAAAACTTTCATTAGGGGTGCCGTTGCAATCTCAAATGCAAAGGGACAGAGTGTATTTTAATCAAACTTTGAGGGTCTGACTCTATTTTCCATATTAATTAACCGGAGTAGATGGATGGAGAGAGACAGAGAACATGGATTGCAACCAGTGTTTTAAAACTGGCCCCGCCTTGCGGATTGACCCGATGAACCGGCTACTGAACCGGTCCGGTCTCCTTACTGGATCGTTTATGCTTAGAAATCGAACATAACTCGTTAAATTGGACGGATTTTGATGCCATTTCTTTGAATTTGACGGTTTAAACGAGTTAATCGGATTTATTAAAAGTACTATAAATACCTAGTTTTAAAGTTATTTGAGAAATTTTTGTCCTAATCGTTTTGCACACAGCCGCCACCCATCTCTTATGCGTCTCTTCTGTTTGCCCCCTTCTCTCTCTCTCTAACCATCGAACTCGAAACCTCTCTCTCTCAATGCCAACCACTATCGAACTCGAAACAAATCACTGTCGAAGTCGAAGCCTCAAATTGAGGGAGTCATCCCTCTATTACTATCATATAATCGTCTCTCAGAATCCTCCACCATCATCAGCCGATTGATTGGAAATTTTCTTCGCTTGTTTTGCTTCTCACAGATCAATCTTTTGCTCCCTCAGTCCCTCCCAACAGGTACATCTCTCACTCTGCTATTTTAATATTAACTACATTGTAAACTAACTTAGTAAATTAATTGATGATACTTGATAATGCATATGAAATTAAAGGTATTGCTTAGTTATCAATTCTAAAAATTACTCAATTGGGAATTGAGGATGATGAAATTAGAGTTTTAATCTCTTTGATTGAGAGTTTAGTAGAGGTAAAATTTTACTGTCTAATTGAATATAATTTTTTATTGAGTTATGATTTAATTGTTACTGATTTATTTATTTGATTGAAAATCTATTAGGTGATTTTGGAATTTTTATTTGATCTAAAATATATTAAGCTTACTATTTTTATAATTTTTGTGATTTTTAATATATTAATTATTAATTATTTTTTTATTTTCTTACCGTTCGACCCAACGATAGAATCAGACCGCTAATCCGATCCTTTTTTTTGGTTGATGTGCGAGCGGAGTTTTAAAACTATAATTGCAGCTCGTATTGGCCCGAGAGACCCAACTCCCAAGACGGTGGTGAAAAAATCCACTTCTTCTCTTTCAGGTTCAAGCGGCCGAGTCGAACCACCGGAATAGCGGTTTCCGGTAGTGGCAATGTCCGATTCCAATAAATCGTGCAAAACCGGTAATGTCTGGTAAACCCTAGGGTTTCTGTACTTGAAGCATTTCATCTTCTCAAGAAGGTTCCAAAACATGTATAGAAATCTGTAAGTTTTATTTTTCGATTAAATCATCTATATAATATGACGTAAAGTTTATCACAAGCTCCTTGAGTGTGGCATTTTTCTCCTTCACAGATCGAAGTTTCATTTTCGATGGATTGCAAACCCGCTTTGTAAATCGAAAATAGCTGGACATGTATGCTTTCTTTTCTTTCTATTATAGACATGAACTTTGATTTGATGACAGACAGAATGTAAAGCGTTTTCTTTTTTTCTCAGTTTTACTGAGAACCAAACAGAACCTTCATGTAAGTTTATTGGATGCCTGTATTGAACTTTTCATGGATGGTATCCTATAGGGACCAAACAAGTTTACTGGCGAAGTAGACCAATTGCGAACTTTCACATCCTGCAATGGTATGAATTTTCTGTATTTCTGTGCGCGCTTACACACACATACACACTCATATATATGGCTGCGGTGATCTGAAGGTGTATATATTTGTTTTGAACAGCATATATTTGTTTTGAACTTCATATCTGAAGCAAAATTGTATTTGACACCAATGTTTCTATTCTATTTGATGGTTTCTAGCTGGCTATGCTTGGTATATACAGAGTGCAAGGACTTGATTTGCATTTCATGGTTCTTTAGGTTATGGGGGTGATACAACTACAAGGTCAGTGCAGCTGCAAATTGTTAATGCACTTTGCTCAGGTGATAGAAGCACAGCTTCAAATCTGCTGTCTGATCTTGGCTGCAAAGAGCACTCGTTGGGGGCTGATGATTTTGTTTACATTCTTAAATACTGTGCACGATCACCTGACCCACTGGTAGGTAGGCACCATAAAATTTCATGAAGTGATGTAACCCCCCCCCCCCCCCCCCCCCCCC